TGGCAAAAAGCTGATACATTACATGATGTGCATCAAAGCTAGGCGTTTATTAATACGTCTTATTTCTTATTTGACTACGACATACATTCACGCCTACCGAATGCAACTGAAGCCACTCCCGCAGAAACCGAAAATCATTCGTTTCAGATTATTATTTTTGTGATTTTGACCTTTCCTTCACACTTTTACGAACTTAGGACCCACCAATATGCTGTAATATGCATGTTGAGTGGAATTAAATTATGTTAAATTTTATCTCGTATTATAATGAATTCATAAACAGTTTCTAATAATAATTTTTAAGTATACCGTATACTGCAACATCTTAGGCCTATTCAAAAGATCGAAATGAACTTTATTACAAACTACACCGATTGATATTGTGGCCGTGGAAGGAAAAGGGGAGACCTCCCGCCAGGCTAGGTGTTCTGCCTGGGGAGCGCCCAACACTCCGAGTGATAGTTCGGAGAAGTCCTATATATACTCTCTATGATTCGGAATGTTAATAGCGCGATTTAGGCTTCGGTGTGCTAGTGCAGGGGGTGATGTAGCGGCGCTGTCGTCGCGCCACTAGCACACCGAAATACACCGAAGCCTAAATCGCGCTATTAACATTCCGAATCATAGACAGTATATATAGAACATCTCCGAACTATCACTCGGAGTGTTGGCCGCTCCCCGGGCAGAACACCTTGCCCGGCGGGAGATCTCCCCTTTTCCTTCACGTCCACAAAGGCAAGTAATCTGTGAGAGTGCCGTGAAGTAGAGGCGAGCAGTAAGGTTCAGAGCCGTGCCGAACACTGTAGCGCAGAGTGTAGCTTGAAGGAACAGGAAGCATTATTATTCCAGTGCTGCGATGAACCTTGTGAAGCTAGATGGCTTGCAGGATATGAAGACTGCAGACGCTATCTGCTCGGGAGCGAATGGGTGGGTTATTCTATGACGATGATGAAGCTTGAAGTTTCCGAAGGTTGTTGTTTGCGTGTTCAGATCACGTCGGGTGGTCACCACTGTGGCCGTGGAAGGAAAAGGGGAGATCTCCCGCTGGCAAAGGTGAACGCCCGGGGAGCGGCCAACGCTCCGAGTTAGAGAGAAGAGAAAGAGACAGATAGTTCGGAGAAGTTCTATATATACTGTCTATGATTCGGAATGTTAATAGCGCGATTTAGGCTTTGGTGTATTTCGGTGTGCTAGTGGCGCGACGACAGCGCCGCTACAATATTTAAAAATTATACTACATTATTTTTATTTACGAAAACATTCCTTTTTTAGCGATATCGCAGTAATTGTTCAAAATGTCTACCTTCTCTTTCTAAACACAAAATAGCACGTCTCTGTAAACTGTTTGTTAAATTTCGAAGCATGTCTCTATCACTTTTCTCTATTATACGCTGCTTTAAATCGCTAACACTGTGCTTTTTCTGTGTACACTAATCGTTTTAATTCGGCTCACAAATAAAAGTCTAGAGGTGTTAGGTCTGGTGATCTCGCCGTTCAACCGCGACCTGTCCACCTATCACCGAATTGGCTGTCCAGATACCAGATATGCGCGCACAGTTCGTTCGTAATGAGCTAGATATCCGTCGTGCTGAAAGTACATTCTTTGCAGATGGCTCACATGAACGTTTTCCAACATTGTGTCGACGACGTAACGTATCATTTGCAGATAAGTTATTCCCGTCAATTGACTTCAACCCATATTGTGTCAATGATGTAGTCGTTAATGATTGTCGCCCAAAAGTTAACACAGAAACGACTTTGATGAGCATGTTCTTTGATTTTGTGTGAGTTATGAAAACTCCACCAGTGCTCATTGTGCACGTTGTAAATTCCAACGCGGGTAAATATCGACTCGTCGTATCATTTTAGTTTTCACCAGACAAGAAATAAAATTTCATCATTGCTATGTACTCGATATAAAAGTATTGGTACATGTTTAAGATAACTATCAGCGGTTGACCGATACACACGCGAAAATATAAACAATACGACGTCACACCGTAACCAATCACAGGTGACTAAAATGAATTTCGATAGTTTTTATTTGATTTATTTATTAAGTTCAAAATTTCTGTTTATATTTTTTTAGTATGGAAACTTTACTTCAAATTAGTAGTACTTATTGATAGATCAATTTCATAACTTGATGAAGAAAAAAAATTAGTCAAATATCAGTACCATGGGCTTACTCCGTTCACCTGTTACACCCAATTTTTTCCAGACGGTAAGAAAAGTCAACCAGTATATTTCATTTTAAATATAAAATTCGGCTACTCTGAGAAATGACCCTGTATACGAAGGGCGTTCAATGTACCCTCGGTATTAGGGTGATTTGCTAATAATGTGGGTAATTTATAAAAAAAACTATTGTTAACGACAGAGGGTTTAAATATGAAATTTCGTCCTGATAACTTCATTACTTCTTATGTAACCTTTAGTCATAGACGACGGGAATTCTCACTCGACAGTGTTGAAAAAATCGCATACCGTGCAGTGATTAAATTCCTCTCTAAACAAGGATAAACTCAAGAAACATCCATGAAATGGTGGTTGTTTACCAAGACTGCTCCTTCAATGTCAACCGTATAGAAGTAGTCAAGTGAATACAAAAAAGGCAGGAAAATCGTGGAAGACGTGGACCAATCACAGCGTGTACAGAAGAAAATGTGAGAATTATTGAAAAACTTGTATTAGAAAACGCACGAGTAAGGATTAAATGTTAGTAGAAACGACTAACCTATCCGTTGGTACTGTTTCGCGACACAATAAATGCCCGGTATATGGCGGGTGATTAGTAGCGCCATCTGGTATCAGGTAGCGGAAATAGGAGCGTCAAGATCTTTCTAGAACTTTCCCACTAGCGCCATCTAGTATCGCATAGAAGAACTAACCTTTCCGGAAAACTCCACACCCGAATTTTCTACACCTTGTCGTTCGGGACCGGTATTTGCTGGAAATTCTAGATGTTTTGGTGGAAAAGGCCGTTTAGTGCCGCGGCGCCCGGAGTAGTATTGATTTGGCGGTACAAGCGAAGCTTCGGACCGAAATAAAGTGAACTAAAGTGATCAGTGTGATTAATTATTAGTGTCTTTTAAGTTTTAATTGGTGTTCGGCAATTAAAGTGTTAATTTTGGTAATTCAATCGGCAGTTTTTATTGTCACGAACCCTAAGCTCGTAACAATTGGTGTCAGAAGTAGGATAAAATCATGACGATTTTACCGAAGGACGTCGTTGGGCTAACTGCCGGCCACGGAGACCGGCCCGTCTGCAGCTCCAATGCAATATGGTGTATATGGTACAAATACACAACGTATTGCATGACTATCTCAAGCTCACAAGACAATGCAAGATGGGTGCCACGAATGCTCACTGCGCCTCAAAAACAGGCGCGGGTTGACTGTTATGGGGAATATTAGAGCTGTGTGGTAACGACCCAACAAGTGTTTTCGATAGGATAGTTACAGGAGATGAAACGTGGGTTCACCACTATGACCCCGAGAGTAAAGAGGAGCCTATGCAATGGCATAAAAAGGGATCAGACCCTTCAAGAAGTTCAGCCATTCCATCGGCCAGTAAAATTATGGCCATAGTGTGTTGGGATTCAAAATTAATACTATTGATCGAGTACACAAAAAAAGGTGAAATCATCATCACAGACAAATACTCAGCTACTTTACTTGAGAGCAGCAATGTAAGAAAAGAAAAGAGGAAAGCTGACGGTTCATACGGCGCGGCTTTTCAAAGCTGCTGTACGAGACTGCAGGTTTGAGTAAATTAACCACCCACCTTACAGCCCAAATCCAGCCCCTAGTGACTATTTTTTATTCCCAAATTTAAAAAAAAGACCTCCGGAAAAGCGATTTGCTGACGATAAAGAGTTCAAGACGAAGAATATGTGTACTACAAATATTATTTCAAGAGAATAGAAAAGCTTTTTTCACGAACAAGTAAATGTATTGATGTCAAGGGGGACTTAGGCAAATAAAAGATATTTTATCCTTTTTCTAACATACCCATATCGAGAATATACTGAACGCTCTTAGTATGTCCTACTGCGTTATATTGCCATTATTGTTAGTCTTTAAAAGTCCACTGCAGAATATAGGCCTGTCCAAGGTGGACCATAGAACTAGGTTCTGAGCCACCTGCATCAATATAGACAGTAGTTTAATGGCAGGGTGCGGACTACTAACTCAAAAAGGTAGTGGATACGAAACTCCGCCATTTGGTTATTGCGTAAACGTTTTAGCTTATTTAGAGCAGTTAAAGGAAATATTAGTAATGTTAGTAGCATTGATAGTATTTAAAAAAATTGGTTTCCTGATTTTCTTACCAGATAGAAAACGGTAACAGTCAATGGTAATTTAAGTATGTTATTTACTCAAAAAAGGATGATTAAAAATTATCTAAGGACAGAGGCACCTACACTTGGCACAACTCTTTGTGGATCATACAAATATTTGCTTTTTGCGGGATTTGAACCCGCGGTCTTAAGAGTCGTAACTTAGTGCTAAGTCACTGCACTATATAGCTGTCAAAACCACCTTCCCTTCTAGTGGTTTTTGGAGAAATATAGAACCATGCTGCTGCTATATTGCGGTTGTAGCTCGAATGGATCGGTTCGACCAGGGAAAGAACACTCTCTTACAAACAATTTTACAGCGTTTTTACGCTGATATTTCGTAAGAGCTTGCTCCTAGTAGGTTAATTCTGCTGTGTGCGTAAGGCGAGTGCGGAGGACTGGATAACTTTTTTAATGGAAACGAGGCATTCCATTTTGATTCTCAGATGTGTCAATGCATTTGCATTTTGACTCTCATTGAGTATAAATGAAGATGTCTGTGGGTTTTAGTATCCATATACTAACAGGTGGACTGTATGCTTTTTCACTCTTATCTATAAAAGTAAAACAAGTGTACGCAGGGCACCATTTTTAGTTGGTCAAAGAAGGGTAGGTGGTAATAAAAAATAGAAGTCATTAGGTTGTGAATGTGGTTTATTAAAGCGGTTGCGTGGTGTGCGGTAGCGCGGCGAGGCCACGTGCAGACAGCAGCTGCAGGCGCGGCGCAGAACTGAGCGCGGCCCGCACCGCGCGCGCGCACACGGCACGCACTCGCGCACGCCTGTTACACACACCACATACATGTCTAAATACACTGTTTACGTAATCATATCAAATTTCCTACATCGAATTCAAATGTCCGTATCTTTAAATCTAATGTGCTAGTTAAACCACTTTTGTCGGATCGAATTATTAATTCCAGTCGAAAAGAAAACGTCTTCTTGAACAACCAAATATAGTATCTTGGCGATGGAGATATGTGAATGCGATCCTATCTATCCTATTCTATCCTTCATTATCCAGTGTATACACTGTTACAACAAAGTCCCAGAAAATATACATCGTCTCTTTATTACCGAGTTTAAAAATTTAATCTAACAAAAACTGTATAACAATAGTTATTATAATATAAATGAATACACGGTTGATAATAACCCCTGGGAATGAGGCGGTCGCTTCCAAACCGTTTCTAAAATAAATTTTGTAAAAAGTTTGTAATCATTCATATTGTAGTTTTTAAAAAAAAGTCCCGCTCACGACAGAGGTTTCTTCTGAACCAATGGCAAAGTAAAAAATGACTTTCAATTAGAATAATATGTGATGCACATTGAATAAAAAAAATATTCTATTCTATTCTAACGGCTTAAACAAATGTTTAGAATAAAGGTATACCTATTCTAATCTTGTAATAATACCTTTTCCATCTTACTCCTCAGGGGTGATAATGCATATCTGCATTTTGATTCCTAATATAGGACAGATGTATATGTCTATGGGCCATAACATCCATTTACTATCAGGTGGACTGTGTGCTCATTTGTCAATCTTATCTATAAAAAAGTTAAAAAAAATGTGTACATACTCGGTCCAGACGAGTGGCATCGAACCCGGGACTGTGTGCGGTACGATAGATGCGGCTAGCCCGCTGCGCAACAACTCCTCCGCGAAGCTGCGCACCGCGGAGAGCAACACCGCGTGCACCGCACTGCACACAACACCAGTGTTACCACATAAAAATATAAAAAGTGGTCTAGGTGCGATCCGAAAGGTCCACACGACTAACTTCCCAGTGGAAAGAATAAAAAAATATCATATGTCTTAATATTTTATACAATTTTTCATTCAGCACAAAAAACAACTTGACCAATTTTGCTCAAAATTTAATGAGATCTAAGTTACATAATTATGCGTTAAATGAAACTGGTCTCATGTCAATATCACTCTTTGTTCTCGAGATACACAAGGCGAAAATTGAACACGAACATACATACATATGTACATATGTACTTATGCACACACGGACATCCTCTTAATAACTATACTATTCGACTCTAAAGACCTTGAAACGATATGTTAAAATTTCTAATTTGCAAAATCGGACCCATTACAATAACTTCCCACTGGGAAGTTAAGAACTACAAACAAGAATGAATAAAAAATTGGGATATTTGAGCTGCGAAAATTTCTAGAATAGATTCTATCTATTTCTGTTGCAATGTGCCTCATCTATCGAGAAAGACAACTACAGCAGAATCTGATCGAAAAATTGACGCAAACATACAGTTATGGGGAAGGAAACAGGGGAATACATGTGATTCCCCTGTTTTCCCTGTTTACTTAGAATCATCACGTGTACTTTCAGCTTATTTTTGCAATCTAATATTAAAAAATTGCAATTACCCACCTATATGAATATCCATTTCCGATATCCTCATTTCTCAACTCTATCCCAATGTCTGCGCACTTTTTCTCTATAAACATAAACCTTAGTCTGTCCTCTTCACTCTCAACGGGTAACACCTCTAAACTTGTCTCAGGAACCACTTCACTTTTCACTTTCACTTTAGTTTCACACCCTACAATGTCAATTTCCTCATCGGAGTCTGATTGAGTGACAGACTCCAATAGGGAAGTGTTACCGAGTAATTCTTCACTATCAAACAGTGTCAATGTATTGAAATCAAAGTTAGGACAACTTTCACTTTTCTCAGTTTCCATTTGTCTCGAATCATCATTCGAATTCCATATCGACCACTCCTCACTACTTGTGTCCAAGTGCTGGGGTATATTTTCCGTTCTAATTGGATAGAACCCGTGCAATCTGGAGTATATTAGTATTTGCTTTGTCCGCCATATTTGCTCATCTGTTCTTAGATTTTCTTTTAATAATTTGTTGATAAGTTTTGCTCTGGACCACTGAAAGGAAAACAACATAATTTAGATCACAATATTTAAAGTAGAATTTCGAGAAAGTTTTAAAAATGTATAAGGAAATATGAAATATTATGTATTGTGGGTTATGGAAGGCGAGGTAGAGATGTAATTAAACCGTGATATGATGTGATTAAACCGCCACCTGTCGGTAGCGAAAATATTTTATTTTTCTTCTAACGGTCTAACTAACAATAACTATAGAAACAGAAACTGTTTTATTCAATATAGATTATAAACAATACTTACTGGAAGTCATAAGTCATAGTCATAAGAAATAAACTACAAGGAAGGCTTCAGTAAAAATTACTTACTTCAATATTTCTCCTCTTAGCGAAGTCCAACTTCCAGTATTTCTCATCATTTTCGACAACAAACGGAAAGTATTTAACATAGTCTGGTTCTTTTGCCTTATCAGTAATCAAAGGAATCTTTTTCAATAGGTAGTTCGCTGCTATTCTAACGCTTGAAAACCTTCGTATAACTCCACAAAGAGTTTCATAGAGATCTTTTCCATCAGTTGAAATGACATTATCGACACTAACTCGATTTTCCATTGGCATTTCTTCATCATTTTCTTCCTCATTCTCGGTGTCTATGTGGTCATACCTAGGTGCCGCTAAATAACAATGATCATTTTCTATGTGCGGATAATTGTTCAAGGCTCTGTAGTTATCAGTTTTCATTTCTTTTTTTATCAAACTTCTAACTTCTGGCCTTAATAATGACTCCCTGTGTTTCGAGTTCCGCACATGTTTCAAGCCGTTCGACTTAATCGGACTTATTTTTGCCGTCTTTACGTTCCCTTGAGAGTTTATTACGATTTCTTGAACTTTTGTTAAATCTAGATCTCTATCCATTTCCAAATAGTAAATTTTCCCGGTCGCAGGATCAATATATTTCACTATTCTTTTCTTTGAACATACAGACTGATTTAGAATCTCACTCGGCAAATCTTCGGCGGGTTCGTTTATTTTGTAATCTGTGCAATCAGGTGTTATAGAGAGCTGATCGTATAAAATAGAATCATTTGTGTTAGATTCATTGGTCCTCGAAATTATTGAAGTGTCGATTGCAGCTTCTAGATCAGTGTAATCTATTCCTTCTTTTTTAATATCTTTCACTAACATCTCGTCAACATTTAACACCGTGGTGTCTTTAGAAAAGAACTCTAGCCAACTGTCATTTACTTTTTCAGCATCATTGTTTTCCCCTGTTTTTATGTTGTCCACATGATCAAAATCATTAATTATGTTAGAGATTTCATTAGGATTTTGTTTTTGATGTTCTTCACTGGAGGATTTTTCTGTTTCTTGTGTTTCATTTGTATCTATCGGTAAGGTGGGTGGAATGTCTTCTTTGTATTCATGCTGCAGCATTTCTGGTGTGCTGTACAGCCACACATCTACAACTGTTTCAGCGCCTAAAATCGCAATAGCAAGAATTAATCGACGATTTATTGCAGTTACATACTCAAAATTACCGTATAATGAGCACATGAGTAAGAAAACCGTACAGAGACAAAGCTTCAGCAAAGGAAGGACCTCTCAAAATTTTTACCTATTTTGGTAGGGTTGACACATAAGAATTATATTAAATAAACAAACTGTTGGTCACCTTTTTATTATATACCTATGATAGAATACGATAACACTAATGGCATATACAAGATTGCAAACGTTTTACTGTTGTATGTCATTATTAACATTAGCAATGATTATTTCGAAATCAAAATATTCGCGAAATTTTTGCAATTCATCAAATGCTAAAATTGTCGAATTATATATATGGGATATACACGTTAATACACGTACAATTATCTGGAGGAGTCTTGAGGATGATTAAAAAATGATATATTCTAATTAACTTTATTTGCTTTGAACAAATAACAATATTATTGCATAAACTACATGGTAATTGGAATGAAAATAATTATAATAACTTAATACGTTTTACAATCACGAGATAAAATGCATAAAAGTTATAGCAATGTCAGTTCCTCATGTACTCAAGTGAATATTTTAATTGTTTTGAGAAATAAATGGCTTTATAAACCTTATCCCAATTGGGAGAGTATCGCCTCAACTATCTCGATTTGGATAGTGCACGCAATTGAGGGAGGGCGGAAGGTGCTCTTCAAACTAAGTAAGACACATCATTTTATTTTATTACGCCGATCCTATCAAATTAATTTTTAAATATCTTTAAGTAAATATTAATAGATTATAGACGTAGGAAATGCAAGAATTATACCTTAGTACTGTTACGAGCTTAAGGTTCGTGACAATAAAAACTGCCGATTGAATTATCAAAATTTACACTTTTACTACTGAACACCAATTAAAACTTAAACGACACTAATAATTAATCACACTGATTTACTTTATTTCGCTCCGAAGCTTCGTTTGTCTCGAAATAAAATACTGCCCCGATCGCGGTTTTCAACGCCTTAAATAAGGCTCTTCAACCCAAACATCCAGAATATTCCATCGAATACGGGCCCCGATCGACCAGGCGCAGAAATTTCGAGTGTGGGGCTCCTAGAAAGCTTAATTCTTCTGTTCTGTTGGTCGAAAGTTCAAGATTGACATTTTCTAGGAAGCCCTCCTCGCTCTGATCCCCAACACTAGATGGCGCTAGTGCCATGCACCTGACGTCAACTTAGGCGCGCAACACTGCCCCCTCCTAAGACATGCTCGTCCTAAGCATTATCGGCCACATAATAACGCGCCAGGCGATCCACATGGACGATCTTAGGAGTCCCTCTTGCGCCTTTCTGTATCCGGTAGGTTACATCGTTGATCCTGGTCACAATCCGGTACGGGCAGTCCCGTTTAGCTTGTAGCTTAAGAGATTTCCCTTTGCTGCGGACTGGATTGTGCAACCACACTAGTAAACCTTCGTCGAACCGTTTGTTATTCATTTTGCGGTCATACCGGTTTTCATCTTTTCAATATGGTACAGTTGTAGAACATCCGGTACTTTAAGGACAACCATTTGCAAATGACAGCTGTCTCCCCGAATATTTACCCATTTACGGCACAGAACTCCATCCTGAAGCAGCAAGCTGTCCCATTGGCCCAATAGTTTTTAGTGGTCGGACTTATCGCTGAGACGTCGCTCCACTTGGGCTTGGGAGCACTGGCCTTCATCCATTCCAGAATCGGCTTGATGTCCGGATCTTTATGCTGTGCATGTTGTAAGCTGTCCTTCCACTCGTTGCTGAGGTGGTCCGTCCTGAGCATCTTCACGGATACCACTTCCTTACTCTCTTGCCTAGTAGCAATGCATCTGCGTTGCCATGAGATTTCCCGCTGCGATATTCGATCTCAAAGTCGTATTCCTGCAGTAGTTCAATCCACCTCGCAACTTGCCCTTCAGGATTTTAAACTGCAATAGCTATTTTAGTGCAGCATGGTCGGTTCGTAGGTGAAATTTCCGCCCCAGAAGATATTTGCTAAAATGCTACATAAACTTTACCACAGCTAGCAATTCGCGTCTTGTGACACAATATTTCCTTTCCGGTTTTGACAACGACTTGCTGAAGTACGCTGTCACAACCTCTCGATCACCGTTCCGTTGAGACAACACACCGCCGAGTCCTGTATCACTTGCGTCTGTGTCAATCCTCGCCTGCATTAATCGGAATTAAATAAGATTTTCTCTGGATCCGTGCGGACACCTTCTTCCGATACTACATAACCCAAAAACTTAACTTGCCATTTGAATAGTGAACATTTCTTCGGACTCAACTTGAGGTTGGCACTCTGAATCTTCATGAGCACGCGTTCCAGGTTTTGAAGGTGTTCCTCAAACTTACGGCTTACGATGATGATGTCATTCAAGTAGACCAGACATGCATCGCCAATTAGCCCAGTAAGTACAAGTTCCATCAACCTTTCAAACGTTGCTGGAGCATGCACACAAAAACCCCACCTTCCCGTCGAGAACGCAGTTTTCTTCTTGTCCTTAGGGTCGATTTCAACTTGCCAGTAGCCACGATTAGATCCAGCGTGCTAAACTACTCCTGTAAGCATGTCCAGCGTCTCAATTCTTGGCAAGGGATAGCTGTCCTTCTTAGTAACGTCGTTCAGACAGCGGTAGTCAACAGAAAACAGCATGCCGCCTTCCTTCTTCTTTACCAGCACCATGGGTGAACACCATGAACTAGATGAAGCTTCAATAACACCATCCTTCACCATTCCCTCAATCATGGTTTCCACTTCATTTTCACGTGCTAACGGCAATTTTCTTGGCCGCTGACGGATAGGCAATTCTTCACCTGTGTTTATTTTGTGTTGAACTAAGCCAGTCTTTCCTATGTCAGCATCGTTTGATGAGAATACATCGGCATACTTGAGTAACAACTTCTTCGCCTTAACCATTTCGTTCGGGGAGAGAACGCTGCGACAGTCCTCCAAAAGTGTAGTCACTCTTGTTTATGCATCCTTGATGGGGGTCCTACTCGATAGATATCGGCACCGACGTAACTAATCCACTTCCTCTCAAGTACAAACCAGTGTGCCTTTTTCTATAACATGGTCCTGATCACAATGGTTCAGCACACGTACTCCTGAGATGTCAGTGGTTCTGACCAAGGTTCGAGCTACTTTCCATGGAAGGTCACTTTCCACAAGTACACAACGGTGAGCTTGCCCAGGGTTTCGAGGAAGACTAACCGGTACAATCGTTTCCGATCTCGGCGGAAGAACACTCTTCTTAATGCTGTACACGTTCCCTGGTAACGCACCTTCCATAAAAATTCCTCCTGTCTACATTTCAAAACACCAGCTCCAGTGTCTATGGTCAGTTTACACGGCATTCCGTTGACCTCGCCCTTGATGATTAGACTGTTCCCATCATGGGTTTGTGAGATCGAGATCCTTGGGGCTCTTTTAACATCAGCCAGCACCCGCCCCGCAGTTCTGTCTTTTACTCGTTTCCCTGCTGCTGCTGGGCGGTGCTGTTGGCCGCACTACCCTCCTGAGATCGTTCACCTTCCCTTTTTAGGGTTCGCTTAGGGCAGCTGGATCGAAGATGGTCCCTTTCCCCACAGCCATAGCACCTAGGCCTGTATCCTTTATTGCGGTCGCGAACTGTAGCTGCTGCAACCTCCCTGACGATGATCCTGCCGCACGGCTTCCACCTCCAGTGCATGGGCCAAGACGTCCTTAAGGGTCTCGTGGTACCCGAGCCTCACAGCAGCTCTGACTTCAAGGTCGCGGATGCCGTCGATGAATGTCTGCACCAGGTTCCCTTCAATGAGCGCAGGTACAGACCGGTATGCTTTTCGCACCAGCTTCTCCACCTCTAGAGCTCACTGCTGCAGGTTTTCGTTGATGCGCTGCACGCGATCTTTAAGCTGCGCACGAAAGACGTGTTCCAGGTGAGCGTCGCTTTATCTCGCCTCCAATGCCTCAAGGAGCTGCTCATAAGTCACTTCCTCACCGAGAGCTTCCAGAACAGTTAAGGCCTGGTCTCGAAGGCCTAGTGTGAGAGCAGTCATGGCCTGGCTTTTATTCCAGTCGTTCGCCTTCATAACGGCTTCGAACTGGATTTTGTAAGCCGACCAGGAAGAAGTCCCGTCGAACGGCGGCACTTTAAACCCACGTAGCGAAGGTGTTGTAGCTACTACAGAAGCTGTGGCTCCATCCCCCAGTTTGAGGTCGTCCAGCGTTTTCTTCACGTCAGCCATCACGTTGTCTACCTGATTGTTCACTTGATCGATTCGGGTTTCAGATTTCTCGATTCGGGTTTCAGCTTCCGACAGGCGGTTGTCATGTTGAGCACAACCTTATCCTTCACCTCTTCATCTCCTTCCCGAAGGTAGCGTGAAGGTCCTTCATGAGGAGCATCTGCTCTACCAATCGACGGGCCTGTTCCCCTTATCCGCCCCGCAGCTGCTCTTCCAATCGGCGTGCCTGTTCCGCCTGCTGGAGGGCCTGTGCCTCCTGCTGCTTTTTCAACCAACGGGCCTGTTCCTCCTTTCGACGGGCCTGTTCCTCCTGCCGCCGGAGGCGTTACTTTGCGGAAATACATTATTATTATAATGGATTTCCGGAAAGTAACGTCTGAATGTATCAATTATAATAAAAATCATTTCTTTTATAGAAGAGGGGGCAAACAAGAATGCGGCTCATTTCATGATGAGTGTCGACCGTCACCCAGCTGCAACACCAGGGGAATTGCAGGTGCGTTGCCGGCCTTTTAAAAAGGAGTAAGCTCATTTCTTCAAAGTCTCTAAGTCGTATCGGTCCGGAAAAATCGTCGGTGGTAAACGGCTCCACAAGGTAAAAATCAACAAGCATGCAGTTCACACGCGGTAGAAGTGAAACTTTCAGAAAAGGAGACCGAGATAAAAATATATAAGATATAGATAGAACATAGACAAGAACGAGATAAACTTTGTGTACTGTATTCTATCTCATTTTCTCGCAGGCTAAATCTAATAGATATATGTTTGTCTCATTTTAGTGTCGCTTTTTCATACATCGAGTTTAAAAAAAGTTTAAACTAAACCGTTAGAGTCGGTTAAGGTCGGAGAAAGAAAAAAACATACCTAGTGTTTGTAAGCCAGTACAGTGTCGGTCCAGTCGGATGGTGTGTTCCACGGATGCGGGTCGGTTGCATTCCGGCATCGCAAAGTGCATCTCCACATGTGCCGGGAACTCTCCCCAGCCACGGCGAGCCAGGTGGAATGGAGGTTTACTGCGAACCGATTGTTTATTTATTTATTTATGTGCACACAACAACACAGAAGCAATTATACAGTGAGTTCGTAGTAGTTCGAGATAGAAGCACGGGAGTAAAGACCTTATTCTATGGTACGTCAAATCATGGGCGGCGGTATTCACTTACCATCAGGTAAGCCGCATGCTCGTTTGCCCACTATACTATTAAAAAAAAAACTCTGTGGTAAAGCTTAAATGACTAAATAAATATTATTGTAATCTATATTGAATAAAAATGTTTCTATTTTATTAGCACTTTATAATGATATTGTTTTAGTATTAGTTTTATTAATGTTTTATGTCTTTTTGGTACAAGTCATTGAGTTATAATAAAATTAATAATAATAATAATAATAAGCAGGCGTAGGGAAGTGACGACCTCATCGCCCGCTGATATAACGGTTATGTGACAAAACCGCTACGTCGGCGCAGTCAGTCAGCACCTTGCCAAGAGGTGTTAGTGCCGTGCCTCGGCAAAAATTGAAGGTGCCAAGGCTCGCTTGTGCACATGGCCTAACCATGAAACGGCGCCGGGTCTGGGCGTCTCCCGCTAAATGACGCCCTAAAATGGATGATGGAATCAAATGGAACGCGCAAAGGGCCGCTGCCTGGAGGTCGCCAGGGCGCGTCTGGAGCTGGCGCTGGACGCGACAGCATGCGAACCGCCAGCCGAGCGCGAGGTGCTGCACGACCACCCAGCAGCTCCTCGCATCCATCATCCCCACCAGCTGGCTTGGTGTCGGCAGGGTCTTCGCGGGCTCAGCAATCGGCACCCGCCACTGGTGGAGTACGCCGCATGCGTTGGACAACCCAGATGAACAGCAACGCATTGCGGGCGTATTTTAGGGCGAAAGGGGGAGAAACTGGAGGTTTTGCGTATCGGGCAAGGATGCATCGACTTTTTGCTGAGCGAGCCATCTGTAACCGTCACCGAGCAAAACCTGGCAGACCGAGTTCGGTATATCTTGCGCTCAAATACATTTGATGTCACCGAACTCGAACGGCTACGACGTGAGGCTGTTCCTTCATCGGGTGAAAATACTGCGGCTGAGGATGCGGCGCCACAACTTGCTGAGCAAACGGCAAATGTGGATGCCGCCGTGAATACGCCAGTTGTGGTTGATTCAAACGATGATGGAACAGTCGCCCAGGAACCGGAACTAGAGCAAATGAGGAGTACATTGGAAGAGGCGATTGTGGAAACGCGCAGTACGACTCTCGAAAATCGACCGCGACTTCCCCGCTTAGCCCTAAGCAAGCGGAATCGGGCTGTCGTGAGGGCTCTGAACCCAATGCTGGTTACCTATTTGGAAGCCAGCCGGGACCTTTGCGATACGGACTCAATTCTTTTTGGCGCCGCACTGGCAGTCTGCCGTATTATAGGTGCCAAACTTTCCACGGCTGGACGCGCTACTGGACAAAGTAGTGCTATCCCAGCCTGGAGAATAAGAATTGAAGAACGTATCGCAAAGGCTAGGGCCCTCATCGGCAGACTGATACGCTTCAGGTCAGGCAATACCAGGCCAAGGATTGTGCGCACCGTCAGGATGGCGTTTGCTGAGACAAATGTTAGTTTGTCCCAGCCGGATATAATGCAAAAACTGACGGAGCGCATAGACAACCTGAAGCAAAGAATAGCTGCTTGGGGAAAGCGGATTCGGCGATATACCGAGAGGTCGACACGGTTCAACCAGAATCGTCTCTTCCAGAGTGATCAGAAGAGGCTCTATAAATCATTGGAGCGACCAATAGTAAGTGGAACGGGCCCTGCACCAAATCAGGCCGACATGGTCGCATTCTGGCGCAGCCTGTGGTCAGAGCCCGTAAACCACAACGAGGGCCCTTGGACAGAAGTTGTGGCGAGTCAGTGTGCGAGTATTACGCCCATGGACCCCGTCATCATAACGCCGGATGACGTAGCTGAGGCCGTCCGTAGGGCCCCGAACTGGAAAAGTCCGGGGCTTGACGGGCTGCATCACTACTGGCTGAAGGGGTTCATGGTGTGTCACTCTGTGCTCGCCCGACAGTTTCAAGAGGCTCTCAACCAGAAGTCGCTCCCAAGCCTCTTCACTACTGGGATCACTCATTTGGTTCCTAAAGATCAGGGTGCCACAGACCCGAGCAAATACCGCCCCATCACGTGTCTACCGACCATATACAAGACACTAACATCCATTTTGAGCGCAAGAATCGCTCGTCACCTGGACTTAAATCAGGTGATGTCGCGCGCTCAAAATGGATGTCGGGGCGGCGGTCGTGGAACCAAGGAACCACTCCTCATTGACGCGGTCATTGGCAAAGTGGTGAAACGCAACCGTCGGAACTTCTCCGCCGCCTGGATAGATTACAGAAAGGCATTTGACTCTGTGCCCCATACATGGCTAAAGAGGGTCCTCGAGCTGTACAAGATTGACTGTACAGTTCGAGACTCCTCGAGCAGTGTATGGGGCAGTGGAGTACGATCCTCTGTCATCTAGGCGAGCGGATGACGGCTGCGGAAAGCCGCATAAGGATAAGAAGGGGTATATTCCAGGGCGACTGTCTGAGTCCAATCTGGTTCTGCCTCTCTTTGAACCCTCTCAGTACTTTACTGGAGGGCTCCGGGAGGGGATTTCAGCTTCGGAAAGGAGGTACAAAAGTGACCCACCTTTTCTATATGGATGACCTCAAATTATTCGCCTCCAGTCGCTCCCATCTTATGGAATTGCTAAACATCACGTGTGAATTTAGCAATTCTATTAGAATGGAGCTGGGGACGGATAAGTGTGCGGTCCTCCATGTTGAAAGGGGAAGGGTTGCTAACTCTGAGGGCATAGACTTATCTATGCCCGTCAACTTAAGAACCCTTTCCGAGGCTGAAACATACCGATACCTGGGTATGTCACAGAACATCGGTATCGATGAGGCTGGTATGAAACAGTCAGTTTGCGACGTGTTTTATGCACGCTTGACCAAAGTGCTTAACAGCCTTTTGTCCGGTGTGAATAAGGCACACGCATATAACGGTTGGGTCATGCCTGTCCTCATGTATACCTTTGGCATACTCAGGTGGACTCAGACTGAACTTAACGCCCTGGATAGAAAAGTCCGCACTACCATGACGTCCCATAGGATGCATCATCCGAGATCGTCGGTAATGAGGCTGTACTTGCCGCGGAAGCATGGTGGTCGTGGCTTCTTGAGCGCGCTCACCATGCATAATCGCGAAGTGTGCAGCCTCCGTGATTACTTCCTTGCGAGATCGGATGATCCATTCTATAAGGACGTCATTTCTTGTGATAAAGGACTTACCCCTCTATCCTTAGCCAACGAGCAATGGCAAGACCCGGCAGTGCAGAGCATTTCCGACCGGGAGACCGTATGGAAGGAGAAGGAGCTCCACGGGAGGTTCTACAAGGCTCTACATGAGCCTTTCGTAGACACAGTAGCCTCCCTCCACTGGCTACGCTTTGGTGATCTCTTCGGGGGAAACCGAGGGTTTTGTCTGTGCAATACAGGATCAGGTTATTAAGACCAACAACTATCGGAGATACATCCTAAAGGATGGCACCGTCGACATCTGTCGAGCTTGTCGCCATCCCGGTGAGTCACTTAGGCATGTTATCTCCGGTTGTTCGGCGCTTTCTAACTCTGAGTACTTGCACAGGCACAACCTAGTAGCCAGAATTCTACACCAGGAGCTCGCTCTGAAATACGGTCTCGTGGATCGGAAATTGCCGTATTACAAGTACTTGCCGGAAGCCGTGCTCGAAAATGATCGCGCCAGGCTCTATTGGGACCGGGCCATCATCACAGACAGGACTATTCTTGCGAATAAGCCTGATATTGTGCTGATGGACCGGGCACAGTCAAGGATATTTTTGGTCGACATTACCATTCCGTATGACGAGAACCTCGTGAAAGCCGAAACAGACAAGCAAACAAAATATCTGGACCTGGCTCACGAGGTGACCGACATATGGGGTGGTCTGCCGACCGAAATTATTCCTGTAGTCGTCTCTGCAAACGGGCTAATCCCAGTCAGCCTCTCGGGTCATCTGAGGCGGCTGGGACTACGTGGCGGACCGCTCCAGGTTCAAATGCAGAAGGCGGTGCTCCTCGATACCGCCCGCATCGTCCGCCGGTTTCTTTCCCTTTCCCCCTAACCCTCGGCCGTTTGGTCTCCCCTGCCGAGGGCCTCCATCTGGTTGGGCTTTTACTTATTTATGTACTTTTATATTTATTTTATGTTATTGATATTTATGTATATTTATCTTTTCATTTTCATTTATAATTATATATTTATAGAACCCAACCAGATGAGAAAACTATATAGATACCCCACAATAATAATAATAATAATAAGCCCCCTAAACAACCACACGTCCTGATTGACCATCTAATCACGTGGAGGGCGGACACACGAATGAGAAATTACTGGCGTGGCTAACGTGGCTCTGGAAACCCATAAATAAAATGGAGACGTTCTAAAAGTAAACGTATAGGGCCGCTACCCGGGGGCGCTCGCCGGGGTGCACCTGGAGCTGACGCTGGGTGTCACAGCATGCGATCCGTCAGCGGTGAGGAGTTGAACAGGCGGGCTCCCTCCCACAAAGATACTACAGCCGAACTCATTGACGATGGTGCCAGACTGACGGACAGGACAGACACCCCTGTAGAACCATATAGTCCAAGCACAGAATCATACACACCCTCGAGGCCAACATCACCATCCATACCATCGTCACCAACACCTCCATCACCCCCTATTACTAGTTTAAATACAGTTCCACTTACTCCGACCTTGAGTGCTGACGGGAGGTACCTTACCCGCGTCCACCAAGGCTGGAAAAGCAAGAGTTCGAATGAAATGGAGTAAAGAAGTAAATCTATTTATCATGAGAACTTATCTATACATTACTAAATTAGAGACCGATATGACCACGTACAGACAACAATTACACGCACATTTCACTCGACAATATCCAGAAATTACTGTTTCAGAACAAAGAATCTCAGACCAAAGAAGAACCATAGCCAGGAATAAACTTCTATCCCAAGAAGTTATAGATCAATTAAAAGAAGAAGTACGAACACAATTAATTCAAGAAGAAGCGACTAACAGCTATGTAGAAACTAATATCACACAAAACACAAGTGAAAATGATCGCCAAGTACAACCACAATTGCTCAGTCAATCACAACTCATTTATACACAATCTCAGCCATGCGACCATTCGCACACAAATATCACACACATCCACACAAACCGAAACCGTAATCCTAACGCTAGAAAATGATATTGAGACCATAGTTGTCCCAGATCAACACTTAACAACAGACACATATATCCAAGAAATCAATGAGAAATTTAGAACAACAATAACGTTATACTCTGGGATGGATCCCGCAGCGCGACCAAGATTACCCAAACTTAAGTACACACCTAACCTGTTTCGACTGGTTAATTTATTTAATGAAACTATACTCACACAACATATATCTGATGACACACAGCTTATAGACATACATTTACTTATATACTGCACAGCGGTAGTAATATCCGAAGAATTGAACTTTAAAATCACAGACAATGCAAGAACTACAAGAACAAGACAAAATACAGAACCAGCATGGCAACAGAGACTAGAAAAAGACATTGAAAAATTAAGAACAAATATAGGTAGACTCACTCAGTATATTAACGGTTGTAGCCCTTACCCCCCCCCCCCACAAAAAAAAACCCCCAAAAAAAAAAGGGCAATTCAAAAAAACCCCCCCAAGAACCCCCCCCCCCCCCAAAAAAAAAAAAAAAAAAAAAAAAAAAAAAATCTAATAAACTAGTCAAAAAAGTAGAGGTCATATTTAGGAATAATGCTACGCATACCAGACACGAAAAAGAGTAACACAAGACCTGAAGAATTTTTAGACACGTTAAAACAAAAATTAGCACTTAAAGTTCATAGGCTCAAAAGGTATAAAAAAAGCACAACAGCGCAAAAAAGATAAAACGAAACGTCAGATTTGCCTCAAACGAAAAATTGTTTTATAGAAACTTACACAAACCACAAACAGACACAATCGATGAACGTAACACACATACACCTAACCTACCTACAAAAGAACAACTAGAAGCATATTGGGCGAGTATTTGGGAAGAGCAAAAACAACATAACGACAAAGCATCTTGGATAATTGAAGAGGAAGCAAAATGGAGAGATATTGACGAAATGGAATTCGAAGAGGTAACAGAGTTAGACATAACACTCATTACAGCTAGGTTACATAATTGGAAATCACCTGGTATAGACAAAATTCATAATTTTTGGTACAAAAAAATTAACATCTCTACACAAACCTTTAGCAAGAAATTTAACAGATATAATAACAGGACAACAGAACACTCCCGAATTTATTGCAACAGGAATTACTTATATGCTACCTAAAACAAAAAATTCACCTCAGCCTTCCCAATACCGACCAATTACATGCCTACCCACAATTTACAAAATATTGACATCTGCAATCACAAAGAAAATTCAGTCGCACATTGAACACCACAATATAATAGCAGAAGAACAGAAGGGATGTAGACAGGGCCACATGGGATGTAAAGAACAGCTGATAATTGATTCCACTATTCATAAACACGCCACCTCTAAAAATAGAAATTTACATTGCACCTATATTGATTATAAAAAAGCGTTTGACAGTGTTCCTCATTCATGGTTATTAAAAATATTAGAAATTTATAGAATAAACCCGAAAATAATCGATTTCTTACGCCGAATAATGTTACAATGGAAAACAACAATACAAATAAATTGTAACCAAAATAATGTCACCACGCGACAAATCTCAATCACAAAAGGCATCTACCAAGGTGACTCCCTGAGCCCACTGTGGTTCTGTCTCGCCCTAAACCCTCTGTCTCATTTGCTGCAGAGCTGCGGGGCCGGATATTGCCTCAAACTTAATACAGACGAAACAACAATATCGCATCTTATATACATGGACGACATCAAATTATATGCAAAAACAGACAAGGATATGAAGAAATTAATAGATATAACAACAGAATTCAGTAGCGATATTAATATGCATTTTGGTTTAGATAAATGTAAAACACTTCACATTGTAAGAGGCAAAGTAAGGCCCGGCGACTATGTGGTAAATGAAACGGAGGCTATTACAGCAATGGAATCGACTGACTTATACAAATATTTAGGGTATGTCCAACTTAAAAGTCTTGACCACGTACGAATTAAAAATTCTCTCACTACGGAATACAAGAGAAGACTTAACGCCGTTTGTAAAACTCAACTTTCAAGTAAACATCTCATCAAAGCCATTAACACCTATGCCATCCCCATATTAACGTACTCATTCGGAGTTATAAAATGGTCCAAAACTGACGCAGAACAATTAGAGCGAACTACACGTACAACACTCACGAAACACAACAACCTACACCCTAAATCCGCCATAGAGAGACTAACAATAAAACGAGAACATGGAGGGAGAGGCCTAATAGATATCCAGCACCTATGGCGGAAACAAGTTAGTCGATTAAAATCATTCTTCTATACAAAACCCCATACTAGCAATATTCATAAAGCCATCGTAACGAATGATATTAACTACACTCCACTTAACTTAAGCAATCATATTGAATCCCAAAACACTACCAGTGATAACCCACAGACACACAAAATTGACGAATGGAAGAAGAAAGTTCTCCACGGTCGGCACCCTCATGACTTAGAGCAATCCCACATAAATAAGTTAGCTTCAAATAAGTGGCTGAAAATAGGCAACTTATTTCCAGAAACAGAAGGATTTATAATAGCTATTCAAGACCAGATCATAAACACAAAAAATTACAGAAAATATATAATCAAAGATCCTACAGTAAATAATGACAAATGTCGCAAATGCCACACACATCCAGAAACCATTCAACACATCACAGGCGCATGCACAACTCTCACACAGACTGACTACACTCACAGACACAACCAGGTGGCCAATGTCATTCATCAAAAACTAGCACTCAAACAAGCACTCATTCCAGATGCCAACACTCCGTACTACAATTATACACCAAAACATACTCTAGAAAACACCACACATAAACTTTTTTACGACCGCGGCATTCTCACCGATAGGACAATCCACTATAACCGACCAGATATAACTCTACAAGATAAAATAAATAATATTACTTACCTGATAGACATTGCAATCCCCAACACACACAACTTGCAGAAGACGATAACTGAAAAAATTTGTAAGTACGCAGAACTTAAAGATGAAGTGACTAGAATCTGGCAACAAGAAAAAGTATATGTGGTCCCTATAGTCCTCTCCACAACAGGTGTCATCCCAAATCATCTCCTCCGTAGCTTAAAATTATTACAACTAAAAGAAACTCTATATATTACACTTCAAAAAGCAGCTATATTAAATACATGCAGAATAGTTAGGAAATTCATGCAGATAGAAGAAAACGAAATAGGACCTCATCAAATCACATGAACTACACTACACACCACACGCTGCATTTGCTTTGGCTTCGGCCCGTAAATGTAGTTGAAATCCAGCCTAGAGCTGAGAAGTGAAAACACTTACCGTAAATAATAAATAATAATAATATTCCACAACTATCACACACAACGCCCTCTAGTCCCAAGCTAAGCAGAGCTTGTGTTATGGGTACTAGACAACTGATAAACATACTTATATATTTCTAAATACATAAATATTATAGATAAATTACACCCAGACACAGAACAAATGATCGCGCTCATCACACAAACATTTGTCCTGTGTGGGAATCGAACCCACGACCTCCGGCATAGCAGTCAGGGTCACTAACCACTAGACCAACAGGCCTGTCAAATTGTATTACTAGTTAACTTTATGTTAAGTACCGTTTGGCGCTAAGTGTTTTTTCTTCTTTATTAGCTTTCGTTTTAGTGATAATGTTCCCTTGAATTTTCTTAGGACGGGGACATACATCCTAACTCGAAACATTTGTTGCGGGGTGAACACGCGGCTCTCAGCACGCCAGCTAAATATTTAGCCACAATGCTATGGGGTCGTTATATCTTAGGTGTGACATTACTAGAGATCTACCTAACCGGCTTAGGTTAACAACTAAATTAAAAACAATATACAGGCAAACCGTCAATGAATATTAAATATTATTGACCCCAGAATTTTCCTGGGTAAAAATGTACAATTGTGTTTTTTTTTACACAAAGTGCTCATTTTTTACTTCAACGTTTGTGCAAAATGTTTTAACACAGGAAATATTCCTTCAGTAATTATTTTGTTTATTACGAGTGGAGCGAGCACATGGTAAAACTGTGTGTACTTATACGTTACATTATGTTGGTATAGTATAGTTGAATGCAGTGTTGTTACGTGCAGTGTAATGGGTGCATTGTAGTTGCGTGCAATTTAGAAGTACAGTGTAGTTGGATGTAGTTTAGTTAAGTTAAGCGTAGTTGCGTGCAGTGTAGTTAGGTGCAGTGTAGTTGGGTGTAGTGTAGTACACTTACCTAAGCGTAGTTAAATGTAATGTAGTTAGGTAATAGTTTAATTGCATACGGTGTAGTTGGGTACAATGCAGTTGGATGCAGTTTAGTTAGATACAGTGTAATTAGTTGCAGTGTAGTTAGGTAATAGTTTAGTTGCGTGCGGTGTAGTTGGGTACAATATAGTTGGATACAGTGTAGTTAGGTACAGTGTAATTAGGTAATAATGTAGTTGGGCGCAGTACAGTTAGGTAAAATGAAGTTGGGTGCAATGTAGTTGAGTACAGTGTAATTAAGTGCAGTGTTTGTTATTTGGCGTACTCTAGTTATGTGCAGAGCAGTCGCACGACGTGGTGCGACACGTACGAGTGGTGCAGGCGCACGGATACAGCGCGCAACACGTATAGTAGCCATGTGTAATGTAGTTAGGTAACAGAGTAGATGGGTGCAGTTTAGTTGTGTGCAGAGCAGCCGGTACTCACTCAAGGCGCACGACGTGGTGCGGCGCGTACGAGTGGTGCAGGCGCACGGATACAGCGCGCAACACAGCGTCGGCACCGCGCACGTACAGCAGCCACGTGTGCGTAGAGCGGTCTGCGCGGGACCCGCCCGGCGCGTACTTCGACGTGTTGCCTGAGCGCAACCGCACTTTTACACATTCACGATAGCATAGAAATACGAGTAGCTTAAAATAATTTTTAAAATCCGCAAATCTTGTTTTACACTACTGAAATTGTAATAACACAATTCTATTTAAATGAATTCTTTTTTGTTCTGCGTGTTTTGCGGCTGTGTTAAATATTTTGCCAGCATAATTATAGCATGTCTTTGAACTATAGCTACGTGCTTGCATCAATTTCAATCTAATTAGTTAGTAACATTTTTTTAATATTGCAACTCAACTATCTCGCTCTCTTTTCACTGCTTGTGCTGGGTGTCGTGTCCCTAACTCCCTGAGACACCTGAGGGACTGACTGCAACCTTTACACCATGCGGTGCTGTTTTTCGGCACCCTAACGGGCACTATTTTACGCTATTTCACAGTTCTCCTTCTACCATCAGTTCTGAACCGGGAGTGTAATGATCACCAGGACCCCCACCTTCCCATGGCCCTACCAACCTCACGATTATACGGATGCAAACACTAGGCTCTTGCCAGAGTGCATTTTCTTGACTACCTACACATTATTATTTACTCTACTCCTTGTCCGTCTATATTACCTGGTAGTAAGCCGGAACTACCTTTCCGCGTATTATTTCATCCATCATCTTATATCGCAGGTCATTATACAAAGTGCATTCCCATAGCACATGATGTATACTTAAAGGCATCACCGCAATTACACATACCAGGCTAAACTAATTTGATGTCATACAGTCTTCTTGCACCTGTCTGCGCACGATCGATTCTACCGACACGTGTGACTTCCAAGTCAGCCAGAAGGACGCCAGCTAATACGGGAGTTCCGAAGTGCTTATCGTCCTATGATCACCAGGACCACATAGGTCCTCACCCTAGCTGCGGAGGGTATACTGACACATCAGTTAACGGCCGCCACACCACCTAAGCTGCCAGGGTTGACCAGGCGTCCCACGCTTAATGGATCAGACTATTTAGGCTGCTACCAGCGATAAGTACCAACACTCAGGGACGGTACCTACCTCCACTACCGACCGCGTACTATAAGAACAGACGCAAGTGCGAGTGAGGCGTAGACCTGTACCCCCGACCGAACCATGGCAATCTGACTGTGTGACTAAAATTAATAAATCTACTCTCTCTCTCTCTCTTCGCTCTCTCTGACACTAATAATTCTAATTTATTTAACCCTCTTCTATTCTTGGCACTGTGTACAATTTGATACGTTCAACTTTTAGAAAATCCCGAGACTTTCTTCATTTTTAAAACTTTTATTGTTTAAAATATTAGAAAATATTATTGTATTTCTACTAAAAATACTATTTAAGTGCTTGCAACACCAAAAAGAGATATATAACGCAAGATGGCGGACCGATTGAATGCGTCTACGCATCGTAAGGTAATAATAATCATTATTTGTTATATTTTGTTCAAATATTTGTCAAAAGTAGTCTAATTCGCATAGCTTATTATATATTCTAGTTATAAACGTTATTGTCCTTTACCTAAATGAATAGTATTTGAAAAGGACGAAGAGAGAACGAAATGTGAAATATGGGTAAATCAGGAATGTTTAGAACAGATAAATGAAATTGTATATTGAATAAAAATTTACGGATTTTATCGCGTTTATTTCACCACTTTTACTTATTTTTAGTTCCCGACGTTTCGGGTGCTTTACAGCAACCATGGTCACGGGGGGGGACTGAGATGTTTGACGTCCCAATGTCATAGTTAGTCCGGCTACCTTCAGTTTTTGAATATTACTTTTTGGTCCGATTTACGCCAAACGAGCTTAGAGTATCATGAAGTCTTGCAGTGGTATGCTTAGGTTTGGGTTTAATTTTGTTAATTATAGGATCCCAAGCAGGTGGCAGCACCCATCCATCTTCTCTATTGAAATTTGGATGTTTTTAATTTCAATAGCCTCGCGTATCATCCTTGATAGGAATCGGTGTTCTTTTGCGAGAATTTGTGGTTTATCAAAACGAATGTAATGGTGGGGACGATCTTGAACATGTTCGCAGACTGCAGACTTCCCGGAGCGTCGGTGCTTCACGTCAGCTATAAAAAAAACCCGCGTGAAAGAACATATAGCACCCGAAACGTCGGGAATTAAAAAATAAGTAAAAGTAGTGAAATAAACGCGATAAAATCAGTAAATTTAGTTTTACTCAATGTGTAGTGTTCGCGTAAATTTAGGAAATCATTATGAAAGATACTTTAAAAAAAAAAAAAAAAAAATTAGAAGTTATGAAATTGTATACTTGGGGAGTGCTTTCAGCCGGGATGGAAGATGTGATTTAGATGTGAACAGGCGTGTCGCTGCCGGGAACAAAGTCAATGGTGCCCTGAATGCGTTAGTCAAAAGGCAAGGCGTAGTGAAGAGTGCACGCCTTGCAATACATAACGCAGTGTTGGTACCGACTTTGTTATATGGCAGCGAAACCTGGGTATGCCAGAAGAAGCATAAAAGCAAGTTGAATGCAGTGGAGATGCGATCTCTTCGTAAAATGTGCGGCGTTACCATAGCCGACCGAAAGCGAAACGAAGAGATTCGCAATATGGCAGGATTGAAAGGTGACCTTATCACAAAAATTGATAGGGGCGTACTCCGATGGTTTGGGCACGTTGAGCGAATGAGTGAAGAACGAATAGTGAAGAAAATATATAGCGCGAAAGTAAATATTAAAAGGTGTCGAGGTAGACCGAGACTAAATTTCGAAGACCATGTAAGCAAATTACTCGAAGAGGGGAAAGTCAAGAGTACTCGGATACCTAGACGTGCATGTATGAAGAAGTTAATGAACCTGAACGAAGCGAAAGAGGTATGTAAGGATCGTGACACTTGGCGATCTGATCTCTCTGGCTACCCCGTTAGGGATTGTGCGTGAAGATAAGTAAGTAAGTAAATGAATAGTAAGTGCATGTAATCTTTTGTGTTTTACGAGTGTAGCATATATGATACATTGCTAGATGGCGAACATCCCAGATATTTTTAGCTACGTATCAAATATGTGACATTGCCTGATTTGTATAGACACTACTCGGGTTTGATTCACAGACCGCGACTATAGCTAGTCTCAATTAGATTCGCTGTTGTGGCCAAAATGTGATCAAGATGACAATTTTAACACTACTATTTCTTATTTTCTTCCGCAGGTACTTCGTCACCTTATTATTCAACAACAAAGAAGAGCTCGGCAACTCGTAGCTCTTGTTTCGAAACCGGCAAAATCGGATTTGGACGAAAGTGAATCATCTCCTCATATGGTATACCGATGGGTCCAAAATGGGCCTCGACGTAGGCATTAGAATTTACGGAGAACGCCCCAAAACGCAACGCAGAAATTTTCGCCATTTGGAAATTATCTACTCCGCCCAGAAGAAGTGAAATTGCTCACGGCTAAGCAACTCCTTCTATTCATTGAAGACATAAGGCTTAGCCGTGAACTATAGCCATAGCAGCGATCACAACAGATCTTCTAGGTCGCAGTGATACTGGTCTCTTTCCCTAGACCTGCATAACTGCTCGCACATAATAAAAATAAAGCCAGAATGGATACCAAAAAACGAAAATCACTAAAAAACTTTAGAATGGAAATTTTTGAAAGCCTACGGAGGTATGAAAGAACTGATATGAGCAATTTCACCAGGCCTGGCATGAAATCACCAAGACTATACAGAAGGCAACAGCTGAAAGACCACCAGATGTTGTTCGGTGTGATCAAGTTGCTCATTATCCAACTATAGTAACCAGCAGAGGAAGGTGTATGTATTGCACAAAAGGGCTAACTAAATTCTTTTGTCAAAAATGTAAATAGAGGTTGTGCTTTTTGCCGGAACGTAATTGTTTCATAGAATACCATACTAAAAATAATACTTTATTTATTTATTTATATTTTATCTTTAACTAACACTGATTTTTATGATTGATCTCAATTTACCAATAATTTAGATTTATAAGATACAAAGGCTGTTTATTTTATTTTAATTTTTGTATGTATGTAGACGAACAAAATAATTATGTTTTTTTTTATTTCACTGAGAATGTTGACATTTTAGGCTTTGTTTTGTTACAATTATATTTAAAACCCATTTATTAACTTTACTCAAACACTGGCAGTGTAACAAATTACATATGTAGATTTTATAGCGTTGATTGTTAAGGCCCTGGCAATGTATCTAATATGATACGCTCAATAAATGCTGAATTACTTATATTATATTTTTTATTTTTTTTATCCCTTCAACAACCACCCTAGAACATATTCAATATTATTTTTTACAATATTTCTAAAATATTTTTTCTTGCGAAGTATAGGGTTAACAAGGCAATTCCATTATCGCGGGTGCATTTTGACGCATGTAGTTGCATAATAACAAAATTAAAAAACCTTTTAAATAAAATTATTCTTGGAAAATCAACAAGTTTACTCTTTATTTCATTACAAGAATTTTAATGTAATATTTTCACTATACGTTTAGTCGGCGCGCCAACAATTTTAATATGTATTAAAAAATATTTTATTAAACATTCAGACCTTCTTTGCACTGATATAAAAAAGTAACAAATGGACATTTAAAAATTAATGTCTAAAATCGTATATAGTGGAATTGCCCTAAACCTAATATGCCACATCTCTTAAACGAATGTAAACAAGACGCAGCGATATGTCTAAATACATAAAGCTATTTCTCTTTTGGACATATTGTTAATCTCAAGCGTTGTAGTATTTTCCTACGGAAAGAGGTATTTCAATGACCCAAATTGACCTAGAATATCACTATATTTTTTTATTAGATATAAAAAGGTGCGCCGTTGATCGAAGCACTAATTATTTCGGAAACGACTATGAGCAATCGACCTACGACATCTGCGATTATTAAGGACCTCACCGAAGGAACTTAGCGATTTTGGACAACGTAATTGCATACTTCTTGTGTGTGTAAAAGAATACATTAATTTTTCATCCCAATCGGCATTTTAATCCCCCCCCCCCCCCGCAAAATAACATAAAGAGAAAATAGGACTAATTGGAGTATTGGGTCTTTAGTGAGATTACCAAGTCGACAAACTTCATACTCAAAGAGCTAGATTGGCACAAATGGCATTAATTCCAGCCTAAAAGAAAAGTAACTGGCCATAAAGATAAAGTAATCATACCTATAATAATCCTATACCGATGTTTCATTTTGTTTCTGGTAGCTTCGTCCAAAGTGACCACATTGACAACCTTTGGATCCAGATGTCGCGGTATCTTCTTAGGTTTCTCCGATTTATCAGGCTCATCGGGAGATTGTGGTGCAGAATCCGATGGTCTGTGTATTTCTGGTCGGAGTGATTTTGTGGAGTCAGCTGCCACTGTATAGTTGCGGGTCTGAAGCATGGCCTATAAAAGAATTAGACTCAATTGAAATAACTATAATTGAACTGATTTCATATACTACTAGATGGGTACTACAGTACTAATACATTGCGCTTTTAGTTACGCTCAATTCTTCATAATTTCTGTAGTCGAATAAGAGCAAGCGAGAAGACTAGTTCTTTTGTAAACCGCGAACGTTGTCTTCAACAATCCAACATTGAGTTTGTTTAATGTTACTAAGAATACGCTGTCATCATTCATGTTCGCACACTATCAATGATTTGAAGTTTATTTCAGATAAGTATGTTACGTTATTACGTATTTACCTAAAAAAGTTACTATCGTAAATGAAAATACAACTGCTTGGCATATTTACCCTGCCAACTAGCCCGCGCAGTTCACAGCTGCGACACAGTCTTGTTCCGAATTGCCGGTCCAGTAGTATAGATAGAAGTCTTTGATATAAACATATTTATTCTCATATTAGTGACAACCGACTTAAAGAGAAAAAAGTTCTTAAAATAAAATTTGGAAGTTATGATTTTTAAAAAATTTTACTTAAAATTCGTAAGGTGCGGTTAATTTATTTTCACTTTTATTACAGCCCAACCTAAGTTAATTATTTACCACAGGCGTCTCGATAGATACAACAAAGCATGATCCTGTGATCCATGAATAAGTGTTGCTTACAGAATAATCCTTTCTAGCCTTAAGCCTCGGCTCCCTTATTTTGAATATCTCTTGGAGGTCCACCGTCTTTTTACCCAGCAGCTTCCGCACAGATGGATGTATTTGGCGTTGACCATCACGCAAAAGTGTTGACACCTGAAGCAAAATTATATATTAATAAATTATTTTGCATGACGATATTACATATATTGTATAAATAATACATCATATGCTTAGCTAAATTTTAACCGAATTATAAAGGGAGATACTCTGTGGCAACCCAGGTGACAAGATGTAAAATATTTGCTCCCAAGTATTTAATAAAATTAAATATTGTAAATTGATAATATCCACCTCAATTTTGAGTTACAGTAGTTAAAAACTACTTAATTGTGTTTGTAAAATAAGTAAAAGTCATAAGTATTTGAAATAAATACTGTTTAGTGTTTCAACTAAAAGTGACAGCAGTAACGAACATAACTTTCTGTAAGTGAAATTCTTGTTATCCCTTATTATAAGCTTATTATAAGTTAAAGCTTAAAATATTATAGCTAATATTTTAAGCTTTAACTTTTAAGTAAGTGTGTTTCGGATTTCATTTTGAATTATCTACTTTATAATTTAATTTGAGATATGTAAATAGAACCATAGATCTAGATATTGGCTTACTCTGCTTCTTCGATTTTTTTATTAGTTTTCTTTTGATATTTACACATAATAGTAAAACGAATACAAACGCAACGAAACACCAAAACGCGCCAAATGGAGAACCAACTTCAAATGAAACACTTCAAGAACTTAAGACGTCAAAGGAGTAGTGTGAGCTGTTGCTTAAAGATAGGAATGACAATGAAAAGGAAATAATAAATATTATAATTGCCAAAAATACTAAGCTGAAAAGTGATATGGTTGAGTTGCATACAGACTATGCAAATATTCTAAAAGAAAGGGATCAGCTTCAGGTGTTCCCTGAATGAGTCGATGAGTTTAACCGATGCAGCAAGGAATATGACAAATCCCTCAGATTAACAGTTGCATTACAATTACAGTTACAAACAATAAAAAGATTACTTGAAAGTGTCCCAAACTCATCTGTTCAATGAACTCATAGAATGTAAATCTTTTAAAACATTGCAACCCTCCACAAAAATCGATTTGACTGGCGATGATATTGTCACTTCAAAGAATTACTTGCAGTAGAAAAAAATTAAAGAAATACATAAAAATTTATAAATATGTTAAGAAAGTGCAAAAGTTAATTAAAATCAATATAAAAATTACATAAATATATGTACGGAAAAGCAAGAATTAATTAATAAGCTTAAATTATACGTAATTGAGGTGAAAAACATAAAAATCGGTTATGAGATTGAAATAGAGTGTCTCAATTCCCAAGTTTTATCACTTAAAACTTCCTACAAATTATATCGAATAAATATGCATCAGCTCAGGTCATCCTGATTTTTCTCATGATATGAATGATCTGGTAAAGTCGTGTAAATATAATGAGGAGACCTTTGACTCCTTAATAAAACATCATAGTGAGTATCAGAGCTCCATACCATGTTCATCGAGGACAGTATGTGTAAATAATAATGTAAATAGTAATGACTCCTTATTTCCACCTACACTCTATGACAGTGCCATGACAAAGAATTTAAACTTAAAAAGTAATTTAAATATTAAAAGACAAAGTTATTATGTATTGTGATGACATAGGGAAAATTTTGAAGTTTTATATTACTATATTCAAACGGTTTCACCTACCTACGAAAATTCTATTAGAATGCATTGTTTAGCATGCAATAAAATCCCTCGTAGTGACGAACAGCTTAAATGTATTGCATGTAAGGGATGTTATCATTACAAGTGCTATAATTTTTCAACATCTTTCTATAAAGACAATTTACATGAATTAAAACGGCAATGAAAGTGCCAATCATGTAAGCAAGTAACGCGCCGTAAAGATGATAATACGCCTGTCCGTAAGCAGATCCTATCACCGCCCCTACCAATAATGCAAAAACCTCGTGTACAACAAAATGTATTCATTAAGGGATGTTATCATTACAAGTGCTATAATTTTTCAACATCTTTCTATAAAGACAATTTACATGAATTAAAACGGCAATGAAAGTGCCAATCATGTAAGCAAGTAACGCGCCGTAAAGATGATAATACGCCTGTCCGTAAGCAGATCCTATCACCGCCCACCGACAACTCGGATACGTCTTCCGATAACATAGTACCGCAGACGGTTGATTTTACCGAGAAAAATGTCTCCTATCACTCTAACTCTAGCAGTGTACTACCATCGGCGACTATTACATATGATCAGTTTAGCGCACTCTTGGACTTGAAATTGTCGGATATGAGGTCTGCAATTAGGGAGGATATCAACTGCGCTATATGTAAACTTAAGGCGGAGTTCACTGAGACGACTGACCACTTAGCCGCACTTCAATGTGATATGCAAACAAAATTAGATATTGCAACAAAAAATATCGCTAAAATGGAAACGGAAAAAACCACACTAGAATCGCAGACAAAAAAATTATAACATTTATTATATAACATTAGAAAAAATTTCTAGGGTTGTAATTTTGAAATACAGTGTGTACCAGAAAAGAAAAACGAAAATTTGCTTTCCATTGTGTGTAAACCGTTAACAGAAATAAAAATGTCATTTAGTGAGACTGACATTAAAGCTGTAAGGCGAGTTCCAAATCATCATCATCATCATCATTACAGCCCTTCACAAGTCCACTGCTGAACATAGGCCTCCCCCAAGTAATGCCACAAAGCACGGTCCTGAGCCACCTGCATCCATCGACTTCCTGCATGTCTTACCAGGTCGTCACTCCATCTAGTGGGGGGGTCGCCCTACACTACGCCTACCGGTACGAGGCTGCCACTCGAGAACCTTTCTTCCCCATCGGTTATCGGTTCTTCGAGCTATATGGCCGGCCCATTGCCACTTCAGCTTACTAATCCGTTGGGCTATGTCGGTCACTCTGGTTTTACTGCGGATATCCTCATTTCTGAGTCTATCACGCAGAGAAACTCCGAGCATAGCCCTCTCCATAGCTCGCTGAGCGACCTTAAGCGTCCTCATACGGCCAGCAGTGAAGGACCACATCTCAGATCCGTAAGTCATCACTGGCAACACGCACTGGTTGTACAATCTAGTTTTTAGAGATTGAGGTATACCTGACGAAAAGATATGCCGTAATTTCCCGAACGCTGCCCAGCCGAGTTGAATCCGTCGATTGACCTCTCGGTCGAAGTTGGACTTACCTAGTCGGACTATTTGTCCCAGGTAAACGTATTCGTCAACAACTTCGAGCATAGTGCTCCCAACAACTACCGGCATAGGTGTGACATGGACATTGAACATGATCTTTGTTTTGTCCATGTTCATCTTAAGACCTATCCGTTGGGAGGCACTATTGAGGTCATTGAGCATAGTGCTTAAGTCCTCCAGCGATTCTGCCATAAGGACTATATCGTCGGCAAATCGAAGGTGAGTGATGTACTCGCCATTGATGTCAATACCGTATCCTTTCCAGTCCAGTAGCTTGAAAACGTCTTCCAATGCAGCGGTGAAGAGTTTCGGGGATATAACGTCACCCTGTCTTACACCTCTCTGCAGTTGGATAGGTTTCGAGCTCTGGTTCTGTACTCGGATAGCCATCGTAGCCCTACTGTACAAACACTTCAGCACTTCGATATACCGACAGTCAACTTGGCACCGCTGAAGGGACTGTAGCACCGCCAAATTTCGACGGAATCAAAGGCTTTCTCATAGTCCACATACGCCAGGCAAAGTGGCAGATTGTACTCTTCAGTTTTCTGTACAATCTGCCGCAGGGTATGTATGTGGTCTATGGTACTGAAGCCTTTTCGGAAACCGGCTTGTTCGGGAGGCTGGAAGTCGTCAAGTCTGCGTGCGAGACGATTCGTAATGACTCTCGAAAACAGCACGTAGACGCGGCTCAGAAGGGAAATCGGTCTGTAGTTCTTTAAGAGAGCGTTGTCGCCTTTCTTAAAGAACAAGACCACCGCACTTCTGCTCCACGCCTCTGGAGTAGTGCCACCATGGAGGACGGAATTGAAGAGCTTCTGAAGGACTTCAAGTACCGGTGTTCCACCCGCTTTCAGAAGCTCCGCTGTAATTCCATCCTCGCCTGGGGCCCTGCCGTTTTTAAGGTGCTGGAGAGCCATTCTAATCTCGCTTAGACTGACGTCCGGGATATCATCGGAATAGTGTCGGATAAGACTTGCTCTTGGATCGTTACTCACACTTGCGTGTGGCTCCAACGATGATGTGTACAGCTGCCCATAGAACCTCTCAATCTCACTCAAAATCTCAGGTGTCCCGGAAACGATGTTGCCACACTCAGTCTTCAGCCTTGACAGTTGGCTCTTTCTGGCAGACAGATCTCTGGCAAAGACTTTGGAGCCCTGGTTCCGCTCGATCGCTTCTTTAATACGAGAAGTATTAAAGTTGCGTAAGTCTCGCCGTATGCATTTGGAGATCTGTCTGTTCAGTTGCCTGTATGCTGTCAAATCTGTTGACGATTGCAGCCTCATCTCCCGTCTAACAGCCATGAGATTAAGAGTGTGATCGGAGAGTTTTTGTGTTCTTCTGCGGCGGGTCTTGCAGAACTTAGCTCCGACCGCATGGACAGTTTCCACGAGCTTGTCGTTCATATCGTCCACTGCATTGCTATCTTCTAGGCACTGGAAGCGGTTACGTAACTCGAGCTGAAAGGTTTCGGGATTCTGGATTAGAGCACGAGGGGGACGGAGCGTTGACTTCATTAGACGAGACCTCTCCAACTTAACGTTTAGGTTCAGTGTGCCTCTAACCATTCGGTGATCGCTGCCAGTTTTCACCCTTGCGATCACTGAGACATCACTGAACAGTTGGCGTCTGGTCGTCATAATGAAGTCAATCTCATTTTTTGTCGAACCGTCGGGGCTCGACCAGGTCCACTTCCTGTAGGGCCGCTTCTGGAAGAAAGAGTTCATCATAAAGAGTCCCTCTTTCTCCATAAAGTCGGCCAGCTGCTGGCCCCTTCGGTTCCGTTGCCCTACTCCAAATTTCCCTACCTTCAGCTCACCGCTTTCTCTTGTGCCCAGTTTTGCGTTGAAGTCTCCCATCAACACCGTGTAGTAGGTTTTGGAGGAATGTATGGCTCTGGAAATATCCTCATACATTTCCTCCACCTCCTCATCGGGATGTGCCGAGGTTGGTGCGTAAACCTGAATGACCTTCAGCGAATACCGTTTGGTGATTCTGAGTATCAGGTACGCGACCCTCGTCGACACACTCCCAATCTTTACAACGTTGTTGACGAGAGATTTGTGGACGATAAATCCGACACCTCCTTGGGACAGATGGTCGCCCTCCCGGTGATAGAACAAGTTGCCGGACTCGAGGATTGCCGTGTCCTCCCCCTCTCTTCGGACCTCGGATAATCCAATAATATGCCAGCGCAACTTGTCTACCTCTTCTTCCAGCTCCAGTATCTTCTCGTCAGTCCTCAGGGTGCGTGCGTTATACGTTGCCAGGTCGAGTCGTCGTAGGTGGCAACCGAACCTCCACCGGAGATTCTTAGCACCCCCTGCCCCGCCGTTACCGTGGTCGCCACCGTAGCCAGGAATAGCGGGGCCGCCGGGGACTGGGGGCCGTCTGTTTGTGTATTTATTCATTGGGGGGTTATTTGCCATAGTTGCCACGCTTGGCGAGCGGGTTGGCAACCGCAGTTTTTTATTACGTCACAGTTGTCATCAGGAAGACGCTGCTGCCCATCTCCTGCCTGTCTCCCTCTGTCGCCTCTTACGACACCCACGGGAAGATATGGGGTAGTGGATATTCTTAACCGCCACTACACGGCACGGTTCCAAAAATTGATAAAAATTCAAAAAGACCGCGTGGGATACTCGTACTTTACCATCGGAGCGCAACCGAGATAACGTGATATCTGCTTACAAACGTTACAAGAACAATAAATCTACCCAATTGAATTCTGCTTATTTGGGCATACATGGAGAGGAGTGCATCGTTTATGTTTCAGAACACCTTTCACCAGAAATAAAACAGCTTCATACCGCAGCAAGATTAACCGCCAAGCACTTGTCATATAAAAATGTCTGGGTTAAGTATGACCGTGTTTATATGAGAAAAGATGATAATTCAACTGCCGTACATGTTAAAATACAAACACTCTTGACACTTTAAAACAGTAGATTTTTTTGTTTCTTATTATTTTAATATAACTTTTAATTTTTATGTAATACTTGATAAATTCTTTATTAATGGATATTTATTACCAAAACGTAAATAGAATCAGGACGAAAGTTACTGATATTTATTTTTATACTTTAAGCTGTAATTTTGATGTTATATGTTTTACGGAAACGAATTTAAATGATGGTGTATTCGATTCTGAAATGTTTGATTCCCAATTTACTGCATTCAGAAGGGACCGTTATACAAGTTGTATTTCTAAGCATGATGGCGGTGGCGTATTAATTGCTGTTAAGGACAAGTATCATGTAATTAGACAAACGAATTGGGAATGTGAAGTTGAAGATCTTTGGGTGACTATCCTTCCGAGCAATGTTTTTTTTTGTCGAAAGCTCCACTTATGTTTATGTTATCTCCCTCCCAATATTTTTCGCGACCACTTGCAAGCCTTTTACGACAATGTTCATAAAAACGTATCTCGTGTTGAGGATAAAGACACATTTTTACTTATTGGCGATTTTAACACCTCCCATCTGAGTTGGTACTTATAGTAACGTTATGACACCTGGTATTTCATCCGACTCTAAATCTAATTGCCTTGTTGATATTATGAATCTTTGTAACCTATTTCAACTAAATTCAGTCTATAATGTGAATAGCCGTCTTCTTGATCTCGTCTTGTCAACAACTGAGAAAGTACTCGTAACATATACTGAGCCTTTTACTCGAATAGATTCACATCACCCCCCCACTGAAAATTGTATTAATGGAAAATTTTAAATTAAAAAAATTAAGCGTGCGCAACTAATAAGATATAACTACTGCAAATGTAATTATCCTGATTTAAAAGAGAATCTTGCAACTGTTGATTGGTCTAACTTATTAAATGAACCGGATATAAATGAGGTAGTTTTACACTCTCTTGAAAAAGTTAATTGCAAAACACACACCGCTTGTAAGTAAAACCAATAACAAATATCCACCATGGTATACTTCAGCATTAATAAAGTGTCTCAAAGAAAAAGATAAATATCACCGTCGTTTTAAAAAATATCATAATCCTAAAGATTACGACACTTATGCATTGCTACGTACGAGATGTAAAAAACTCACGGAATCGGTGTACGCATCGTTTACTACCTCCATGAGAGAAGGTCTATCTGATAACATAAAGATATTTTGGAATTTTGTTAGCAATAAAGTAGGTAGCTCAGGTATGCCACAGACTATGACTCTTGGTACGGAATCTTCTTCTGACGCACAAGGAATATGTGAACTTTTTTCTCGGTACTTCAGTCCAGCTTTCGAAGTTTTTTAACCAGTCATTAACCAGGATTTTGTTACTAATGATATTGTAGACTCTGATAGTTATTGTAATTACAGTATGTGTAATATAGAACTAAGTCAGGATACAATATTGGACAAATTAAAGGAATTAGATACTCGCAAAGGTCCAGGGTATGATGGTATTCCCGCTATATTTTTCTCAAATTGTGCAAGGCAACTGCGTGAACCACTAACATTATTGTTTAATAAGTCATTAAAGTCTGGTGCTTTCCCTTCCATTTGGAAACTGGCTCACATCGTACCCATTCACAAGTCCGGAAATAAGTCTAACTGCGAAAACTATAGACCTATTAGCATTTTGTGCTGTGTTGCTAAGGTTTTTGAATCTGCGTTGTATGATCATCTTTACTCTCATATTAAGCCGCTTATATCTAGCAAGCAGCACGGTTTCGTGAGAGGCAGATCAACAGCGACTAATTTGTTAGAATACAAAAACTACTTATGCGAGGTTTTCGCCGTGGGTGGGCAGGTTGACGCCGTGTACACCGATTTTACAAAGCTTTCGACAAAGCAAACCATTATTTACTCTGTAAAAAATTAGCTATGTCGGGTATTCATGGAAATCTAATGCGCTGGGTTCATTCGTACCTCGATAATAGAAGCTAACTTGTCGCTCTCAAAGGTTTCAACCCTAACACAATTTCCGGAGTCATCTGATGAATTTGAAGAGGTGCAACTGCCTAATCATGAAAGGTGTGCCACACACACATTACATTTGATAGCTTCAAAAGATAAAAAACTTTATGATGCAGCCATGGCAAAATGTCAAGCAGTTTGGAATCTATGTTCAAGGTCTCCGAAAGCCTGTGAAATCTATCTAGAATCAACTGGAAAATCCCCTACTTCTCCATGTCCAACACGATGGAATTCATATTATAATTGCATTCAAGATCTACTAGCAGTAAAGGATACCCTAAACGAAACTTTAAAAAAACTACAATTGGTAATTTTTAAAGAAATTGAAATCAAATTTCTTCATGAATACATAAGCTGTTCAAAGCCTATTGCTGAGGGAATCAGAAGTTTAGAATGTGACAAAAATACTTATTACGGATGTCTTATACCAGAACTTGTGAGAATGCAAAGATTTCTATATATATTGATAGAAGTTGTTAAAGAAAGTCTTAATAGAAGTTTTGAGAGGTTTTATAAATTAGAGGAGCCAAAAGCAAAAAATGGCACAATAGCATCTGTGTCTTATCCCTTTTTCAAAATTAAATGGGTGCCAAAAGCCAACAGAGAATACATTAAAGAAGTATTTGTTTCAGAAGTGAGAAAGATAAAACAAGAACGTGAAAAGAGTTCCCAAGTCCAACATATTGACTTTAATAAAAAGAAGGAGAGAGCAGAATCGTATTATATGTTTGTTGAGGACTCTGATTCTTCAGCAGCCAGTGATAATGCCAATACTACAATAGATTTGGAAGCACTACAATATTTAAAAGATGAAGACAATACTTTAGAATCCTTGAACAAATTTCCAAATATAAGAAAAAACTCTTCCTCAAATATAATACCTGCTTACCAAGTTCTGCACCTGTTGAACGACTATTTTCAGTCGGTGGAATGATTATGAGGCCCCATAGTCGTAACATGAAAGATGAACTCTTTGAACAAATACTAGTATTAAAATCAGTTAAATAATTAATAAGGTATTTTATTTGGAAAACCTATTTTGAAATACGTATTTTGCATTTTGTATTTAAATACTTTTAATAAACCATTTTTAACATCTCTGGATATGGGTGAGGGCACACCTAGTTCACGTGCCACCGAGCGCGTACTCCGCGTCGCATCTTCCTCAAACATGTCGAGAATGTGCTCCTCGATGTCGTCGTCGTACATCCTCGGTCTTCCTGAATCTGTACGTTGTTAATCACGGCCATGCACACTTCCAGTATTGTACATACGAATGTGAAGTCGTTGGAACGTCATTGCCGACGGCAATTGTATATTTCGTGGAGTAGCAAAGCACTCCCCGTAAAGTCTTCGTGCTGCTGCATAATTGCAGTTACATTTCCCGAGACACATCAACATATTAAAACATACCTCGTTTGAGTAAGACATCGCACACAAGTCACTCACGGCGGAATATTAATTTCGCAATATAAAACACAACCGTCAATATCAGTGCTAACGCGCTACTGGTGCTTGATGCTTGTTTGTTTAAGCGGGCTACAACGACACGATATCGGTGGCGATCTAGGGTGGAGTAGTGGGGATGCCTCCTAGATTGCCTCTAAATCGTGTCGTATGTAGAGCCATCCTAAGTCGTAGCCGATATCGCCTCCTTAATCGGCTGGCAGGAGCAAAAATGCTTCCTAGATCAGCCGATGCTTCCTAGATCGGGGCACCGCCCCCTCCTTACTGCGTGTGTGTAGGCGCATCGGCCCGATTTCTTTTGGCAGTCGCTGCCGGCAACCCTCGCGGAAGGAAGTTAACAAAACAGTGATACTGAATGACCTTTTTTATGTAACAAAATTTCTACATTTTAATCATATAAACGGAGCAGAAGCCTATGGCACTGATATTTTACAAAAAACCAAAAAAAAGTGAATAAAATAAATAAATTAAATTAAATTTTATCGAAATTCAAATCATATCCACCCTAGCCTGTGACCCTGCGAAGTGACATGGTCAAGAATGCCTACTAAACTAATTTTTTATTGCCGTTCGTAAAGTAGAGTGTATGATGTAAGTAAGGAGAAGTTAAAGCCTCTCCTCAACAACTAACTCCTATTCCAACACTATCAAAACAAGACCGCACTCATATCTCTTACAACTCCACAAGACCACAATTCGATCTCTTACGTGCCTTCATCCTCTTATAAACAAACTTCTACTCCTTCACCATCTCCACATCAACAAACAAGTTATATAAAAGGGAGTATGTCCGAAATTAAAGGTTTCTTTATGTTTAAAAAAAAGATATAAGCTATTTTATTTTCTGATAGTTTTACTCCATAAATAAAGATTACATTAAAAAAAAAGTATACATATTATTATACAAAAGTATTTTATTTCCTTGTTTGTTGTGTGTAATACATAACCAGATTTTGACCAAAGCAGAAATGAACAAAGAGAAGAAATAACTAAATAGCATAGGTACATAGGAGAAATTGATGTTTTTATATAAGTGGCGAAATCATTTCTAGAAGGTTATAAAAACTGTTTTCATCCATCCGGAGAAAATTAATCATGTCTTTGGAATACAATTACGTACGTAATAATTTAGTACGTTTATGTGGCTTAATTTTTGTCTCTTTTGGAGCCATTTTTCACCCAGCAACTCCTCTTTTTCTATTTTCGAATAAATTTACCGAGAGGGCTAATGCCAAACCAATACATTGGTGTTTTAAGAGAGTTGAAGCTATTTTGAAGAACTCTACCGCATATGTGTTCCGCTCCAAGTCCGAACGCGTACTGCTAGGCAGGCCCGTGTGTAGGGTCTGCCCCGATAAAAGCCCCGATTTCTTTCCACCCTAGATCGCCACCGATATCGTCTCGTGTGTAGCCCGTTTTACATAGACGTGGCAAAGCTGTTGTACTCTATAACATAATTTTGATATTTTCTAAATCGATAAAAATTTCGTGATTTTTTTATGTTATTTTTTTAATAATAGTGATTATTTATTTATTTATTTCAGACAGCGTCCGTAAGTGTTATTAAGAAACTAAATTATAGCTAGGATTAATAAAAATACATTAAAACACTTTTATAACAAGAAACATTTAACAAATTGTATTATAAATCCACACAATAACAAATACTTATACTATTATGCTGCTATGTTTTTCAAAATCTAATAATTAGCATTTTTTTATCGACCGACGATTAACAATACTTATTTATATTTCTATTCTTGACCACTGAATTGTGACAAAATTTTATGTTTATAAACCTTCCCATGTTTTTAAATATTACTACTAAATATTAGCACAGAATAAATAATAGATACGACGACCACGAAGATGTTGTTCAATATGTCCACCTGTCACACATTTGCGGCACCGGCTTATATGTTTTATCGACCGACGATAAACAACCCTTATTTTTATTTTTATTCTTGATCACTGAATTGTGACAAAATTTTATGTTCATAAAACTTCTCATGGTTTTAAATATTACTGCTAAATATTAGCACAGAATAAATAATAGATATTGGATCAAAATTAGTTAATCGGCATATAGTGGACGCTTCTTTTTATCACTCAAAGAGTGGAGTTTTTTGGGTTTTTCCTAGTACCTAAGTCCTTCGTCGGCTTTCGCTTTTGAGTTCAAAGAGCGCGCAAAACGCCGCGTATATTACCTATTAATTTTGTTTTGTTTATTATATTCTAGCAATAAACGACAATATGAATTTATTTAAAAAAATAATTACTACCTACTACATAAATTCTTTATCGAATAATATTTCATATGAAAAATACATACTAAATTTCTCCCACAAATAGTTGCAAATTTGGAATTAATCACTATATTTTATGCATGAAATAACCTTTTTAAATATTTTCGTAGATATATTTAGCAAAAAAAGTGGAAATTTATAACATAAGTATTCAAATGATACTTATAATATACATAATGATACTAGATATAAAAGTATAGTTGTAGCACGAATGGGTCGACTCGACCGGGGATGGACCACGCTCTAACAGAATACCAGCGTGAAATGGTTGCTTAATGCTGCTGTATTTCGTATGGTGAGTGTAGAGAATCGGACAACCTTTATACTGGAAATGAGGCATTCCATCTTAGTCCTCACGGGTGACAACGCATCTGCATTTTGATTCGTAATCAAGGATAGATGTAGATGTCTATGGGCCACAGCAACCACTCACCATCAGGTGGACTATGTGCTCGTTTGTCTCCTTATACGATAAAAAATACTATGTGTATTGGGGTTGAAATAATAACCATTTCATTATAATTTCTGTTATTTTGAAATTAAAATTTTCTGAGAATAACTGAGTCTAGATAGGTATAAAGATTAACACAAAAACCTTGGGGAAGCACGCGCCGCTTAGCGGCTTGCTTTGAGTCGGCCATGTCAGTGATCTCATATCGGCCATAGACTATTATTTATTCTGTGACGTAGATAATGTTATGTCGGCACGTGTCGGTAAGTTCAGAAGCAAATAACATTTTTAGAAATTTAATATTTCTTAAGTTAAATTATTAGACCTAAAAACCCCATTTAAAGCAACCAAAAAAAATTTTCTTTATCATAATTACCATGCCTATGTGTACACCTATACGTCCCTGAAACGACCAACAGGGTTTTTGTTACATACTGTATATATATATATATAATTTTAATGTATTTTGATTGTTATCTGTTTTGTTGTCCATATATTATATAAATAAATAAGTAACAATATTCGTATTTGTACTATATCTACATTATATATATATATATATATATATATATATATATATATATATATATATATATATATATATATATTGTGTCATATTTTATGTATTACTGAACATTGGCTAAAAGCTTATAACTTAATGTTTAAATTCAGTGATCACCAGATGGTCAGTTCTTTCAATAGAGAAAGGGTTTGAAGAGGTGGTTTCTTAATTTTAGCTAGTAAATTATTATCATGTAAACAACGTAAAGATATTGTGAGCCTCTCTGTTGAGCGAATTCTTGAAATGGCATGTGTTGAGTTTGAGCACCTCATTGTTGTGAGCGTCTACAGACTCCGATGTTCTATACACGATACTTTTTTTAAAATGAAGGAGGGAGTTTTCGCTAAGCTTAATAAACAGAATAAATCTGTTGTAATTTGTGGAGACTTTAATATCAATCTCCTAAAAGCTTCCTCCATCTATATTAAATTTAGATCATTGTTTAAATCTTATGGTCTTTTTAATTTATTTTTGGAGCCAACATGTATTGCTGAATCTAGTGCAACATGTATAGATAACATTTTGACAAATTTTAAGCCGTTCCATAAATGTATAATTCAAAAATTGAGCTCTGATCACTATGGACAATTAGTTTCGTTACCTTATGTTCACAAAAAGTGAAAAGTAGTAGATGAAAAAGTTGTTGTTTGTTACAGTAAATGCAGGTCGCTTGGAGAAGTTTAGAAGTAACATAGTAAAAAAAACTTACATCCCTTTCATACCAAAATAAACCAGATTTTTTGTATGGAACATTATTTAAGCTTATTTTTAATGAATTTGATAATACTTTTACTTATAAAACATTCTCCTCCAAGGTAATTTAATTTAGAATACAATTTTATTTACATTAAGCCCTTAATCGACGCGGACAATCATCAATCGCACCACGCACCACACTCACATCTATTTCTGCCGCTGCTTTAGCCGAAGATACTCGGAGAGATTCCAAATTCTGATTAGGTTTAACGCAGACTTTCTGCTCTAAATGTTGCCATATCTCATAATCCAGTGGGCTTAAATCTGGACTAGAAGAGGGACAGTCATCATGTCCGATAAAGCCAATTCCATCAGCGGTTAACCAGTTTTGCGTGCTTCGTGCCCTATGAGCTGGTGCAGAGTCCTGTTGGAATATACAATGTCTGTTTTTAAACATTGTTTGTGAAAAAGGTTCCACTATGTTTGTTAGGACGGTATTTTGGTACATCTCGGCATTGGTTTTTACAATTTTTTCATAAAGAAAACACCTCAGTTAAGCCTGAATATGAGACTCCAAGCCAAGCCATGAGTGACGAAGGATAATGTGCTCGTTGAACCCTCGGAATACGCGGGCTGGCTTCTTCACTGCTGTGGGCATACACCTTATCATTTTGTTTGTTATAACTTTCTTCGATGTTAAAAAAAATTTCATTCGAAAACAAAATTTCGCGGTATTTTTTTCCTACGTACCGCCGTAACAAAGCGCGGGGTCTATTCAGTCTATTTTTTTTTCAAACGCTCGTTCAAAAAATGTCGCGTCTTCTCACGATAAGCTCGTAGTCCTAGGTCTTCATTTCTCGCTCTTTTGAACGTGGTTCTGCTTAGGCCCATATGAAGATTTTTTGCTCACGAACAAGATTTCGTTGGATTCGCGCCTTCACTGTTATGACGATCGCGGGTGTTCTAAATGTACTAGGTCGGCCGGTCCTCTTACGATCTTCGAAGCTTGAATCTTCAGTGAATCGTTTGATAGTGGGATATACAAATCGTGGGGTTATTTTCAATTTTTGTAGAATATTGAAAATCATCTCTTCTTTCTTCGACCACTCCATATTTGAAAATTAATGAAAATTAATGTATTTTTATTTTCGGCAAGCGCAAACGTTATATTTTTAAAATTGGTGAAGTTCATCTAGCCAGTATTCAAAAAAATTAAATAATAAGGTTTTGACAGAATATATGACCCGACTAAGTATTATCGTTAAAACTCGTATTTTCCGAATATTTCCGTAAAATACCAAGTGTTGCCAACATGGTTAATGAAGTGACAAATAAGCGATTTCAAAATAAATACAATTTACTACACAAAATAAATATATTAACGAAAATTTATTTAATATCTACTAAATCAGTTTGTGATAATAATCATTGCATTAAGATGTGTAGTGGATTCTGAATATATTATAATTTAATATAATCGATAACTAGCCTTTATCAAAATATTATACAAAATAAAGACCAAATAAGTCGAATCGAAACTAGCCACTTCGTAGCAAATGCATGCAATTTGTGTAAAATTAACTGGTGTCATTGCAACCGAAAGTACTGCAATGTAGTGATCTACGCCATAACTTTAGCTATCGATAAGTTAATTAACCCATTCGAGTTTGTCTGCCGAATAGGTTTTTATTTTTGTTTAGATTATATAATAAAGTATTACAAAAAGTAGTAATTTTTTTATTATTGGTTTAATAATAATAATAAAAATTGTTTATTCAGTAAATGATCATACATAAATTATAACCGGGATGAGGTCTCCTTTTAGGTATAAAAACTTGTGTTAGGAGACTCCACTCTTCCATAGCACCTTACATTACTATTTGCATGATCTTTCCATAATAATTAGCTATAAAAAATGAAATAAAAAAGTAATAATATTCACGCCAAATGTATATACACGCGCAAAACTACCAGAACTAAAAAACATACACGCACAAAACTAACAAAACTACCTTCAAACTATCAGTTTGGTTTGGTATTTGAAAAGAACGAAGAGAGAACGAAATGTGAAATATGGGTAAATCAGGAATGTCTAGAACAGGTAAATGAAATTGTATACTTGGGGAGTGCTTTCAGCCGGGATGGAAGATGTGATTTAGATGTGAACAGGCGTGTCGCTGCCGGAAACAAAGTCAATGGTGCCCCGAATGCATTAGTAAAAAAGGCAAGGCGTGGTGAAGAGTGCACGCCTTGCAATACATAACGCAGTGTTGGTACCGACTTTGTTATATGGCAGCGAAACCTGGGTATGCCAGAAGAAGCATAAAAGCAAGTTGAATGCAGTGGAGATGCGATCTCTTCGTAAAATGTGTGGCGTTACCTTAGCCGACCGAAAGCAAAACGAAGAGATTCGCAATATGGCAGGATTGAAAGATGACCTTATCACAAAAATTGATAGGGGCGTACTCCAATGGTTTGGGCACGTTGAACGAATGAGTGAAGACCGAATGGTGAAGAAAATATATAGAGCGAAAGTAAATATTAAAAGGTGTCGAGGTAGACCGAGACTAACTTTCGAAGACCATGTGAGCAAATTGCTCGAAGAGGGGAGGGTCAAGAGTACTCGGATACCTAGACGTGCATGTATGAAGAAGTTAATGAACCTGAAAGAAGCGAAAGAGGTATGTAAGGATCGTGACACTTGGCGATCTGTTCTCTCTGGCTACCCTGTTAGGGATTGTGCGTGAAGATAAGTAATAATAATAAAAATTTATTAAATCTAAATTATGACGAAGTAAATAATGCTATATATAAATTAGTAAATTGGGTTAATGTTAATGGTTTTCATTTAAATGGCCCTAAAACTAAATATACGAAATTCACAACTCCGAATGTCAAACATGTACTAATGTAATTTGAAATGAGGAGGGGCTTAGTCATGTTGATAACAACATTTTTCTTGGAATCACACTAGACGAAAAACTTCAACGGGGCCCCTATATATCAAAACTAGCAAGCAGACTTAGTTCTACAGTTCTCAAAACATTTATGAAAATGTAATGTACGTACACAAAATTAGAAGTAGTTTTACAAAAATAAGTGATATTCATGTGTTTGTTTTTTTCATTCTGTAAATACTAGGAACAGACACAAGCTAGTAGTACCAGTTACTCGACTGCACCGAGTCAGTAATTCATTCTTATGGCGATGTATACGGTTTTACAACAAAATCCCAGAAAATATACAAAATTTGATCTCCACAAAGTTCAAAAACTTTATTAAACTAAGTTTGTATTAAATTAAAGGGTTAGTAGCTGGATGCTGGATAAAAAAATACTGAGCTTTCCTCGGTATTTTTTTTGGAATTATATTTAGATACAAATAACATACTGATGGAATATGAATAATATTTTTTGATCTTATTGACATAATAGAAAAAACTGAACTGGTTATTTGAATTAAAAATCATGAGTGCAATTAGTTTAATTTAAATTTTCGTGTTTTTTAAAAAAAGGCTCGAAATAATTGATTTTCTCACAAAAGTAGGGAACTTGAAAAAAAAAGGAAAAAAGTCGGACCGAAGACAGGACGCGAACTAGGTCACCTCGATTTCGCAACCGCCGGATATCCCACATGAGCTATTACGATCATTAATACACTGACAAAATTTGCCTTCTTATATTGTAGCAGTTTTTCACTGTCTAAAAACACAAACAAAACGACATTTTCTAAAAATGAATCCTAGCTAGATTGATTTATTGCCCCCGAAACCCCCCTGCACACTAAATTTTATGAAAATAGTTGGAGCCATTTCCGAGATTCCGATTATATATATAAGAATTGCTCGTTTAAAGGTAGGTTTAAAGGTAATATTAAGGAATTTATGAATGATAATAACCTCTGGGAAGGGTGATCGCTACCAAGCTATTTATAATTTGTTATGTGTTGTTAATTGTAACATACATGATTGTAAGCTGTTTTTTTAAGTCCCGCTGGGTTTCTTTCTGGTTCTTTCCAGGACAGAGGTTTTTTCTGAACTGGTGGTAAATTAAAAAAGTGACTTTTAAAAGTATTATTTATAATCTATATTGAATAAAAAAAGTTTCTGTTTCTGATTCTGGAGGCAGTACTCTATTCGACTGTATATTTTTTCTGCTTAAACCGATTTTATCATTTTTTATTTATTTTAAAGCTGGTGCTTCTAGTGTGTTCCCATATAAATTTGATCAAGACCTGACCAGTAATTTTTGAGTTTATCATGCGTATTTAATTGACTACGAATACTTACTCGGTTTTACAAAATTTTTTATTTTTTACAAAATTTTTAATTTTACCACTACTGTTATTTTATGTATTGTTATTATGTACTGTTATTTTGTTGAACTTTAACTCCTCCTTTTAAAAATCTTATTGCACCGACAAAGTAGTGTTCTAATCATAAATTATTAAAAATACACGTAGAGCCATGGTAATTTTTAGAAGCTAAGTGAATTGCAGAATGCAGTGAATTTTGAAGCACCTGAGCAACCCAAGTTTGAACCCTAAAATACCTCTGAATTTCCAACACCTTTACTTACCTTAAACTACAGGTGGGTCTTTTATTGTTTTACATTCTTTATATTCTATGTTATTGTATATATATAGTCACCTTACATACTCTATCACATTTAATAAATGATAAAATATTTCAAGGACTTGTAAAGTTCACCAACCAAAAAAAAAGTCATTAGGAGGACAGTGCCAAGCATATGACATGCTGTAACTATTTTTTTTACTATACTTTTATGTATATTTTTTGAATAGACAAACATCACATCCCAATGTTTTGAGGATAAGACTTTGGGATAAGCAGATATATCCTTAAGGGTAATGGTATAATCATCTCATAACATAGATATTTAAAAATCGTCAGGCGATTGCTAAATCTCTGAAGTCTAGTTTTTGTGAATTGATGTAGATTTTGACATTTACATACAAATTTTAATTTAAACAACTCCTGCTTAGTTTTTGGATACTGTCATGATTTGTGTGCATATGTGAAAGTGCAAGTAAGTATCTTAAATCTTTATTCTTTTAACTCCTTTATTTTTACATCTTTACTATAGTGTAAATCTGTGATATAGCTTGTCCTGATTGTAACGGCCTATAAAAGTAAAGTAGCAGACAAAAAACTTTCCGCTGCTGGGTATGTATCTCTTATTTCTATGTTTTTAAAGAGAGAAGCCACTGATATATCTGCCTCTATTATTGTCAATTTCTTTATTAAGCATGAAGATTATGAAAAATAATATTGATAATAAAAAGATTTTCACCTCCGCTCTCGCTCGGGGCTCACTCTGTGCAGCCAGCTCATCCTGTAGTTGACTTGCAGTGAGTTGCAGCTTCTGCTCCTTGTAGTAGCTGTTAACGACACTGTAGCGAAGCTCATGTAGCACTCGCCTCGCCGTCAGCATCCTGAAAATTGTTCATAACCATACAATGAATTAAACTGAACATTTTAGGATTCCAACCTCATACCTATTTCTGCTACCAAATAGCAGCGCCTGCACCGCTGTATTATGGTCTGGAAAGTATAAAGAGTCAGTATAATTACAGGCTGTGAGACATTCTATCTTAGTCCTCGGAGGTGAAAGTGCAACTGTGGCACTTTGTGCCACTTACCATGAGGTTGGCTGTGAGTTTAAAACTTTAAAAAAAGTTATACATTTGTAATAGTGGAGATGGATGGTCCACTATTAACAGACTCCGAGTGCTTTTAAGGTGGAGAAATGAAACGACTGTTTATGTAAGTCCGATTGAAGTATGAATATGGAATGAATGTGGAATGGAATCCACTGTGGCCGTGGAAGGAAGGAAAAGGGGAGATCTCCCGCCGGGCAAGGTGTTCTGCCCGGGGAGCGGCCAACACTCCATGTGATAGTTCGGAGATGTTCTATATATAATGTCTATGATTCGGAATGTTAATAGCGCGATTTAGGCTTCGATGTGTTTCGGTGTGCTAGTGGCGCGACGACAGCGCCGCTACATCACCCCCTGCTCAGACCGGAGGTCGATAGTGCAGTCGAGTTGTCGACGAATGTGCAAGTGCCAGGAGATTGCCTTGTAGTCTGCGGTGAGTAGAGAAGAAGGCAAGTAATCTGCGAGAGTGCCGTGAAGCAGAGGCGAGCAGTAAGGCTCAGAGCCGTGCCGAACACTGTATGGCGCAGAGAGTAGCTTGAAGGAACAGGAAGCATTATTATTCCAGTGCTGCGATGAACCTTGTGAAGCTAGATGGCTTGCAGGATATGAAGACTGCAGATGATATCTATGAATGGGTGGGGTACTCTATGACGATGATGAAGCTTGAAGTTTCCGAAAGTTGTTTGGTTGCGTGTTCAGATCACGTCGGGGTCACCACTGTGGCCGTGGAAGGAAGGAAAAGAGGAGATCTCCCGCCGGGCAAGGTGTTCTGCCCGGGGAGCGGCCAACACTCCGTATGATAGTTCGGAGATGTTCTATATATACTGTCTATGATTCGGAATGTTAATAGCGCGATTTAGGCTTCGATGTGTTTCGGTGTGCTAGTGGCGCGACAACAGCGCCGCTACACATTTAAATGAATTTGTGAATGACAATGTGTTCTTAAGCCTTTATGGTGCAAGGTCGATGCAAGGTAAATAGGATTAATGGAAATAATAATTAAAAAAAAGTTATTAAAAATTAAGTATTTATTATTCCAAAAAAACTATCTGTTGCAGAAATGCAACATTACATCAAGTGTGCAAAAAAAACTTAAAGTTAGGAAATATGAAATTTTTTAAAGCAGTTATTTTGCTTATTATAACATAAACTAATACCACATTTTTCGCAGCTTCTTTGTGTAAACCCCTTGCAGTCTGGAAATTTGCACCTCATTCGTTTGTCCAGCCAAACTGGCCAGTGCCCGTATTGGTCCAACCTCACATCTTTCGGAGGAACGTGTTGAGCCGGACCTTTCTTCTTTCTATTTTGAATGAGACATTCAACATCACTTCCTCGCTTTTTACGGTTTATTGTCTTATATTTGCATAACGTCTCTGTTATGGCTACTCTGAACTCAGCAGAATTGAGGGTTTCACTGATACTACCCTTTTCTGCATTTATTCTTCGATATAAAAGCCATGAATTACACATAGCCATATCGAAAAAATGATAAAAAATTCGAAGATACCAGCGTTTACTACGGAGTTTAATTTTGTAGTGGCTCATGACACAGTCTAAAAGGTCAACACCACCCATATGTCGATTATATTCTGCGACGACCAAAGGACGTTCAACAGAAATGTATTGTTTTCTCGACTTGTCCCACCTTCTTACTACAGATGTCTTCAAGCAACCACAGCTACGTCAACTCCATTGCAGTTACCGACCTGTTCTATTGACGTACCACGCAGTTCTTTTTTAATTTTTTTTTCATCTGGCAGCTTGCAGTTTGAAATACGGTTTTTTCTTATAGTCCCTAAAGCCAAAATGCCGCGACTAGACAAGTATTCAATAAGAGGGATCAAGGTGTAGTAATTATCGAAAAACAGCCGATAGTTTTGATTGATAGGCACTTCACGGGCAAGGCGGACTACCACATTAGATGATTGTCTCTTGTACCGGAACAAATCTAATGTTTTCAGACCAATACATTTTTACATTTGGCATATGAACTATTGACATGTAATATACGATTCCAATGAATTGACGTATTTCTTGACTAGTAGCATTTACTGGTTTATTAGCATCTTTCTGAACAGAGTATAAATTAGTCTGGTTTTTTATAAAATTGATAATTTCTTCAGTAAACAGATACGAAAATACCTCAAATGGAGTATCTAAGCGTAGTATTTCTGGGGGTAACTTGTCAGATCCAAGAAAACGTAGTTGGTCTTCATTTATGTTCAGGGTTTTTGTTTTCCACGTGATATTATTCCTAGGCACATGATTAGATATCCTTGGAGCTGCTGCAGAACTAGCACTAGTAGAAGCGGAGGCCAGACTTGGATCCATTGCAGTACTAATGATCTAAGTATTCGTGGATGTTGTTACTAGGGTGCTGGTAGATTGAACTTCATTTTCCAAGTCAGGTGGTACCTCTGGGTCCTCATCAGAACTTGCATGCTCATTCGGCTCGAAATTATACGTCGGATCGGCGATATCGTCGTCGTCAGAAAAGTCAAGGCCATCTTCGCTATCTTCACATTCTCCCAGTATATTTTCCAGGTCCTGAGTAGTCAAAGTATGCAATTTACGACTCATTTTGAACCTGTAAAGGTGTAAAGAAACACCCAAAAAAAAAAAAACGGTAATAAACATATACCACAACGTGCAATGTTGCATATTTGCAACAAAACAAAATCTGTCTAAGAAATATTAAAAAAATGTTTTTTCTAGTAAAAATATTATTGATTATTGAAATACATCTTCTTACCTTTTACTCATACCAATTTCAACAGCCAAATATCACTATTTCACCAAAAAAACATTTTTCGTAAACTAATTCAAAGAGAGCGAAACAGGTTTGTACTCGTTCGTCACTTCAATTAAAGACAAATACAAGTGTCGCCGTCTAGTAAGCTAGTTTGTTACTAATTCGTTAGAATGCTTTGTTGCCGATGTACAACACCGAGTAAAGTCGGTCCATCGCTATTTGCTATATTTTTACGTCTATTTCGTTGAGACAGTGATGGTGTTGCTATTTATCTCTGCCTTCACGTAAGGTACGTGTAGTTCAGATGTCAACTGATTCTCAGACTGGAAGTGAAACTAATTTCTCTTTAAAGAAATTCTTCTCGGTCACACAAAATTACTCCTCGGAGTCTTTTACAGCTCTTTTCAACTACTTTACCACCTTATGAAAATCTTCCCATCTATTGTCACAGTATAATTATGGGTGATTTTAATACTTGTCTTTAAAAAAACAATTGCATACAACTACAGTTACACAAAGACCTGCTAATTAGTTTACAAGTCACTTACTTCTATATAAATAAGAATAATCTATAAATAATAGATTATTCTTATTCATATCTTCTTATTTATATATAGAATAATATATAAATAAGAAGAATAATCTTCCTAAATTTAATTTTTACTTATATTTTGTAAAATAGTCTCAATATTGTTAATAATTAAGGGAAGAGCCAGATAGCCCAAACACAAGTATTATCAATTACTTACTGGGGGTGCCTCATTTATAAACCATGTTTTTTTTAAGAACATTGGGTGACAAAAGAGCACACAGTCCGCCTAATGGTAAGTGAATGCTGTGGCCCATAGACATCCACATTTATTCTCAACTAAGAATCAAAATGCAAATGTATTGTCACCCCTGAGGACTAAGATGGAATGCCTCGATTCCAGTGAAAAGGTTCTCCGGTTCTCTATACTCACCATACAAAACACGTAAAATAGCAGCATTACGCTGCTATTCTGTGAGAGTGTGATCCTGCCCGGTCGAGCTGACCCATTTGTGCTACACCTATAATATAACTACAGCATGGCTCTACCACATTATTTTTTTTTCATTTTTTGACACAGATGCCCTAGGAAGTCTGCTGTCTGTAAACATGATCAGGATTGTCCCAACCCTTACATCTGACTTGGATTTGTATAGATCAGACCTTTAATTAATATTTAAGAGTTAAAGGTAGCCTTCTATAGATAGTTTTTGAATAATAAATAACAATAGTTAAATATCACTTACCGTTGATCTACTAACATAACTTCGTTTTCTTTTATATCTAATTCATTTCCAAACTCTCGACGAATTATGTTTTTAATTTTATCTATTTTATCTCCTTCGGGTAAGTTTGGAGGTCCTTCCTTAGAGGAAATTGTAGTCTCAGGATAATCTGGATCGTGGTATTCCTCTTTACTTTCCATTGTAAACAATTTATAAAAAACATATGCCCTTTTCAATAACAACTTTTTGCGTTCTATAGTTTATCAGCTGTGTATCACGTCACTGTACTCGCTCGAAAGCGGTTTTATAAAAACTTCTATTATTAACACATGATGGGACTTTTTTGATTAATAATTTACAATACCAAAACAATTAACTTTTAACCAAATTTCCGCATTTCGATTTTTGACATAGTAAGGTCAACAACCGATTCATTAATTAATAGTGATATACTGATGTAATGATTATTGCCGCTATTACACTACGCTGAATCAGTGCCCTGAATGAAGGGTGGGCGTAGCCCCTAATTAGGGACGTCACTTACAACACTACCCTAAATTTCACCCTTACTCAGTCATAGGGATGGACAAGTGAAAAAAATATATATATTTATTGAATCGATATTTTAACAGTAATTGTAACAAATCATTAGGCGTGTTTCGTCCTGCTAACTCTACTTGCGTAACTTGAGTTTAGTTCGAGTTGTGTAAATTTCAACTCGAGTTAACTTGAGTCGTAATTTTTCCGAGCAAGAACATCTATAGTATGCAACATCACTCATTAAAAATATTGAAGCTTATGTACGATATATCGATTTTTCGATGTTTTTATCACCATTTATATATATCTATATATATATATATATATATATATATATATATATATATATATATATATATATATATATATATATATGTATATATATATGTATATATACATATATATATATATATATATACATATATATATATATATATATATATATATATATATACACATACATAAATATGAAATAAATAATCATTTTGCACAGAAATTAAACAAAGAAGTATAATAATCAAACATTATATTTATGTTATTATAGGAAGTTATACACTATTTATTTTTACACATTTAATTTTATAGTATAATTATCAGAAAACAAGAATTATTTTTTTTACTTTTACGTTTATTTGTTTCGAATTGAATTTTAAAATAACAATTTTGACAAGGTGGCGCCTAGTAAGCGGTTTCTCTCCTGGGTGATTGTATATCCAGCCTCTGAAATTAACCGCTCACGGGATACCGAAGTTGCCACGATAGGCAAATAGATCTTATCTAGGCTATGAAGCCCGGGAAATAACTCTTTTTATGCCATCCCACATGTAATATATGGAATTCGTCTTCTGATTTATAGTCCGTTCGCGTTAAGAAAATAGTGAGTCATCATTACAACTACAGGGTAAGGGTGTACTCACAGTGGAGTAAAAATTCATTTTTTTTGTCAAACAGTTAATTAAGTTAATGGAAAAAAAATTCTTAAAATTACTTAAATCACTAATCAGTATCGCTAGATTCTCCAGTTACATTAATTATGAAAGAATTTTGTTCTGCAACTTCCGTGATGTCATCCAAATTCCACATGGTATATACTTCGCGTATCACGTGGTTGCAGCACTTCTTGCAACAATTAGCGTTTATTAATGCTATTGCGTCATCTAATAATGTTCCACAGTCGCATTTAAATCACACAGTTTAAAGTACTTATAAACATTGTAAATTACGCGTCTCTCTCCGCTATGGATTATTGATCCACTTTTATTCTTTCGAATAGGTGAGGTGAGAAAATGAATTTAAAAATGTAATGTTGAACGAGTAACTCGCAAAATACACAACCGTTTTGTTCGAAGGCCTGACTTCAACTCAGGGGGGTACACTTCCATACTTTAGGTTTGAGGTCAATAATTTACAAAGACACTAGTGCCATCTTGTACTATATCCCCATAAACTTTCGAACATTAAATTCTAAAAGGTGCTCTTGATGGCGACTACACCAATTCTGGTTATTCTGGAAATGGCAAGTAGCAACGTTATATGACATAATGGCTGCCGGCGCTGAGCAAGTTGTTGTTTTATTATAGTTTATAGGTAAGTGATTTTCGGTTGTTGCTATAATAAGTTTGGTTGAGTTGGGATTAGCCCTCTGTTTCTTTGTTGTCTGTTTAGATTTTCATGCTGGAATTACATTGTATGTTTGTGTAGTGTTGTGCGAAATAGACGCTTTCATTTATCATTGTAACCCGGTGGACATATTTAATTTGGTTTGGTGTTGTATTTTACGGAATAGACGCTTTTACATCGTGTATGTTAAATATATAACAAAAATAAATGTTAATATTACTGAAATCTATAATACGTCTTTAATTGAACCCTAATCCCTTAAAAAAATACGTGTGGCACTCGGTGACTGCCGCGATAAAGCTATTGCATAGCATTTTTTATCAACTTATGCAATTATAATTATTTATTTATTTTATTTATGCAGTTAAGTCTTTGATATTAAATCAAGTTACACTTTTTGAGCGTGGTGACCGATAAGAAAACAATTTTTTTTCCTCTTATTGAATAAAAGGGAAGTTAATATTGTTTAAAATATTTTTAATATATTACAATACATGTAGGTTATTCAGGAATTTTTATCATTGAGTTAGCAGCTAGTGTACACGCACACAAACACCGTGCCGAAGTCTGCCGAACTAAAACGACGTTAGACGATGCACGGCTTTCAACGCCACACCTCCGTGCCCGTCGGAGTGGCGAGCGTGAGGTTTTTTTCGTTACGGAATTTCTGGATTCGGTCCCCGCGCTCAAGGCCCGCGATAGAAGCTATGCAATAGCTTAATATAAATATAACCGCCTATAGTATAGATAGCTGTATATACATAACTACATACAACTATCTATAGTCAACATGATATTGAGATTAGTTAAAGGGATATGATACCAGGCGGCGACACTATTCATATTGGGTGACAAAAAATCCTAGGAGGTGGCTCTCTATTTCTGTATATATTACTCTACTCTATGCTTCAACTGGTCACTGTGAACTCTACTTTCTAATTTCTTGCATTTTAATAGGCTGGGGGGCGTGGCCAGGCCGGCGGACAACGATGATTCACTATTTTCTTAACGCGAACGGACTATAGTTTTATTTTTTATGATGTGGTGTGTTAATTTTTTACGGTAGTTCGGTATGTTACCTTCAGTACTATCGCATTTTCCGAATACATCTACGAAGCTATACCAAAACATAAACAGGTGAATAACCGTTCATCCATAAAAATCGCTATTTCAGAAAAATGATTGTAATGAAATACGAAGTACCGTAAGCCGATAAAATAATTTCCATTACAAAATAACTATTACCTTATAAGATTATACTTAAGCTATTAATTAAGTTAAAGTTCAAATAATATAATTATTAATACGAAAATGAATAAAACAATTTCAATCCATTTTCAATACTTGTAAACTTATCTTAATTAATTATCACAATAAATATAACTACACTTTTGCATCGAAAATGGAATTACCGATTGAAGAAAATGGCACTTCTGAAGTTATACTACAACAATATACACAAGAACTTTTTCTGAAAACTCTGTTTGTTGATTCTTAATTAAAATTTTCAGGTTTGAATTATTTCTGCTAAATACTCATAAATCTTCTAACTATAAAAATTATGACGTTATCTAACTTTGACATTGCAACTGCATTTCGTCATTTTCGATGAGGGCCCTAGCCTTTGCGATACGTTCTTCAATTCGTATTCTCCAGGCTGGGATTGCACTACTTTGTTCAGTAGCACGTCCAGCCGTGGAAAGTTTGGCGCCTATAATACGACAGACTGCCAGTGAGGCGCCAAAAAGAATTGAGTCCGCTCACAAAAGTCCCGGCTGGTTTCCAAATAGGTCACCAGCATTGGGTTCAGAGCCCTCACGACGGTCCGATTCCGCTTGCTTAAGGCTATGCGGGGGAGTCGCGGTCAATTTTCGAGAGGATTACTACGCATTTCCAAAATCGCCTTTTCCAATGTACTCCTCATTTGCTCTAGCTCTAATTCCTGGGCGACTGTTCTATCATTATTTGAATCAACCACAACTGGGGTATTCACAGCGGCATCCACGTTTTCCGGTTGCTCTGCCAGTTGTGGCGGTATATCCTCAGCTGTAGCATTTTAATCCTATGAAGGAACAGCTTCACGTAGTAGCCGTTCGAGTCCGGTGACATCAAATGTGTTTGAGCGCAAGATATACCGAACTCGGTCTGCCAAGTTATGCTCGGTGACGGTTCCAGATGGCTCCAGTCAAAAAAAGTCAGTCCAGCAAAAAGTCGATGCATCCTTGCCCGATACGCAAAACCTCCAATTTCTTCCCCTTTCGCCCTGAAATACGCCCGCAATACGCTGTTCATCTGGGTTGTCCAACGCATAATGCGTACTCCACCAGTGGTGGGTACCGGTTGCTGGTCCCGCGAAGATCCTGCCGACACCAAGCCAGATGGTGGGATGATGGATGTGAGGGGCTGCTGGGTGATCGTGCAGAACCTCACCCTCGGCTGTCAGTTTGCATGCTGTCACGTCCAGCGCCAGCTCCAGACGCGTCCTGGCGACCTGCAGGCAGCGGCCCTTTGCGCTTTCTATTCAATTCCATCATCCATTTTTGTGGGCGTCATGTGCACAACCGGGCCTTTGCACCTTCAATTTTCGCTGAGGTACGGCACTAACACCTCCTGGCAAGGTGCTGACTTAATGCGCTGACGTAGAGTTTTTGTCACATAACCGTTACGTCAGCGGGCGATGGGGTCGTCACTTCCCTAAACATTATTAATATTACATTTACATTATGGTATTATTTATAAAACAATAACAGCCAAAATGTTTAATAGGTATCCTATATATAGCTAACTAGTTAAGTTAATCTTATTGATTAGTGGTACCAGTTCATTGAAAACCGATTACTCATTGGTTAGCCTGTGGCAGCTAATGCTGGGTGATTCCCAGTGAAAAAATATATCGATAGATATCGCACGATAAAAATCGCATTAATGCTTCTGTTGCTTAATAATTTTGTCACTTAATACCAAGGAGGCTTATAAACGACGCTGTAAATCGGAAAAGGAAGTACTGTCTACGGACTTTTTATCTGACATTTCAGTGACCAGACAAAAGTATCGATACTTAGAAAAATACTCTATTAAATGTATCGAGTACAAAAATAGTAGGTATCGAACTAAAAGAATCGATACTACTCAGGTACTGGCACAGACTAATATGATACTTACTGGATACTTCGGATCCCTACCTGTTATGGCAAAACAATATCTATAATCTATCTATATCTATCAAATATTAATTGTTGTCATTTATAACGCTGACGCTGACGTCCTTTCTCTCTATAGAATAATAAAAAGTTTTCCACAACGAAATCGCCACGCCTATTCCGCTCCCGAAGAAAAAGCAGCGTTGATCGTGATGTGAGGGCTCGCGGCGACGAGCGTACGCCTATGTCTGATTCACAGGCGAACGGCCCCGAGGCCAACGGCATGTTAGATCAACGACGTTCGTTTTTTTATCCTGACAGCAGTAGTGATACAGAAGAATATTGTAGAGACACCGAAGAACGTCGTAAGCGCCTTTCTAAGCGTAACGGATCTGGTATTCGCGGCAGAATGCCTCCAAAGAATCAAAATCAGAGTGTGCCTACGCCGTCCACTTCCACCCAAGAGCCGCCACGCAACGGCCAAAAAAGCCAGTTGATCGACGATAGAATTACGCTGGTGGTGGATAACACAAGATTCGTAGTGGATCCAGCTCAATTCACAGCACATCCTAATACTATGCTTGGAAGAATGTTTAGTTCCGGTTAGTAAATGGTTTTGAATTTATCATCGGAAATAATGTACTTTTTTGTTCTCGCAATTTAGAATACTCTTCCTAATATCATGAAATAAATTTTAGGATTTAAAAAGTTGAACACAAATTAAACAAAATGAGTAAATTAAATCTGGTTAAAAATATCTAAATACCTACATATTTTATCTTATAAACTAAGGGTAGTTAAAAAAATTTACTATTAAAATACTCATTTTGTTTTCTCATTCAATATTTAAATATAATCAATAGTTAAATATATGAAAAACAACTATATAACCAGATAACTTTAATATATTCTTATGTAAGAGTATATTTAGAACTATTTATATTCATAATAGTCACCTCAATCAGCATAGTCATTCATTTGTATAATAATACATCTTTATTATCTTGTGTATTTAAATTATTAAAATTTAATATAATATCATTAAATTAATGAATAACTATACAAAGTTAAAAAAATAAATTAAATTATGTTAGATCTACTAAAGCTACTACTAGCTTTAAGTCAAATACAAATTATATATACATCATAATATTTGATACATAAATAACAGCTAAGAAATCTTATAATTTATTCACAATAATTCAAAGTAAGAGTTGCATTTCTTTTAAAATACAAGTATGACTAAAGATGTATGTAGGCTATTTGATATAGTTCTTAACACATTCATACCATTTAGACTTGCAGTATATACATAAATCTAAGAACTAATTTATTTACTTTATTTTTTTATTGTATCGAGTTTTTGATCTCCACCCACACCAATGGAATATTAATTGCAATTTTAAGTGTTGATTACCACATGCGCGGTGAAGGAAAATATTGTGAGGAAAAGTGCATTTGTGAGAAATAAAAAAAATATTATGAAGATGTGAAGTTCCCCAACACGCATTGGGGCAGCGCGGCGGACACTTCCTTACCCTAAAACTCTCAGAAGTGAAAGGAGGCCTGTGCCCAGCACAAGTATTAGAAACTTTAAATTTAATTTGTACAAGATTCTTTTACATACTGTTTAATAGCTTTTTTATGATAGTAACCTTTCTTTCTACTTGCTATTTTGTTTATAGTAATATTTGGTACATTATGATGTTCACTGTACATAAACAATACTCTTTTTTTGATAATACTTTTATAAATACCTTTGTACATTTGTTTCTTATTGTAAATTCTTTAAAAAATAAAATGATATCTTTTAACACAGGTGGCCATAAAGTGAATGAGTAATATGCATAACTTACATACTTTAATAATGTGTTGTTTATTAGTTGCTATTTACCATGGAAATTTATCTAAGTAAAATGATAGTTTTTATTATCTTCTGTATATGTAGAGACATTATTAATTATGTTACAAATACTGTTATGAGTCATTAACATTCTAAGTATTACAAAGGTGAAATGATTCAGTGTTTCATCATTTATTGTCTTGTCTCATGACAAATATAGTAAATAACATCTACAGTCATGTAAATGTTACACATCCCTATTTATTATTGCTTTAAAGTGTTAACATATTAATTTTTCATTTATCAATATAGGCTATCGAGAAGTTCACTGCATATATACATAAGGACTTATCATGCCCAGTAGGATAGTTGGCAAGAATAAAGCCAAAAAACCCCTCTCTTAATGATTCCTATAATCCATTTGTAAGCTTGAATTTAGAAAACACCACATATTGTTCGGCTGTCCTATTTCAAAACCAAGTAAGAACTTTAACTTAGTTTTACATTAGATCAAAGAAACATAAATCAAGATAAAGAGGGGTTTATATTATGATAGGTTTTAACTAATGGCATATAAAAGAATTTTATATAATAACATTTGCAGTTATTTTTAAGGATTCATTGCATATTATGTTGTCTTACTATGTAAATAAGGTCTTGAATAGAAACATTATTTTATGTCAATACCTGGATTTAAATATAGGATAGCTGAGTTATAGTTAACATGAGTCTGCCTCGTTGGTCTAGTTGACGCAAGTGTGACTACAAATGAGGTCCCGGGTTAAAATCCTGGCATGGGCGAAAATCAATTTTTAGGTATTTTTGCCTAGACATTCTGCCCGGAGTCAGGAAGTCGGTAGTGTTTCATCCCCATGCTTCAGGAAGCATGTAAAGCTGTTGTGCCTGTGCCTGATTTCTCTCCGGTCATGTCATTAATTTGACCATGAGAGTGAGGGAATAGAGAGTCCATCTGTGTTTAGGCATATACTTGTGCACTAAAATACTGTCCATGGCTAGTTTCCATAAAGTTGGCCGCCATGACCAAAATTCGGCCTAGACATTTACAGAAAAGGACCATGAGATGAGTCCTTAAGAAATAAAAATGATGATATTTTAGTTATCCTTGATTGGTTATATTGTACATAATGCTAGAACAAAAACCATGTCAAATAATTCTCCAATTTTTATGCTAAAAAGAGTATTCATAAGAGCTATAAATAAGCCTAAATTTATATGAAAACGGTCTAGGTGTGACCTAAATGGTCCATGCGACTAACTTCCCAATGGAAAGAATAAAAAAATATCATGTTTTAATATTTTATAAAATTTTTCATTTAGCACAAAAAACGATTTGACTGATTTTGCTCAAAATTTAATGAGGTATAAGTTACATAATTATGAGTTAAATGAAACTGGTCCCATGTCAATATCACTCTTTGTTCTCAAGATACACGAGGCGATAATTGAATCTGAACATGCATACATACGTACATTTACTATTATATTATACACACACAGTACACACTATTTTACTCTAAAGACCTTGAAGCATGGAAATATGTTAAAATTTCCAATTTGCTAAATCGGACCCATTACAATAACTTCCCACTGGAAAGTTAATAATAAATAATAGTCTTGATTTTGATATTGAATAAGATGGAGTTAAATTGATCCTTATGTAATTATAAATATAGATTTTATTTTAATTTATTAAAAACCATTTTTATCAGTGGTTCCTACGTAATTTCACCTGGATTCCGAGAATTTTTCAATTTATTAAAATGATTGAAATATAAACTTATATTTCTTTTGTTTTTAAGGTTTAGAATTTACGCATCCTAACGATCGCGGAGAGTATGAAGTAGCGGAAGGCATATCTGCAACGGTATTTCGCGCTATCTTAGAGTACTACCGTGGAGGCACTATCCGGTGCCCGCCCACCGTTTCTGTGCAAGAGCTACGGGAGGCCTGTGACTATCTCCTAGTGCCCTTCGACGCGAATACAGTGAGATGCCAGGTAGGAAGGTTATGAATTTTCACCCTTCTTTTATTTCTCAATTTTGGAATTAAAAAGTGCTATATTTTTATCTTGTGTGATGGCTTGTTTTAAGCATGATTACTAATTTTACAACTTACTTAACTTACCACAAATAGTCCACAGCTGGACCTCTCCCATAGAATAAGGATTGCCTGTGATCATCACACTTGGCAAACGAATCATACATGCTAAAGCCAACTATATAATGGTTGTAGCATGAAAGGGCCGGTTTCACCTGGGGAAGACTACACTCTTATTAATAACAATTTCAGTTTGAAATAGAGGCTTCATGCAGCATGATTTGTATAGTAGGCGTAGAGAACAGGAGACCCTTTACTGAAAACAAGGCATTCCATCTTAGTCATCAGTGATGAAACCACATCTGTATTTTAATTTTCAATTAAAGGTAAGATTGATTTATGGGCCACAGCATCTCACCATCTGTCACCCTTATTCCATAAAAAAAGATATTTCTAGTAAGTTATTGGAAATGAGCTTACCTTTTTTACATTCGCCTATATTCTATTAATACATATTGTAGAAATTTCACGTTTTCTACAATCGCCTTATATTTCAAAGTATGTGTGCATCTGTAGCTCAACCTCTGCCTTCTTTAGTGAAATTGTTGATTATAATTTTATCTATGGTTTCTTAAGTGCTGTACCTGAGGAAAAATTTGTAAGGAAATGTGCATCTGAGAAATAATATATTTTGAGCATGTGGGAAGCCCGACAACACTCATGGTACATGCGACTGATAGAATCTTCTTGCTAGATTTTTTCTTTTTTATAGGATAGGGTGACAAACGAGCGCACAGTCCACCTGATTGTAAGTGTTTGCTGCGGCCCATAGACATCTACATCTATTCACCTGTGAGGACTAAGATGGAATGCCTCGTTTCCAGTAAAAAGGGTCTCTGGTTCTCTACACTCACCATGCGAAATACAGCAGTGTTAAGCTACTATTTTACGCTGGTATTCTGTCAGAGTGTGGTCCTTCCCCGGTCGAGCTGACCCATTCGTGCTACAACTATACTACTAATATAATTGTAGCAAGACTCTACCATGTATAATCCCCTTAATGTATCAGTCTGTAATGTAGGGAGGCCTGATCCCAGCCATGGGATATTTATATACTTTCTCTACACTTTGTTTTTAATATATCTGTTTTTGTAAAATACTTTTAAGTATTCTTAAATAGGTGGTAGGAGACTACCTTTCTGCCTGCACAGAATACCATCTGGAGACCCTGTTTTACTGGAAATGAGGCATTCCATCTTAGTCTGTAGGGGTAACAACACATCTGCGTTTTGATTCTTAATTGAGGATAAATGTAGATGTCTATGGGATACAGCATCCACTTACCATCAGATGAACTGAGCTCGTTTGTCACCCTAATTCTATAAAAAAAAGGGTGAGGCTAGGTGGGCAGAAGAAGTATGCTAGCAGTAATATTAGCAGCCTTCTTTGTTTGAAGTTGGCTGCAGGTGCACTTACCATCATGCAAATAGTATACCAAATTACGTGATAATCTTGTATAACAAGACCTTTGATATTCTTTGCTATATTTTTATTGTGTTGCTGTTACCTATAGCTTTACGAGTAAGTTAAGAGTTTTATCTTGATGTAATATTTAAGCAAATAGTTTTATCAGTTCAACATCTGTAGAGGCATTCATGAATTACACAATTTGGGTGATTATTGTATGTTTGAACTCTTTTTCTAGTTAATCTTTGATTCAATATTACGTAAGTTTGACGTATGAGTTATGTTACTCATGATATGATATTATATTGGTTTCAGTACATGCGGTTCACCTGATAGTAACCCCCAGGAGAATTGCAGGTGCATTGCCTTTTTTTGAAGGGTTGTTTGATTGATATTGACCTGCTTGTTTCTTGATTGGTCCCTTAGGCTGAGATCTATAAATCGTACTTTGACTTTGTTCAGACTTTACTTACGAAAAACTTAGCTGAGCATATGCTTAGCATAATGTTTGATTCCGAATTTATAGTTGTATCGGACTAATATTAACCTAAACTTATAAAATTTCAAAAAAATTTATATTTAAAAATTGAATACAATTCAAATAGTATTTCACTAATAAGTTATTATTACATTTAACTAATTTTAGTTTAAAATATGAGAAAGAAACTGAATGTCTGGTTAGCCGGTCAAGTGCTGCCAAAGTGCTTCCAAATCACTGTTTCGAACGTGAAGCTTTTGGTTTATTGATGATGTGAATATAAGTTTTTACATATATTTTAAATGCCTGATCTTTTTATTTACCACTGGTTTTGGAACTGAGACTCCCAATCCTACCTATATATTCAACATATGTTTCGGGAATTTGGACCTGACATTCGTTTTACTTTCCTTAACCCAGGTTTGTTTAAGGGTATTGTGATATAATCTCCATTATAGAGTCCGTAGATAGAGGTCTATCTTTTTTTAGATATTTAGTAATAATATAAAGTTTTGGCTAAAATTGTTTTTTTTTTCTGCTAATTCGACGATTCTGGGAGAGAAGGGATGAGAAGAGTGCAAAATTCACAAAGGAAAAAGCAGATTTGAAGAAATGCGAAATAATTTTGAAATAACGTAAATAAAAAATTGATTAGCGCTAGTTAAAAATTAAAGGCGGTCTAAAACTACCTATTTAAATTTAAGAATAATTGGAAGTACATCGGTGGTTTTGGTTAATATCCTGAATTTTTTTCGTCGATTTAGTTGACTTAGGCTTTGCTAAGTGCGCACTCAGCACGACTTCGAAGTTACAGCACGACTTCGAAGTTAGCTCCATAAATATCGACATTGTCTTAGCTCGAAAGTAAAGTCTCAGCAAAAACAAAGTATGATCTATAAATCTGAGCCTAATTCTCTCGGAGGCTAAATCCTATAGTTCTTTATATTTGTCTCTTTTCAGTGTCGCTTTTATAGTTTCATCGAATTTGAAATCCCAACGATTTTTTTATAGAACAGGGGGCAAACGGGCATGCGGCTCACCTGATGGTAAATGAATACCGCCGCCCATGATCAACCGCAACACCAGGTGAATTGAAGATGCGTTGCCGGCCTTTTAGAAAGGAGTTAGCTCTTTTCATGAAGGTCCCTAAGTCTAAAAAATCAATAAAAAAGTCGTATCTGTCTGGAAAAGTTGCTGGTGGTAAACAATTCCACAGAGAAGTTGTACGAAGAAGAAAACTCCAAGTAAAATGTACAGTAGTGGACTGCCAAGAATCCAGATGGTGAGGATGGTATCGGGAATTTTGACGCGATGTCTAACGAAGTTTTCACTTGAAACTATGAACTAATTGTTTGTTTACGCATTTGACTACAGAACCTGCGGGGTCTGCTCCATGAACTATCGAACGAGGGTGCGCGCCGTCAGTTCGAATCGTTCCTGGAGCGACTAATTCTTCCTCTTATGGTGGAGTCAGCTCAACGTGGTGACCGCGAGTGCCACGTGGTTGTGCTGTTGGACGATGACGCGGTGGAGTGGGACGAACAGTACCCCCCACAGATGGGTGACGAGTACAGCCAGACCGTGCTCTCCACGCCCCTCTACAGATTCTTCAAGTACATCGAGAACAGGTGAGACTAGCTAAAAGTTTACTAATGATTTAATTATAAGTGCTTGCCTGTCAAGGGTAACATCCAACACTGAGAAATAAAATGTATTTCGAAGATTTTCTAGCCCTTCATCATTAGAGCACTGTGTTCGACTTCTCTAATAATTTGTTTTAAATTAAGTATAAATGTTACCCTCACACTTGAATTTTTTAATGTATCATGGAGGCAGTTTACATACATACATTTCACAAAGACATCCAAACATAAACAAACATCCAAATCACAAAAACTTCTATGTATACTACTACATGTGTGCAATTCCCACGCGGTAGAAGTGAAACCTTCAAACAAAATTAAATATAAAATAAAAATGATTCATGGCAAATGATATGTTAATTAAGATAATTTTCAACTACAAGTGCGGTATAAAATATAAGACAAAAGTTTAATTTTATACCAAATAAATGTTACAACCCTTATTTTTAGACTAAATTTTAGTGTAATAAAACAAGAATATTTTCTTTCAAGTAAAATTGTTTTGTATTAGTGCAATCTACTTCATTCTATAGGTAAAGTCAATTTTATCAAACAAAAATTGTTTGGCTCTCTAAGTTGTAAACAAAATAGACGCTATGATGCCTATGATAGCCTGAAGTTATGAAATCGTGGATTGTTATGAATTGATTTGATATGATAATTTTATCTAATATGGGTAATTTTATTTATTTGATTAAGGATGCTATCGTTTTTGGGCCCACTATAAATTTGAACGTAATTTAATGGTTTTAACACATAACACAAAAATATACCAATTTACTATTGTAAATTGACTACAGATTTTCTGAAAATCTAACTGAAATCATGATAAATAATACAATTAAGAATCTACAAAATCACCGCCATCTGTTTCATTCCGGAACTACTAGAATATTCTTTTAGTAGTTCCTAGGAATCTACCAAGTAGTACTTTTTATTATTAACAGTGCACTATTATAACACGGAATATCGATAAAAACTACTAGACAGTCGTACATATAAGATTTTAGGTTATAGTAATATTGCGTTTGATTATTAATTTCTTAGTATTCTCAGTTAGATGTTTTAAAACTAATATTACTAGTATAACCTAGAGATTATAAAGAATAAATCGACAAGCATTTTATTAAGTTACGCCACAATTTGTGGTGGGTCCATTCTCCATACAAAAAGAAATGGTCTCCTTTAGAAATTTTTTATATTGTTTATTTTAATAGTTAAAATTTATATTAACCTTCTAAAGCATCACATTAAGAGGAAGCCGAGATGATAGGAAAATCTGTATTTAAAAAATTACTAGCGTTACTATTAACATTAATATAAAATATAAAATGTAGTATATCCCCATATATATATTAATCAGTATGCATTCTATATGTTTAAAAAAAAAAACCCCCACCACCCCACCCCCCCCAAAAACCCCCAAAAATGTGTGTTGGCGTGTGTATGTGTGTATGTATGAATTTTATGAATCTTAAGTTTTTCGCCCTAGCTCACTGTAGTAGTACACACTTCTCCAATTAACTTTTCGGTTGGCTGGTAGAAAATGCCATGTGGCAATAAGTCCGCCGTTTGTGCCTTTAGTACAATAAAGTGTATAAATTGCCCATTAACCACTCTAGGTAAGCTTAAAATGCTTGTGTTAGGAGTGGTTCACGACAGTAGTCGAATGGTGAGCACAACCTTTTGAGTTTGCGGTTCGCATCCTAAAATTAGGATACTGTCGCTTACTACACTGTATTCTATCTCATTCTCTCGCAAACTAAATTCTATACATGTATGTATATGTTTGCTTTTAGTGTTGCTATTTAGTTTCATCGAATTTCAAATCACGATGATTCTAAAGAAGTTTTCATTAAAAAAAATACAATTGCAATTATAAATTATAATAAATAAATAATTTTATCTTTTTTTGCAGAGACGTAGCAAAACAAGTAATGAAAGAGCGTGGCTTAAAGAAAATACGCCTGGGAGTAGAGGGCTATCCAACCTACAAGGAGAAGGTCCGCAAACGACCTGGGGGTCGCGCTGAGGTCATCTACAATTATGTGCAGCGTCCCTTTATCCACATGTCCTGGGAGAAGGAGGAAGCAAAGTCCCGTCATGTCGATTTCCAATGTTTCAAGTCCAAATCGGTCACTAACTTGGCTGAAGCCACCGCTGATCCTGTTATTGAGTTGGAACCGAATAGAGTGAGAGAGGAGGAAGCACCCGAACCTCCTCCCGAAGTTGGCGAGGAAGAAGGTCAGTGATTGTTAGTCCGCTCTTCTAGAGCGGTGGTGAGGGTATTAATGGCGATGTTCTGCTGGTACGGAGTGTAGTGCGGGATATTCCAAATCATTATACACATTGTGAGGTGTCATGGCATCCATGAAAACAACTTTATGATTTGGTTTATGGAGCTGATTATAATTAGTTATTTTAATATTTTTAGCAACATTGATTTTGAAACTGTATACATACATTTGTGGAAGTTTTGGTTATTAGGTTTAATTACTCTGATTTTAAAAGTATCACCTGGTGTACTCTGTGGAAGATTTCAGTATGCAATACTTGTGTTGTGTATAGGGTTGAGAATCTAGAATTTTCTATTGTTCCAGACATTTTAACGCGATTATTAGTTAAACACACACTTTTGCCAATGTTTAATGTGCTTTTAAAAATATAAGCAATTAAAATGAAAATTGTAAACAACATAAGAAAAATTTTTACACAAATTTTATAATTTTCCTTTTTATCTAATATTTTAAGTAATTCTTCGAATAGGGGACATGATCATTATTACAGCCCTTTACAAGTACATACTATGGTATGTACTTGTATAGCAGACTGTTTTTATGATTCGATATTTTATTAGGATATGCAGGGAATAGAGTGAATGGGTCATTATACTCTAATGTGAAGAACCAGAATGTATCAAAAAAGGCACGTATGGTAATTCATAATGCTGGTGTTAGTCCCTACTTTAATGTATGGTAGTGAAAGCTGGGTGTGGCAGAAGAAGCACGAAAGTAGAATAAATGCTGTAGAAATGCGGTCTTTAAGGAGTATGCTAGGGTTGAATCTGAATGACAGGGTGAGAAATTGCGTGATAAGAGATAAATGTAGTATGCAAGATGATGTTGTGATCAGGATTAAGAAAGGAAAGCTTTGGTGGTTTGGTCATGTAGAAAATATGAATGAGGAAAGAGTGACAAAGTAAATTTATATGGCAGATGTGAACGGCAGAGTCGGGAAGGGACACCCTAGAAAAAAGTTTATCGACCAAATTGGCGATATTTTGAAAATGGGCCACGTTAAAAGTACCCTTAACCAACGAGCATGTATGCGTAGATATATGGATGTAAAGGAGGCGAAAGAGGTATGTCAGGATCGTGTCAAATGGAAGTCCGTGGTCTCTGCCTACCCCTCTGGGTGACAGGCGTGAGTGTTTATGCTTATTTATTATTATATTTTATTATCAGCCTGTACCAGCCTCGTGCTGCATGTTGTCCTTCCCTGACGTGGGAGAGACTTGCCATAATCGTCAAGCTTGGCCAATGGATTGGCAATTGCAGTGCCATGAATTTCTTCTGGCGTTTCCTATAGTTGCATCTTACGTCACGCACGTGATGATAAGGGGCAATCACTTTACATCGTTTGATATCCATATTCTACATTACCTTTGTAAAGAATTAATTACTTAATTGTCTTTAGTCCTATATCATTATCATTGCTAAATCACCATAACCTTAAGAAAACCTCTGTAAACTTAGCCTCAACTGGGTATTGCTGGTTCTTATCCTTTTCTTAAATCAGTTATTAAAGTTATTGTTATTAAAAAGAATTATAATTAATGGTAAAACCAGAAAAAACTCAATGCAATGCTTTTTTAATAAAACTAAAAGTGACAAACGTGCGTCAACAGTCCACCTGATGATAAGTTGATTAATGTGGCCCCATAGAGAATCAAAGTGCAGATTTATTGTCACCGCTGAGGACTAAGTAATGCCTTAGAGCCTATGTACTGCCTTAGAGCCTATGTACTGCCTATGTACTGGCTCTGTATACCTATCAATACAGCAATGCATACACTGATACTTGGCGACAGAAATACGTAAGTAGATAGTCAGAAAAAGAGTTCAGCCACCTGGTAAAACCTACTTTATGTTAGAATGTTTCCTAAAAGTGTTTTTTGTACATATTTAAAATGGATTCCATCACATCGAAAAAATAATATACAATTTGTGTAGACATTACTTTTACAGTACATGACTACATATGAATTTGTGTACATTACTTTTACATTACATTTCTACAAAATTGTTAATCATATCATGTGATGTATAATTATTTCGTGATGTATATAATTTAAGCTGTAAAGTCAACATCGCTTGTACACGGCCATTTTGTTAAACACATTTAAAAATGGCGGATGTTGTAAAAGCGACGGTTGTGCTAGGAAGTCGATTTTTGTACGCATCAAAATTATTACGTAAATAAACGCAAGTATATGTCCTACCAAATGTATTCCAATGGTGTTTTTTATAATAAAACCTTAGCCATCTTTATTTGTCTTTTATTGATCCTATTTTCGCAACTTCATTGGCGTAGTACCTGTTACTTTGGAACTTTGACTGCCTCGGTGACCTAGTCTTCGTTTTTTATATAAAATAAGGGTGAGAAACGAGTACACCTGATTGTAAGTGAATGCTGTGACCCATAGACTTGCGTTGTCTCTCCTGAGGACTAGGATGGCATGCCTGGCTAACGCATACGAAACAGAATTTTACGCTTTTATTCTGAGTGTAGAGGTAAGGAGAACAATCTCATAGGTGAATAGTTGAAAAAGTGTCCATCTGTAAGCAATAATAACAGTTCAAGGCTTTCGCAAAAACATAACAACTACAGCAGTATACAAATATGTCAATGAAATATTAAATATATTTAATAAAAAGAAATACGCGATCGGTATTTTACTGGACATGACCAAAGCCTATGATCGAGTTCGATTTGACATACTTTTACGGAAGTTACACGGAATAGGAGTAAGAGGCCCAACTGTATAACTGGTTCGAATCATACCTGACCAATCGAAAGCAGTGTGTAGAGATAGAACACCATAATTTAGCAGTGGAAATGTGATAAAGTCAGGTCTCAATTTGCACCGGTCACTAAATCAATACCAGAGGGTAGTGTTCTCGGTTGTTTATTATTTTTAATTTATATTAACCTGTTCAAGCGAGCGCGCGACATGTTATACTCCCGTTCGCTCGGGACCGTAATGGCGGGAAAATTTGCAAATTAGCAAATTTTTTGCTATATTGCAAATTTTGCTATATTTTCACTTTGAGACAATATTTATGGATAAAACTTACAGGAATTCTTGTTGAATGTATAAACTATCGAATAAAATTATTTTTGGTTGCTAGAAATTGTAATAAAATACGTAAATTACCCTGTATAGCATAGTAGTGGTATATACTTCAATTTTAGTGACAAAATTACTACTAATTTGAATTCTACACTTTTGTTTTTAGAGAAATTTATATGAAAATGTTTGGAAATATGTATATTATTATGTTTTATGTGTTTCCATTCGTTACTCATACCAAAATATTAAAATATTAAAAAAATTAAAAAAAAAATAATAATAATATTTTATCTGTGTGACATTTAGAACAATATTTCTAAAATTGTTTTGTGTGAATTTGAAATAAATACAACGTCAAGTTATTTGAAATATGTAAGAAAACTATTTTTACTTACATTTTACACTAAAAATAAATGAGAATTTGAAAAATAACACATTTATGACCCAGCCGCCATAATGGGCCTTCGAGATTTTGAAGCACTTTTGGCAATTTACTTTTCATTTTTTATACCACAAATTATATATATATATATGTGTTCACTATATTACAAGGAATATAAAAAAAGTGTAATACTTTCGTTTTTAGTCCAGACACAAATATAAAATTCTATAAAAAAGACGGAGCACCTTCATCAAAACGACACGTGGAACGCCGAAAGTTCAGAGTGATTTCTTTTTTTTCTTTCTAAGAAACATTGCCAGGTTATGGTTTAAAATATAAAATAATATATAAATAATAAAATTTAAATAATAAAATTTAAAATAAAAGAACATATCTTTGTCTTTGATACTATTATCTATTGCATAGTGTCTTTGGTTTTGTTTAAAACGAAAAAATAGTTTTTTCATAGGTACACACGTTTAGATAATTCTGATCAAATTAGATCACTACTTGGCGGACGTAAGGTAGGTATTGTACGATCAAAAGTGCGCATGGCTTGGTTTACAGGTTAATGATTTGCCGAAAATAATCAAAGCCCCCTGTACCTTGTTTGCCGATGATCTTTCTGTAATCATACCTTTCGACAATAATACTAACAACAACCTTAACAACTGTCTAGATAGTGTACTTACAGATATCTCTAAATGGTTAAAAAATCACAATCTCGTCATAAATTACACAAAAACTAAGATAATACAATTTAAGCCGTATCAAAAATGCCCCCTATCTATAAATTATTCTTACAACGATACTAAACTAGAACGTGTTGATTCATATACATTATTAGGTATAAACATAGATTCAGGTATAAATTGGAAAGAACACATAAAGAAAGCATCATCTAAACTTTCCCGTTTCTCGTTTGCACTATACGAACTTAAAAAAAGTTACAGATTCAAGAACAGCCACGTGTGCATACTATGCTTATGCCCATGCATGGCTCAAGTACGGCATTTTACTGTGGGGAAACAGCACAGACGTAAATAAATTGTTTATTTTACAAAAAAAATGTATCCGAATAATTACAAACACAGATAGCACTGACAGCTGTAAACCCTACTTTATTTCATTAAAAATATTAACAATTACATCTATATATATCATACTAGAAGTATGCACATTTGTTAAAAAGAATATGCACCTTTTTTCAATATACTCCAGGCCTCATTTTTTACGTCCTAGTAAAAATTTTGCTCAACCTATCACAAAATTACAAACAGTTAAATCAGGACCCCATGGTATGTGTGTAAAAATTTATAACAAAATTCCCAAATGTCTACAAAAAGAAGAATCGTATAAATTTCAAAGAGAGCTTAAAAAATTATTAATTGAAAAAAGTTTCTATTCGTTGTCAGATGTTTTCGGTGAAAAATAATAATTGCTTAATTTGATTATGTATACCTCTTTAATATCGTAAATATTGCAAATGTTTATTACACCTAAAAGTAATGTTTAGTTTAGGTAAATAAAATAAAATTCATCTTTCTAAAATGATTAGATTAAATTGATATATAACATAATATAATATAATATAAAATAATATTGCTACGCCCTATCAGGGCTCATGTTTGGCTCTAATATACATATCCAACTTAAGAACTATTTATGTAACCACATGAACGCAATAAAATGTTTGAGTTTGAGTTCAAAAACTCTCCACAACAGCGCTGGAGTAGCTACAGATAACAGCTACATGAAATGAACTTAGCAGTTGTCGACGGTGTGAAGTGTGCTGCTAAACTGCTCAGTAGCTCTAAAATCTAAAATAATTTTATTTAGTAAATATAACCTCGAAAAAGTCGTCTATCCCATTAATATTTTTGGCGCGTTCTTTAAAATTTACCATGTAGCTATAGTGGCGCCAACGGTTTTCTTCCATTATTATTAGTTATCATTTTGTGTTTTCTATAGATGACACTTTTAATGATGATGACCATGTATGTAACAAATAAAATCTTCTCAATGTTAACTAGCGACATCTCACACTGAACGCTTATACGGCTGTAGCAGCCGTCCGTTACCGTAACCGTAACCGTTACAGATCCTCGTCTTCCATAGAGCTCCTCCATAGAGTGCCTCATAGGGTGGATATTTGCCATTATTACCACGCTACACAAGTCGGTTGTCAGTCGTCAGACATAAGGTACTAAAGGAAAAAAAAAAAATATATAAAAAAAAGAATGAATTAGCCTATAAGTCCACTGCTGAGAGCCTCCCCTCATTTCTGAGAGGGTTTTAATATATATATATATATATATATATATATATATATATATACTCTTTGGTCGGTATCGGTTCGGAAGCGCATGTCATTCAGTTCGATCAAACACAAATAAATTCTTTATTTTACTGTTTATTTATTTACTGCATAGTGTTCTGAACTTTATTGTGTGTTAATGATTTAATTTTTGGTGTTAAGTAATGTAAACAAAGATATTTTTTATAATTATTATTATTATTATGTGTTCGAAAGATTAAAATTTGCTTTTTACAGTTGCAAGTTATTTCCATGACTATCTCAAACTCAAACTTACAAGCGTTTCTGCCTATAGGTCACAAGTTATATAGGTCCTGTCAATCATTTGATACGACCCGTATCAAATGAACGAATGATTCATTACTGACACGTGCCAACCATGAGAAAAATTCAATTATCTAATGTTCTTGCAAATACATAAAACTCTACAAATATAAAATTTTAAGTGTTTGTAATATCGAAATATCAGTCTTTTATTAAGACAACCTTTTTAAAAATTTCTCTCTATTCGTGTTAATCTTTGGTATGCGGTTAACCTATTGTGATGAAACTTCGCAGATTTCGAGCAACAATACCGGGAGTGATCTAGGCTAAATTATTTTATGCGTAAAACTTGTTTTTTTTTTGTGAAATCAAAATGTGTATTGATAAAATTATCTTTGATGATTATCTTACATCTAAATTACGACACATTACTAAACCCAGGCGACGCCGGGGCGGGTAGCTAGTTGGTAAATAAAAGCCACTAAAGCCACATAAGTGCACTTTATTTAAAACTTAAACCGAACAAAGTAGCAGTGTTACTAAATACAAATAATAACTCTTAGCAAATAGGTACACATCTAAACGCCGTCTTAAAACACGATATCTAAAAGTAACGACAAAATACGCTTAGAATCACATACCTACTAGAACTAAGCCGCCGCCCGGTAAAATAGTTTCCGTAGTCATATTGCATTTTACAATTGGATGACTGACATTGAACGAACTATAAGTAAGAATAGATATTTAAAAAATAACGTAATTCCACAATTCCGTTTCTATTCAATGGTATTCATACTGTTTAAGTTGAATAACTGTATAATATTTCATTGGATATTCGGTGAATACAAATGAGATCACGCCTACAATATTTTAGATATTGACTAATAAAGTCTAATTTTCTAGCCTTTTTATTAGAAATTCTAACTAGGTATACTTTGAAATCTAGAAAGTTATTATAAATCAAAATCAATAGGCGGCAATGGAGGAGGTCCATTCCTCTCTTTTCTCATTCCGAATCTTGTCTCTTGAGAATCTGGAAGGAAATTGTAAATATGAATGTTTTTGCAAATCGACATGGTTTTTAATATGTATGCAGAGTTTAAAATTAATATAATATATAATTAAGGGGCGTATAAGAATCCATTGTCGATATAATCCCGTGGGTGTCACAAGAGCGACAGGGGTGCCTATACTGAAATACGGAGATGAACAGCAGCATATTTCTGATAAAATGTTCAAAAAAATAAAAATCTGCGGTTAACCCGCCCGCCAAACGTGAACCTAAGCCCCGATTTACATTTTGAGAAGTGACAAGTGCGAGTGGCAAATACAACTGACAAGTGTCAAGTGCTTAGTGCGTATTTTATTCCCACATATCACTTGTCACTATCTGTTCACACGCAATGTAAACCGGGCCTAAGACAAATATCCTCCTATAAGGCAATCTATGGGGGGAGTCTAATGTTCGGCAATGGACTTTGTATAGGCTGTGATGCATGAATGAATGAATATAAAATGTACACAAAAAGTTCATTCAAAATAGATCTTAGAAACAATAGAAGATAAGAACACGAAAAGCAGAAAATTAACAGAAAAGCATACGTGTTCGTGCGAGTGTGTGCGTGTATTTGTGTGCGCGTGCGTGCGTATCGTGTTTAATGTTTACGGGAAAATTTGCGTCGGTTTGCGAAATTCAAGCGAAGTCAGATGCGTGGCTACCTCTGAGGATTAAGATAGAATGCCAAACAACGTAATTATTCTGACTTTCTGTACCCTTCAGACCAGATACGCAGCGCACGCGGAGAGATTACTTGCGCTTGCGCCCTAGATCTAGATCCATAGGTCACTCACCAGTAGCCCGAGATGATGATGGAGAGCGTTTGAAAAGTCGTTCGAGGAGCACCCGTGACGGCGATAGGGGGCGTCGCACGCGCCCTTGCGTCTGCGCCGCGCTCAAGCAGCCCGGCACGCCTGCAGGCACACAGCTAAAGTGAAGCGCGGTTGAACAAACAAAGATTTTAAATGCACGTAAATCAGTAAGGCCTATTATCTATACATTATGGTTGTAGCAGAAATAGGTCGGTTTGACCGGAGTAGGTCCACGCTCTCACAGAATACTAGCGTAAAATAGCAGATCAATGCTGTTGTGTTTGTATGGTGGGTGTAGAGAGCCGTAGACCCTTTGGCACGATTTAGGCTTCGTGTGTTTCGCTTGTGGCGTTCCACAACCCTTTTTAGGCATTCCATTTTAGTCCTCAGGGGTGAAACGTATCTGAATTTTAATCCTTAATCGAGGATAGATGTGCGTGGACCAAAGCATTCATTTACCATCAGGTGAGCTCAGTGCCCGTTTGTCACTCTTATTCTATAAAAAAACACACACACATACACACAAACAACCAACGTTAAAGTGTCTGTCTATAATATTTAAATAACTGACTAATTTTGCCTGTCTGTTCATTTGTCTGGGCTAATCTTCGGAACGGCTGAACCGGCCGAGTTCAAACTTCACGGACAGATGGAGAACAATGCCGGAATCTAAGGCGAAGAACAAGTTCTACTAGCTTGTTTTAATTTAATTGCATTAGGTCCAATGATCCTTGAAAGCTGCAGTTTCTTCCTCGTCAGCTCGTAAGAATCCATAGGTCTCTCCAGTAAGTGAGGATTTGTTATTGTCCCCACGCTTGGCAAACGTATTGGATGGGTTAGACTTGATAAACTCTTCTAACAATTTAAACCATTCAATAAGAGTACCTTTTGGTCCGATGTTGGGTAAGAAGCCAAGTTTGTCCCATGTGGGTTGTCCGTTGTCTTTTAAGTAGGGCTTCGAAGTAACGAGGTACGACGTGTTCCCCGTGCACTACATGAAGAAGGATTGGAGAACTCCTTCTTCATGTAGTAAGACTGCGCTAGTGTGCGAAAGCGTTCCCGTAGCACCGACTAAGGGCGAAGAGATGGACACCGTAGAGTTTTAGCCGGTAAGAGCTTAACCTGTCTGTTGCCTTCGCGACAGACGGGGATGCGGTGAAGATTTCCTCACTTACAAAAAAAGGAGCCAAGTTTGTCGCACCTCCCTTACCTGGGCGAAAATGCGAGTGAATCAGCGGGCATAAGCTAGTAATAAATAGGGCAATACTTAGTGTCGCTGAAGGCTCGCACTGGCCACGAGCGCGGCGGCTGCTCAGTGCCATTGTAACGCAGCCAGCGCACACCACGCCAGCCACGACCACGAACCATAGCCACGCACACCACCGCCACTGCCGCTGCCACTGCTGAACGTCACCGCGCAATGTAGCCTCTACACGATCGACGCATTTGGCATGATGTTTTAATTGTAAAACGCTTGTTCTATCTATACATATAAATAAAATTAAAGTGTCCGTCTTAATGTACGAGTAGAGTATATTAAGTAGAGGTTTGCATGCGTGTGTTGTTAGAGAGCAATACCAGAAGGGATCTAGTGGTCTTGAGCGCGACTGCTTATCATTTGGTCCCGGGTTCGCATCCCGCAATAATCATCTGTTATGTTTTTCGGTCAAGAAATTCTTAGTAGCAGCCTGGGAGTCATAAATTTGGCGGCGATGCAACCCCGAGCCTCTGAGGGCACGTAAAATCGTTGGCATTGCATTTGATCTCTCTCCAGTGGGATATCGTCCCATCAGAGTATGAGAGTGAGAGAATAGAGAGTGCACTTGTGCTTTTGCACATACTCGTTCACTATATACTCCTACCCAGCGCAAATAGCTAGTAATCCTAGTGCATTATTATAATTACGACCATTTATTTTGAAACAGAAAGATTAACAATATTAATCTTAAAATTAAGTTAAATCCGATCCGTTAATAAGACAAGAGAGAACCGGAGACACCATTTCTGGTAATGATGCATTTCATTTTAGTCCTTAGGTTGATTCTTAATCGAGGATAGATATTATATCTCTATGGGCCACAGGAACCATTTACCATCAGGTTTACACTTAATCCGTGTTCATGCAGTCATAGAGCATTTTTAAAATGGCCCTTATTATTTTGTTTATTTGTTTTTAATTATTTTGTTATAAACACCGACAGCTTTTATAATTTTACCTTTTTTACAAAATTTTAAATTTATTTAGCTGTTAAAAGGTATTCGCATATGAATACCTTTATACCTTCACTCATCCCATAATTAAATTGATATACAATAGAACGTGTGGTGGCGGTGTTGACCGTGTGGTGGTGTGAGAACATCCACTACCCCATATCGCCCCGTGGGGTCGTAAGAGCCGACAGAGGGTAAACAAATCAGAATCAGTCTTACTAACAACAACTGAAAATTAAAAAAAAATGCGATCGCCAACCTGATTGTCTATTGTGGTAACTATGACATAAATATAACGTGGTCGAGCCGTGTTGCAGCTTTTAGTTAGTTGTAAGGCGAATGGATCGACTAAATCAGGAAAGGACTACACTTTCACAGAATACCATCATAAAATAGCAGTTTAATACTGCTACGTTTAGTAAAGTGAGTGTAGAGAATAGGAGACCCTTTTTATTTGGCACAACGAATTCCAGCTTCGTCCCCCAGGGGTGAAAACTGTAAACGCATCTGCATTTGTATTCGAAATTGAGGATAAATATAAATATCTATGGGTCACAGGATCTACTTACCTTCAGGAGGACTGTGTGCTCTCATCCTCATCCCATAAAAAGAAAATAAAAAACGAAGTATTCCATCTTCGTCCCCAGGGGCGAAAACGTAGAATAGATGTATGTGTCTATACCGCAGTAGTCTCTTACCGTAAGATGGACTCTGTTCGTTCGTTTCGCTTACAACTATGAATGACGAAAGAGACATCCTACATGAGGGTACGTACATCGTACCTGTGCGGGCCGAATGCTAGACGGCAGGTGGAGGCACCGGGCGGGGCGTGCGTGCCGCGCGGGCACGCAGTGCACGTGTTCTCGCCCGCCAGCGAGCACGTGTCCACCGGGCACACGACTGCACAGTTACATTACATAATATAATGAAATTATTTTATTTGCCATTGTCAAGTAATAAGAAAATGAAGAGGTAATTGGCCGGCCATATAACTCGAAGAACCGACAACCGATGGGGTAAAAAGGATCTCGAATGGCAGCCTCATACCGGTAGGCGAAGTGTAGGGCGACCCCCACTTTATGGAGTGACAACCTGGTAAGATATGCAGGAAGTCGATGGATGCAGATGACTCAGGACCGTGCTTTGTGGCGTTCCTTGGGGGAGACCTATGTTCAGCAGTGGACTTATGAAGGCCTGTAACGATGATGATATCGGCATCAGTTTCTACAAGTAAAGTAAAGCTTGGTTGTGAATGTTGTCCCTTTTACATAAGGCAAACAAGAAGATCAGTAAAATGTACTAGTTTGTAGTCTGTGAACAAAACCAGAATCGCCCCTTCTCAAGGGTAGTTCGCGAGATTATTAAAATAAAAAAGCATAAATTTTTATATAATATTATTTTTGTGTTAAAAGTTTCTATGATAACTTACCACAAATCTTTTGATCCGCCAGGAGATAGAACCCAGCAGGGCAGGTTACCACCACATCCACGTTACCCCGCTCCATGCCGAGCACCAGCCGCCTGTACTCATTGTGACCGTTCGAATCTTGGAACATTGGACAAATGTTTGATTATTGAAAATATACCGTTAAAGGAATACTTAATTGCTTAATTTCTTTTAATTGTTTCATAAAAACAGCTCTGAGAATTTAATAAAACTAAATTCGAGTGCATTTAAATTGTCGGATCAAGATAGAAAAAGCGCCTTGGTAACTCAGATCAAAATATTTCCTAACCCTGAAACCCCCTTAGTAGGTGAAATACCACAGAATAACCGCTTTTAGTAGTCTTTCGTATGGAGAAAGTAGGGAACCGGAGACCCTTTTCACTGAAAACGAGGCATTTTATCTTAGTTCTCAGAGGTAAAGACGCATCTGCATTTTGATCCTTAATCCAGGATAAATGTCGATGTCCACTGACCGTTACTAGAATTATGTGCTATTTTGTCACTCTAATTACGACTAATGAAAAAAACTATTAATGAAAAAATCTAAAGGAGATCAAAAATATTTCTGTTATTAGACTCATATTTACTTATACGATTCTCTTACAGCGCCACCACATGGCAAGTGTGGCAGTATCACATGTTAAATACGAAGATCGAAACATCTTTTACAATCTCCAATTCGTCTATCAAACGGGATATAATAAGAGGCCTGTATCAATTAACTCATTACGTTAGTGTCTATGTTTGACACCCAGCAGCATAGTACACCTTGCAAAGTTCCGGTCTGAATGGTACCAGTTAGCATAACTACAGATTATGAGGTATTTTATATATTATTTTCACCGTGGGCTTTAGTGGTGACAATAGCGCTTTTGCTTTTATGATTTAAATATTTTGCAGGTGTTCTTAGGTAGCAAAAGCCATTAAATATCACGTGAACTGTTAGCTAGATTGTCACTCCAATATGTTAGTTCGCTATATCAGCTGCATCACCACTTACCATCAATTGAAATAGTAGTCAAGTAATCAAGCACTGGCTTAATAGTTGTAAAAATAATGTACTTACCCTTTTTCTTGAGTGCCATAACAGTTGTCAAGTCTGAATCACAAGTATCCAAGGGCGTTAGAGTCTTGTTAAGCTCATCGTAGGCAATTATCACTGTCAACGAGAAAGAAATGTTTCGAAACAGTGTTCGCATGCAGCATCTTACTAGTAGTAGTTGCTGCATGTAACATCTTACTATTGAAAGTTATTAAAACGTCTGTATTTCTTCTACGTATGATATTAAACTTTTGTTTGACAAACGTAGTTAAGTCCATAAACATTTAAAAATGAGATCGTGGATAAATGTAGACGTCTATGGGCCGCAGCATCCACTTACCATCAGGTGGACTGCGTGCACGCTTGTCACCCCTATTCTATTAAAAATATCCACGAGTATAGCCTCATATTAATATAGGTAGAGCACCGCTGCAGCGATATTATGATTGTAGCTCGTATGGGTCGGCTCGACCGGATAAAGGTCATGATGCTCTTACAGAATACCAGCGTGAATAGCAGCTTAATGCTTCTGTGCGCGTGGTATGGTGAGTGTAGAGCACCGGAGACCTTTTTCACCGGAAATGAGGTATTCCACCTTAGTCTTCAGACATAAAACCGCATCTGCATTATAATTCTTAGTGGAGAATCACTGCGTCCACTTACCATCAAATGGATTGTGGGCTAATCTGCCTGTTTAGTCACCGTCATTATTATGAAAAACCAGATGGTTTCATATACCAGATGGTTTAATAATTGTGGCCACAAGTTCTAACTGTACGGCCTTAACCTGTATCTATCAACGACTTGCACGTTCATCAGTTTGTCACTCCATCTAGCGGGGGTCGCCATACACTCCGCTTATTCCGAATGGCACAGCCAATGGGAAATCACGGGCTATTTAGCGCTAAAATCGTTAGTGGAACGTCAAAATTTATCGCCAAAGGTTTGGATTTCCATCTTCCATTTACAAAATAATGTCCGACTTCGTCCACGTGAAATCTTGGATTTGTTTAATGTTAAAGGAGTTGAGAAATGGTATGAAAAAAAATTGACAACGTTTATGTGGACTGATTGAAAAGTGTTTATGTTAAATCCGTTTATAAAATATATAAGCAAGCAAAGAGATAGGTGGTGAAGGAATATTTCGTCAGGAAACCTGTATGTCTGAGAAATAAAATACTTTGAGCACAACTGTAGTCCGCCAACACGTATTGCAGCATCCTATCCTGACACCTTAAAAACGAGAGCAGAAAAGTCGTGTGCCCAGAAGAGAGACGTTTTTATGCTGTAAGTTTATATATTTTTAATTTTTTGACGTTATAAATACAAATTTTGTTCGTCGAATTTTTTTTTAAACTACCACTGTTTCAAAATAAGATTTCTTCGGTCTGAGAAGAAAATATACAGAATAACTAGTTTTATGCCCCGGCTTCGCACATGGGATTTTTAGATCTCTAGAACAGCACAAAGGACCTCAAACTACTCATCAAAATTGATTCAGTTGTTTAGGAGGAGTTCAGTGACAAAGTAACGTACAGAGGTATATTATAATATATAAATAAAAAATATATTATATATATATGGAAAGATATTGAACATTTCAAAGTATATACACATACCTTTAACGAGTGCCAAAGATGGCGCGTTGCTGGCCCAGAGCAGAGCCATCGAGCACTTCAAGTCCCTCTGACACTCCGGACTGCATTCAATTGTTGGCTGTGAACTTGGTTTCACTACGACCGTGGATCGTAGCAAGGCCTCATTGTCCTACAAGTATTTAAATACACCGTGTAGTGGCGGTGTAAGGATGGGTACCAACTAGCCGATATCATCCCGTGGATGTGGTAAGAGGCGACAGAGGGATGCAAAACTAGAGATGGACAGCAACAATAACAATAAGGAAATTAAAAACTGCGGCTTAAACGCCTGCCAAGCTTGGCAACTATGGCAAAATCCCTTGTATGTCACAATCTATGGTAAGGCCTATGTTCCTATGAACATTGATAGGCTGTAATGATAGACGGATGAATGGATATAAATACACTCATATAAATAATTTAGGAGTGTACTCTGAAGACTAGGATGACATCATGACAGGATCTGTGTTCTGGTCCTTATGAGAAAACTTTAGGTCGCTAGCTAAGCTAGCAAGCTATATAAAAGTTCTATGCTTGAAGTTTCCCTGCGTGATAAAATTCACAGTGAACTTGAAATGTTGATACCTTCAAAAAAAAGTGTCTACTGTGTTTTAAAAGGCCTACAATAACCGATATCTGTGATTTTCTTATGTATCTCTTGTCAAGGTATTGTTTTGTAGTTAACGAATAAAGTTTAATATAAATAATAATAATAAAACTAATTTTACGATTTTTATCGAGCCATACTAGCTCAGACGGTTGGCGCTCGCTGTAAATTTCATAGTATCCCGGGTATGATCCCCACCAGCAACAATGAAATATTTAATTGCAATGTTAAGTGCTGATGTACCACGTGCTCAGCGGTGAAGGAAAACATCGTGAGGAAGTCTGAGAAATAAGAAAAAAAATATTTCGAAGACCTGTAAAGTTCACATCGACACTTCCTTCACCTAAAACCCTCTCAAAAATGAGAGGAGGCCTGTGCCCAGCCGTGGGACGTATATAGGCTGTAACTTTAACTTTTAAACCATTATATTACCTTCCGTATAATAATAACCTTTTTTTGTTTTCTTTTTCAATTTTAATTTTTTTAATTTTAATTTTAATTCCCGACCTTTCGGAAACTTTACGAGTACAGTTTACAGCACCCATGGCCACGGGGAAAATGAGGTGTCTGTCACTCATAAAATTAGTTTTATTCCGTGCGTGTAATATGAGTAACAACAGAAAGACTGATAGTTCTCTTGGCACTTTTCTTCTTCTTCACCAGTCTATAGAAGACAATGCTGTAATGGTCCTCGCCTGTTGTAGGAAGACGCTCATCGCTAACATCAGTAATATTATGAAAAATCATTTAAGAGTTAGGATCTGTAAAATCGGTATACCTTATTAGACATGCAGACCGGTTCATCGATACGAATTGGACAAGACTCTTCTCCCCAGTACATTGCTTTAAACATCACTGGTCCCAACTTTTGTATGTTCTTCAGATCCTTAGGGAATAAAAAGGTCGTTTTACGAATTACAGTATAATAAATAATTATAAGTGGCCGTTTTATTAAAAGCGATATTTTGTAATAAAAATTTACAATTTAACTTGAAGTTAACGCATATCTAAAGTGACGACCCCAAGCTACTAGCTACAGAGATGGAGCGAGATTGAATAACTCCCTACAGGATCACTTGTCCCACGAGAACTTATTTTAGACTGTCAACATAATAGCATAAGCACAAACACTCACGCCTGTCACCCAGAGGGGTAGGCAGAGACCACGGACTTCCATTTGACACGATCCTGACATACCTCTTTCGCCTCCTTTACATCCATATATCTACGCATACATGCTCGTCGGTTAAGGGTACTTTTAACGTGGCCCATTTTCAAAATATCGCCAATTTGGTCGATAAACTTTTTTCTAGCGCGTCCCTTCCCGACTCTGCCGTTCACATCTGCCATATAAATTTGCTTTGTCACTCTTTCCTCATTCATTCTTTTTACATGACCAAACCACCGAAGCATTCCTTTCTTAATCCTGGTCACAACATCATTTTGCATACCACATTTATCTCTTATCACGCAATTTCTCACCCTGTCATTCAGATTCAACCCTAGCATACTCCTTAAAGACCGCATTTCTACAGCATTTATTCTACTTTCGTGCTTCTTGTGCCACACCCAGCTTTCACTACCATACATTAAAGTAGGGACTAACACAGCATTATGAATTACCATACGTGCCTTTTTTGATACATTCTGGTTCTTCACAATAGAGTGTAGTGCCCCATTCACTCTATTCCCTGCATTTACTCGTCGTTCTATATCCTTATCATATCTACCATCCCTGCTAAATACACATCCCAAATACACAAACTCATCCACTTGCTCAATTAACTCTCCTTCTATTCTTATTTCACATACCGTATTGCTTTCCTCTCTTTCAAAAACCGTCACTTTCGTCTTACTTGCGTTCACTTTCATTCCCCTTTCTTCTAATGCCCAGTTCTTTAATGTAACCATCATTTGCAACTCAGCCGCCGATGACGCAAATATGACTTGATCATCGGCATACAAAAGGCATTTGACGTTTAACTCGCCCATTCTTAACCCACATTCCTCATCTTTCAAAGTTTGCAAACACCTGTCCATAAATAGGTTCAACAGCCAAGGGGAAGCCACACAGCCCTGTCTGATACCCTTTCGGATGCCAAACCAGCCCAAGTAGACCCCATTGATCCTGACACAAACACTAGAATCCCTATAAAGAGACCCCAATGCCTGTATCAAACCAGCGCTGTCAACACTTTACAAAATTAGTCACATGAACTTTCGTAACCAACGTTAAGTGTAGTAGAGGTAGTAAGAGGATATTTCACTTTAACGGTGTATAGGTTTATACGTGGTAAAGCCAATGCTGCAGTTATATTAGTAGTATAGTTGTAGCACGAATGGGTCGGCTCAACCGGGGAAGTACCACGCTCTCACAGAATACCAGCGTGAAATAGTAGCTTAATGCTGCTGTGTTTCGTATGGTGAGTGTAGAGAACCGGAGACGCATTTTACTGGAAACGAGGCATTCCATCTTAGTCCTCACGGGTGACAACGCATCTGTATTTTGATTTGTAATCCGTATATATAGAAAATATGTGCCCGTGTGTGTATGTGTATGTGTGTTATGCGTATGTATATATTTATGTATGTATGTGTATATATCTATGTATATGTATATATATTATATGTGTGTGTATCTATATAATGTACTTAAGGTAGCCACTGAAAATCAGGGCCAGGATGACACATCTTAGCGTTTCCTGAGTGGCAGTCCTACTTGGACCATTTCCCATTAAAAAAAAGTTTTTTTTAAAGTCAGATGTTCACTTTTTTAATGTATTTTGTATCTATCTGCTTTGTCAAAATGATTTATTTTTCATTGTAAGTGTATAATTAAGTCTACTTATAAGACTACCTAAACATAATGTTTGTTTTGAGTATTTAGTGGTCATTTGTTAAGAAATGGCCAAATAAATATCTCTTTCTTTCTTTCTTTCTAATCGCGGATAGATGTAAATGTCTATGGGTCTCAGCAACCACTTACCATCAGATGGACTGTGTGCTCGTTTGTCACCCTATCCTATAAAAAAGGTGGATAAGTAAAGGTATAATAAATTAAACAATCAAGTTCACAAAATGTATTGAAAACATTTAGTATACAAAATTTCGATGTGAGAGTCATGCCACAGCTTTACTTATAATGCATTCAGGATACTGATGGGTCTGCCGCAATTTTGCAGTGCGTCAGTAACTCAGGAATATTTGCTGATGCGCGTGTACCTACTGTTTTTATCTATGCGAAAGCGATGCACATCCTTGTGGCGCAGAGTCCGGACCAGCTTCAGTAGCAACGTGAGGGCGTTTGTTTACAGGTTCGATTGTACGCACTTGAACCACTGCTCTGCCGTCCTTACAATAAGTGCAATAACTCGAGTTTTTGGGCTTACTGACTTAAATACATATCCATAATCAGGAAAATGAGCTCTATATTTTCTTCTTAGATGTCTTTTTTGTATTTTTGCAGTTATCTGCAATATCTCATAATACCATTTGTAAGTTGCATATCATGAACGAAATAACTTGAGTTATGGCAAGGTAGGCTATAATATTTTATGATATTTCTATAGATTACCGCAATATGTCCTGTTACTGCACTTATGATTAGCCCATTTTTTTTTTCAATTTAGGACACATTTACTTGTCATAAGCGCAACAAGTAAAAGTTATTGCAGATATGTTAAGGAATCTTATTATTTAAAAATTTAAGCTCACAAATTCTAATAATAACAAGTAAATTTATTGCAATTATTTGAAGGGAAAACAGACAAGATTTGAATGGCTATAAATACTAAATCGCAATTTGTCTTCGAGTTATTGCGGCTATGAGTTGTTGTTTTGATTTCCGGAATGAATTTGGTAATTATTTTAATTTTTTTTTACTTAGTATAAGCCAGTGCTTGACCACAACCCCACCTGGTGGTAAGTGGTGACGCAGTCTTAGATGGTAAATCGCACTGTTTTAGCGTAACAAATGCCTATTCACTCTCGCCTTGAAGATGTTCAGATATTATTCGGACGGAAAGATAGACGCCCGCAAATTATTCCTTTGTTGTACGCATTAAAACATTTAATTTAACATAATACGCATTAAATTCAATGTGGTTCGAGATATTCATCTTTATATTCTGGTTTCTAAAACTCAACAAAGAAAACAACCTGTATTAGGTCATTCGTTAAAATGTCATGAACTCCTTTCATTGTTTGACAAAAACGATTGTGACAATAGTAAAGTTAACATGTTTGAGGACTGCAGCGATAGCGTCAAAAATAAAGATTACTAACGTGATTGTTCCATGAATTACGAATACGATTTTTACACCCGCAATGAAACTAGTACAACAGAACACAAAATATAATACCTCTTTTATACTAATTCCTTCCCCACTCACTTCTCAGAATGGTTGTTTTTAATTTTTAGCTTTAAGTAATGTATGACCGTCCGTGAAGTGAATATTGGGCTCTATTTGAAAATCAGCGCTGCTGTCATTACGGTACAGCAGCAGTTAGCTGAAATAGGGACCTAATTTGACTTCACAAAATCCATTTTATTTTTTTATTTCGAGTTTTTTTTCTCTTTGTGATTTCAAACAAAGTTTTTCTTTCTTTAACTTTAACTAATCATAAAACAACATCTAAGGACAATCACGGAGGTCAAAACAATAGATCAGATGCTTTATTTGATTTTAAAAAATACAATGAAGGACCAAAGCCTGAAGTTATCACTGAATATATAGCGCCTGATACTAGCACATATGACCTTAAAGATGGTTAATTGCTACAGGAAAAGAGGGGAATGTGTCAATGATGGGCTATAAAATGAAATTGAAGATGCGTAACCCGAACAGAAAGCCCTTTCTTCCTGTTCGGTTTACTATCTCAAGTAAAGTCACCATCAACATTACCTGCAAATCAAAAAGGATTTACAAAGTCAGGCCTACCAAGGAAAAGACGTGCTTTTAATATTCCATTGAGACAACACACCTAACAGAGGAAGGAAAATGCTGATGCAGTAAGCATTATTTCTACCATGTGAAATGTAGAAAAAAGTTTATGACAAAGTTTGAACTAAAGTAGGACTAAGTAATGAAAAAAATTCGAAAATATATCTACGATCGGTAGGTAAATTTAAGTTGGGAATCAAGAAGTTTGTGTATAAAAGGCATGGTTGAGCCATATACTGTAAAAACCCGAACAAATACGGACGGTATAACCGCCAAACAAAAAATGTTTTTTATGAAAATGTGAAGTTTGTCAGGTTATCTTTCTGTCAACACTCGGATACAAGCCAAAGTAAGGAAGTTAATGATCAACAAAACAAACGAGGAAGCTATGAACGTAAAAATTCATTAGACTAAAACATAACCAAAGAACATAGTTTCAAAGTTTCAATCCTATTACATTATTACCGCGAAAATGCATCCAATAAGTTTTATTTACCGAGTGACTTCAATATTACGACGATACGTTAAACTCAGACATGTCAAACTTATATTAAACTCAGATTCCAATGTTTTTTATGTTGAGATTTAAGTTACTTAAGATTGACTTTTTACTATTAAGATTGATTTAAAGATTAATCTCATAATCTGCTTTAGTAGATTAAGTATAACATTTTTTGTATTCTAGGAAAAAAATAAAATTTTTCTAAAAGATTTTTTGATTAATTTCGAATAAAGTTATCTTGCTTAATATATGCAACTGCAAAGTTCCTTAAGTCGTGACTACATAATTTTTGTGAAAGAAACATAAAGTGGTCTAAAGGGGTTTAATTTTTATTTTTCGGGGGTAGAGTGATATTTTTGTAACATTTTTCACATCAATTAATTTAATAAATAAATATTTTCATACGTAGTAATTATGTTTCAATCATTTTTCATATAAACTTACAATATTCTTGCAATCAACCACCGCTGTAATGTGTCCGATTAAAATATTTTACTTATTAAAACCGCAATAACTAATGTCGAATGGAGTGGCGAATATATTGGCCGAGAGTTGGTGACGGCGTCCACACGTTGGAAGATCGTTCAGTTTACTTCGGTTCGGGCCAATGTGCGGACGAATTTATAAGCACCCCGGCGCAGTGGCTCAGCAATGACTGGCTGCGCCGGGCGCCGCGGGTTTGATCCCGCACGGAACAAGTATTTGTATATCCTACAAATAATTGTTTCGGATCTGGATGTGTGTCCTTGTGCAATTTGTGTTTGTAAACTGCCTGCGCGATACGGGAGAAAATCCTAGTGTGGGGTTAACGTTTTTATAAAAGAATTGTAAAATAATAATGGATATTAATGGGGTTGTAAATAGATATACAATATACGATTAGCTTTATTTATTCTTTATATGCATCATAAACTGGAATAAAAACCATTAATAAGGACTTAACTTATTTTAAAGTTAAAGGAGTTATAATCGATTAGTCTATGTTTTAAAATTGGGTTTTGATTTTAAAGTTTAGCAAAATATGTACTTGCATTTCTATCAGACATTTGATGTACATAAAAAAACACCTTATAATTTATTTGGTAATTTAATTATTTTTTGAGAAAGACAAAAACAATAGCAATAAATATAATTAACACTGACTTAATAATAGGTACTAATTATAACTTAGAACATAAATGAAAAACTCATGACGAGCAAAGTGGCTCAGGACCATGCTTTGCGGCAGTCTGTGGAGGAGGATGTTCAGTAGTGGACTTGTGAAGAGCTGCAATGATGATGATGATTCGAAAAATTGCACGATTAAATTATAAGAAATCGACTCTTTTTTATATAGGATAGGGTGACAAACGAGCACACAGTTCACCTGATGGTAAGTGGTTGCTGTAGACAATAGACATCTACATCTATCCTCGATTACGAATCAGGATGCAGATGCGTTGTCACCCGTGAGGACTAAGATGAAATGCCTCGTTACCTTTAAAAAGTGTCTCTGGTTCTCTACACTCACTATACGAAACACAGCATCATTAAGCTACTATTTTACATTGATATTCTGTGAGAGCGTGGTCCTTCCCCGGTCGAACCGACCCATTCGTGCTACAACTATACTTCTAATATAACTGCATGGTTCTACCACGTATAAACGACGTGCTTTATTTTTTTTTCATTTTAAAATTGTTCTCGTAATAATCTGATTGTAAGTAAATGTACATTATTTTTTTTTATAAATAGCTTATCGATTAAAACAAATGTTTAAAAATAATTAAATCGCGCTAATTAAAGTAGTAGGAATGTTTAAAGTGGAAATTGGCACTAAAAGGCTGGTAATTGGGTCATCCACCCTACAAAGCGTGAATATAAAATTTAAATCAGAGGCGTGTAATCACTCTGGGAGCTTGTAGCAAACTAAACGCGCGGCCAACGTGTGGACGCGGCGACCAAACTCTGCCAACAATCCTTTGATCTTTTGTAAAAAACCGACACCACACGGATCTCGCGCCAACTTGCGGGCCATCGTTCCAATACATACCAATGAAGCCCAAACACTCCGTCTACACGTTGGCCAATGCTATTGGCCACTACATTCGCCACTGTGTTGGCCAACGTGTAGAGGCGCCGTAAGACACTTATTGCACTTATGGTTTGAAAGAAACTACAGAACATACAGTGTATGCTACTCAAAAGAGCAATTTGTCGGTTTACTAACGATAACTGCCTTAAGTAGTCTACTTATCGCGATCGTGATTAGTCACGCTCTATCAAAGTAATTAACTGTCCTAAAGATAAATACATTATTTTGTTTTTAATGTCTATATAAAAGTATGTACAAATATAATATACTACAAATAATTCTGCATCATTTTATCTGTCGTACAGTAAAAGTTTCAAGTAAATAGCTATCATAGTTACGAAGAAACACACAAAACAAGAATTAAATCTTTAATTGCGATTATCTCGAAATAGCCAAAACCAAGTTATTGCACTCTTCATAAGAAGGGCAGTGCTGTATGGTTCATGTGATATCAAATCGTTGCTGTCTTAGTAAGTAGGCTTTATTTTTATTTTATTTTCAACCGAATTCAAAAAAAAACCGGCCAAGAGCGTGTCGGGCCACGCTCAGCGTAGGGTTCCGTAGTTTCCCGTCCGTCACAATAAGTGTTCCCACTTATGAGTTTAAAGGTGGGTATTATACGTTCGTGCTCCAGCAGCGCTCCGCGCTCCTGCAACTGCTCACGGTAGTGGGTACTGTTGTTTCCATTCAAGTTCAAAATGATTTTCCTAGAAAGTCCTTATAAAGTTCTACTTTTCAGATTTTTTTCATATTTTCTAAACGTATGGTTCAAAAGTTAGAGGGGGGGGGGACACATTGTTTTTTACTTTTGGAGCGAGTATTTCCAACATTATCAAAAAATGATTTTAGTAAACCCCTATTCATTTTTAATTACCTTTCCAACAATATATCACACGTAAGGGTTGAAATTAAAAAAAAATCACTTCCCACTTTACATATAGGGGGGCTACCCTAATAAAACATTTTTTTACAATTTTCATTTTACCACTTTGTCGGCGTGATTGATACATATATTGGTACCAAATTTCAGCTTTCTAGTGCTAACGGTCACAGAGATTAAGCGAGGACGGACAGACGGACAGACAGACATGGCGAAACTATAAGGGTTCCTAGTTGACTACGGAACTCTAGCGAGGACATTCTCAATTCAACTGTATTTTTTATTTTATTTATGTTTTAACACAGAATTTTTTGCTTGGAGAACCGATTTTGATCATTCTTTTATTTAAAAGCTGGTGCTTCTCACGCTGTCCGATATAAATTTGGTGATGATGATGATGATGATGAGCAGTACTTATTGAGTTATCCTTAATAATGCGTATTTAATTGACTTCGACTACATTGATGATGTTCTCATTTTATTTATATTGAAGTCGATTGTACAATTTTTTTAAATTTACCACTTGTTATTTACTAAAAAATAGACTTAAGATCTTTATGTTACTAACACATATGATCCATTATGGTCGAAATAAAATGTTTTTATTTATTAATTATTAGACTATGACTGCAGCACGAACGGGTCGGCTCGACCGGGGTAAAACCACGCTCTTTCAGAATACCAGCGTATGCTGCTGTAATTCGCATTTGCACATCACCCGGCAGGAGATTTCCTTTTTTCCTTCCATGACCAAATTGCTTTTAAATTTATTATATCATATAAATCACTCAAGTTTTTGACTGTACTAAATGACGTAAGTTTGGTAAAATTTCCGCACTGTAATCTTTTCAGTATGCTAAATAATGTCACGCATATTACCTCATAAGTACATTCGCTTTGGCACTTGTACAATGTTGTGAAGACAATATTGAAGTCGGGGACCACGATGACGTTCAACTTGACACTTCTTATAACGCTCTTATCCTGAAAAGAAATCCAGTGAGTTAAATTCTGGAATAAAATTTCCCTGTTACTATTTTGGCTAGGGCTGCGTGCTATCCAACTACGCTGTTTCCTCTGCATATCAATGATATGTTGCAATCTGGTAACATTTGTTACTATGCAGTAAATATAACTGATGGTGAATCCTTGTTAAACATCTCGTAAGTCTTTAAAAGTCTCGGATTGGAGGCGACTAAATTAAAATAAAAAGCTTTTACACGTTTACCATTAAAAAAGAACCCCTTTGTCGTATATCATCAATTTCAGGGCACTTCTCTTCCTGCTTGAGCCAACCCCGGAATTCTGAGTGTCGCCATATCCACACCCACCACTTGCAACTTTACAAAGTGCAAGTTCGGCTTCACATTGAATGCTGTGCTTATCTATGGGCCGCGGCACTCCATTGCAACCCTTTATTTTGGAAAAAAGTTTCGCTGGTTTTTTTGCTGGTTCTTCCCAGTGACAGAGTTTAACCTCCGACCAAACAAGAGTAACTTTACTTTTTTACTTTAATACAGCCTGTATACGTCCCACTGCTGGGCACAGGCCTCCTCTCATTTCTGAGAGGGTTTTAGGGCAAGGGATAGTCCGCGGGGCTGCCTCAATGCGTGTTGGCGAGCTTCACATGTCCTCAAAATAATTTTTTTTCTTATTTCTCAGACATGCAGATTTTCTCACGATGTTTTCCTTCACCGACGAGCACGTGGTAAATCAGAAATTAACAATTTCATTGGTGCCGGCGGGTATCGAATCCGGTTTGCTCGCGTATTGTGAAATTTACAGCGAGCGCTAACCATCTGGGCTACTACGGACAAGAGTAAATAATGACTAAATAAGAACTACTTGTATTGATTGATATTTTTATGATTAAAAAAAATTATGATATTATATTGATTAAAAAAAATCTATGTTATTATTTTCTATTCTACTTGACCGAATTCAGTGGAGAGCGGCCCGAATCGTAGATGACAGAGTCCTTTCTAAACGGCTTAAAAATTGATGGCGGTTGCGAAGAGATGTTGCATCCTTTGCATTTTCTATCGCATTTATCACGAAAACTGCTCAAAGGAATTAAAACAGACACAAAATTACACCACCAGAACATTTTCCGAACCGAAAGAATCGCTGGTGGTTGGCGATATCACAAAAAATTGTGTAAAGCAGAAAACTTATGATAAAACGCATATTGGTGAACCGCCAATCATCCAGATGGTCACGCAAATTTTGTCGCGATGTACGACGGTGAAATATGGCGAAAAAGAATTTGAAAGAAAGGTAAGATAAGATGTCTAAATCACGATATTATACTTTACTTAAATTGGGAATTTAAGTTTGTAACCGCAAAAAATAATTTTTACTTGATATAACTACACAGTACTGTGTAATGGCAGTGTAAAAATATCCACTACTGCATAATATCATCCCGTGGGTGTCGTAAGAGGCGACAGAGGAGAATAAATCAGGAGATGAGTAGCAGCGTCTTCCTGGTAACGACCAAAATAAAAGAAACAACGGTTGCCAACCCGATTACCATGCGTGGCCACAGTTTCAAATATCCCGCTATGAGACAATCTATGGGGGAGGCATATGTTCAGCAGTGGACTACAATAGGCTCTAACGGTAACGGTAACTACAAATGAACGTTTTCCGATTTATTCCTTAACGATAAGTGCCCTGTAGGTTTTGATGATTTTCATAAGGGACCGTATACCAAAGTACTAGATATTAATTTCAACTCGACCGTTTAATTGGAAACTTGCCTCGAAGCAGGTATATGTGCCAAAGTTTCTGGGTTGGACATTGACTATGGAAATAGTGGACCCATAGACTTTTGTGTTCGAGCACTGTAGCATGGCCTTCCTTTCAGTAGACCAAGTGTATTCGTACATATTGGACAGATTCAAATATGAATAAGCAGGACCACCCGACGCATTGCATTGAATCGTCACTGAATCGCCACGTATCACGAAAATTTCATCCTGAAACAACGTATAAGTATTGTTTATTAAGAATTAAATATTTACCTCTCAGGAATGAGAGAACGTCTGTGCCCCGGAGTGAGACAAATAACTTTAATTTTTAATGTCATTTAAAAATTACAGTAAAGCAAAAAAAATTTAATAGCTGAAGGTTTGCTTCAAGATGTCAAACACTCCAGTTTTCTCCATAGTCATGGCTGTTTAAAGCGCCCGAAAGGTCGGGAAGTAAAAAAGTTAAAATTAAATGCGATAATTTCTTAAAATTGGTTATATTCCGTGTGTAATATTTGCGTAAATATAAAAAACGGATAAATATTATAAAATTTACAAAATAGGAAGAAACTTTGAATTGAAAATACAAACTTGTTTTGGAGATGTCAAAGACGGGACACGGTCTATTCTACTCATATATAAGCATATGTACTTGGTGGAACTTTATAAAATTTTACATGGGAAGTCATGCTACAACTATTTAACGACTGCAACTTGAATGGGTATTCCCACCGGGAAGTATCACTTCCGCAGTAAATACCAGCGCTAAGGCAACAGCATTATCATAGTGTTTCGTATGGTGAGTGTAGAAAACCGGAGACCTTTCTTACTGGTAACGAGGCATTCTATCTTATTATTGAACCACGTGTGGGCCACAGCATCCACTTAACATCAGAGGAACTGTATGCTTGTATGTCAGGTTAGTTGTACAAACAAACAAAAATAAAAAAAAATAAACCGTTTTAAGCAATTACTGTTAAGACAATAATTTCTTATAGTTACGCGAACACTACACATTGATTAAAACTGCTTTTACGAAGTTTATCGCGTTTAATTTACTTGGTTTTTAATTCCCGACGTTTCGTGGGAGCTGGAAAGCACCAGCTGCTTTCCAGCTCCCATGGTCACGGTGGACTAATGCGACTGACGTCTCGATTTCAGTATTGACTCGGAGTACCTTTTAGTTTTACTTTTATGATTGGGATCCTGTCCCAGCCTCCTTCTCTATTGAAATTAGGATATTTTTTAATTTCAATAGCCTCACGTATCATCCTTGGTAGGAATCGATGTTCTTTCGCAAGGATTTGTGGTCTATCAAATCTGATGTAATCAGGCGGCCATCTTGTGATCATATACAAACTGTAGAATTCCCGGAACGTTGGTACTTCACGTTATGCAAGGGTTAAAACTGAAATCGAGACGTTGTTCACCTTAGCTCCCGTGACCATGAATGTTGGAAAAAACTCAAAACCTCGGGAATTAAAAATCAAGTAATTAACCGCGATAAAATCCGTCAAAGTAGTTTTAATCAATTACTGTTAATTTTCACAACCTTTTCCGAACGTGGTACAACATTATACTCACAATTAATGGCCGCAAAGGAGGCAAATTTCTTAAGCCGTTGACTACATCACTCATGTCTACAGCTCCCCTCTTTTTCCTTTCATTTTCTCTTCTTCGATATACGCCGTCCCCGTCCAAGTACAATCTATCATAATCCTCTTTTTCATCCCTTAAAGCGTACTGTAGGCTTCCTCTCAAATTTTCAACCTCGAATCCTCTACTTTCATCATCGACATCATCAAAATAATCATTGTTCAAATCTTTCCAATTTGTAAAATCACCAAAAGCATCACTATTTAGTTGCGAAGACCTTTTATCACGTATCCAATTCCATTTTAATTTTTTTTTAGTTAGGTCCGTGGCATATCCGTGGCCTGTTTTCGAATGTATTTTAAATTTTTTCTTGCTCTGCTTTGACGTAGCTTTGATGTGGAAGGCTGAAGGCGCTTTTTTATATTTAAAACAGCTGATGTTCTTTACGTATTTTCCGAAATCGGTTTTGGACAGATTTTGAAACATTTCTTGTATATGCATAACGGTCGCATTGATATCGCATATGTACTTGGTGGGATCGGCGTTTGGCTCATAGACCTCTTGAGAAAAGGGTTAGTATTAGTTATGATATTTATAAAAACAAATAATAAAAATAATGATAATATTCTTAATTTTGAAGAATGCAAATCGACTTTCAGTAGATATGGAAAATCTTATATCTAGTTTTAATAAAGTTCTCTACTTATTTAATTACTAGCGAACAACGCCATCTATCTGGTCCAATTGTGAATCTAAACCATTCAGGGACTCAATCAAATACACAAAAACAAAATCAAAATCGGTCGAGCCGTTTTTGTGTTTTATTGACTAACGGACATCAATTTATTTTTATATGTAGAGATAGATGATTTACGTTGAGGCTTAGATGATCTACCTCCACACATGAAATGCCTCACAATAGAAGAGATACTCTCCATCACCGTTTTAATGATGCTGTCGGCACCGGCCCATATTCTTTTCATTAGGAACGCGTTTTTTACGTTACAACCTCTGAGGATTAAGACGGAATGCCAATCACAGCCAATAATTATACCGAGTCTCTATACCATTCAGAAGGAAGCACAGCAGTGTACTGATATGTGTTGTGGTTATTTTTCTTTATTAACCTCATGGTATCATCGTCGTTGTAGCTAGAAGATAAAACTCAGATACACCACTGCGTGTCTCTGCTGGCACTTATGAATCCGCTAGTTGCAATTGGTCAGTGTTAATGTACCACGTGCCCCTTGGTGCAGTGGCTGAGCAATGAGTTACAGCGCTGAGTGTCAAGTGTTTATATGACCTACAAATAATTATTCCGGGTCTGGGTGAGTTCTTATGAAATTTACGCATGTAAAGTGCCTCCAAGATACAAGAGAATATCCTAGTGCAGGTGGTAGTTGTTTTAAAAAAACTGAATGTCTGAGGAAATTAAAATATTTCGAAGACATTTTATGAAATTTTCGGGGAAATATGAACACGCGTTGCGTAATGACGACATAAGAATATTCACTACCCTCGATCATCCCGTGGGTTTCGTAAGAGGGAAATCAAACGGGAGATGGGGAGTAGCATCTTTCTGGTAACAACTAAAATAACCAAGCGTGGCCACTATCGCAAATGTCCTCCCTATGAAGGCTATCAGTGAGGGAAAGTTCCTTTGTCTTTAATTTTTATTAAAGTTAGGGATAAGAAAGTAATATGTATTCATACCTTCATTCTCATATTTGTCATTAGTTGTACCTATGTTTTCCTTCGATTTATCAGGCTGAAATGGAATGAAAAAAACTTAATGAATTATAATTGTGTGTAAAATCCAAGTGTAACATGGTAACCAGTGAGGGAAGTATATGACGACCCCCTCTAGATAAGCGTCACCTGGCATGCATGGAATCGCTGGATGCAGTTAGCTTAAGGTCGTGCATTTTTGGCATTCCTTGGCCAAAGGCCTACGTATTTTCAACAGTGGACTTGTTGCTCGGATGATGATGATGATGAGCAGTGCAATTGTGGTTGTGCTGGTATGTCACTTATTTTCTATAAAAATATCTATTGTAGCACCTTATAAGAATATGGATCAAAAATATTGACGTGGTAATTTAAGTAAACAATACGGATGAAATTATTTTCATTATGGGATCCCCACAGGCAAATAAAAACTCAAAAAAAAGGCAAAAGGCTTTTACGTTGCAATGGAAAGGGCTATGCTCGGGGTTTCTCTGCGAGATAAACTTAGAAATTAGGATATCCGCAGTAGAACCAGGGTGACCGACATAGCCCAACGGATTAGTAAGCTGAAGTGGCAATGGGCCGGCCATATAGCTCGAAGAACCGACAACCGATGGGAAAAAAATTTTTCCTCGTGGCAGTCTCGTACCCGTAGGCGAAGTGTAGGGCGATCTCCCACTAGACGGTGTGACGACCTAGAAAGACATGCAGGAAGTCGACGGATGCAGGTGGCTCGGGACCGGGTTTTGTGGTACTCCTTGATGGAGGCCTATGTTCAGCAATACACTTGTGAAGGCCTGTAATGATGATGATGATTGTGATTGACGGCGTTCCCTATGTTTGATGATCTTGACTTTGACGTTAGTATAGTGGTCGTTTGCGCGACTACTGATCACAAGGTCCCGTGTTTGAATCCTGGGTTAGGCTTAAATCAGTTATTGGATTTTCTGTCAAGAAATTCACAGCACCAGCCCAGATTCAGGAAGTTGATGCTGGAATGCACGTGAAGCTCTTGGTCCGACGCCTGATTTCTCTCCGGTCGAGTCGGATTGCCATCCCTTCGGACTATGAGAGCGAGGGAATAGAGAGTGCACAGTGCTTGCGCGTACACTCGGGCAATATAATCCTGTCCTGTGCAGATGGCTAGTCTATATGGAGACTGGCGCCTAAACCGAAGTTCGATCTGGAGGACATTATTATTATTATTGCCCGCTTCGAACATGAATTTTCGATCATCAATCAGATAAATAAGTAGGTCTCTCCACTCGACAGCAAAAAATAAACACAATTGCATTTCAATTTAAATTTTTCTATTCTATTTAAATTCACTAAAACTTAAAATACAATATAAATTAGGTATACCGTAATTGCATCGTTTCCAATCTCGTATTCTATATTTTTTCTAGCAGACTTTTTAGTTGTCGACGTAGTCGTTTTAGGCAATTTGCTTGTTATGGTAACTGTCGTCTTTATCTCTATCCCTTCATTAGTAACCGTAAAAGTGTTAAGGCTTGACGGTGGCTGTTCTAAGTCTAGAAAAGATGAACATTTTAGGGTTTTGACACATGGTGAAGTCACACTGCAGCTATAAAAGATGCTGCTGCTCATCTCCTGTTTTGTTTCCCACTGTCGCCTCTTAAGAAACCCCCACGAGACGATATGGGGCAGTGGATATTCCACACGGTTGACTGTGCTTTGTGTTGTTCCTTGGGGGAGGCCTATGTTCAGCAGTGAACTTGTGAAGGGCTGTAATGATGATGGTTATTATGATTATAATGATATTTATTATACATGTTCCAAATGTGCTACCATGTAGTGGTGCCGTAAGAGGCTCATTCGTACCTAGGGTGTCTATGAATAACGCCAAAAATCTTTTGTCATTACTTTCGTTATGGCTTCGTCAAAACGCCTGATAAGCGTGACATTTGGGGTAAACCCCTCCTACAGCGAGAGAAACGCATGAGCAGTGGACTTTTATTGGCTGATGGGGGAAGCAGGAGGGATAAGGGGGGTCGCTGTGGTACTTCATGGTATGGAACTTTTTATTCCTTCCTCTGTGGTGCCCATCGGAGGCAAATCTCAGCCATGGTTTGGTCGCTCCTGTAAAATAGCATCATGCTATAAGCAGGAGTGCTACCAAGCCTGGGCTGACGCATCAACGTCCCGGGATGTAAATACCAGCACTCTAAAAAAGAAGTGTATTTCCGCCTCCAGGTCCTCCAAAGGAGTCATTACCAGGGCAAAGTCAGAGCACATAGGCAGAATTTGCGATAAGCTAGTTCGCCTTCCTTCTGGAACCCGTGCATTCTGGTATCTCGCCAAAGCTGTCCAGAGGAATCTCGTCAGCCATCTCTTCCATCTCTGCACAGGGAGGACGACTTACTGGCCCATGCCGCAAAGGAGAAAGCCGATCTGCTAGGCTCTTTTTTTGCGTCCAACTCGACTCTTGATGACTGATGATGATGATGAGTACGCTACCGACCATCCCGCGGTGTGAGTGCTCCATGCCGGACATGCGATTTACACAGCGCTCGGTTCTCAAAGCATTTCTCTCCCTGGATATCCGCAAGTTGAGTGGGCCTGACGGTATCTCCCCAATTGTGCTGGGGACGTGTGCTTTAGAGTTGGTACCGGTCTTAAGGCGTCTTTTCCGGTACTCCTACTCTCTAGGCGTAGTCCCAAAATCATGGAAGACGGCTTTCGTCCACCCGATCCCCAAAAAAGGCGACCGCTCATACCCGTCCAACTACAGGTTCATCGCCATCACCTTCTTGTTCTCTAAAACAATGGAATCCATTGTAAACCGCCAGCTCATGAGGTACCTTGAGGATCACCAGCTGATTAGTGATTACCAATACGGTTTTCGTCGTGGTCGATCAGCTGGTTATCTTCTGGTCTACCTGAGTTATAGATGGGCGGCGGCAGTAGAGTCCAAGGGGAGGCATTGGCCGTTAGTTTGGACATTGCGAAGGCCTTCGATCGGGTTTAGCGCAAAGCGCTTCTTTCGAAGCTCCCTTCCTATGGGCTTCCCGAGAAATTGAGCAATTGGATCACCAGCTTTCTTGCAGATCGGAGCATCAAGGTCGTTGTAGACGGTGCAAGCTCCGATTACAAGCCTATTAATGCTGGTGTTCCACAAGGCTGCATGCTATCACCAACGCTGTTTCTTCTGCATATCAATGATATGTTGCAAACCTGCAACATTCATTGCTATGCAGATGACAGCACTGGTGATGCTCTGTACACTGGCCGTGCCAATATTTCTCGGAAAAACGTCTCCGAGTACCGGCAAAAACTTGTGTCTGAAGTCAAGTCTTTGCTGAACAAAGTCTCGGATTGGGGGCGACTAAATCTAGTCCAGTTTAAACCTCAGAAGACACAAGTTTGCGCGTTAACCGCTGAAAACAACTCCTTTGTCGTATCTCCTCAGTTTCAAGATTCCCCTTGTTGTCTCAGCCAGCGTCGGAATCCTCGGCGTCAACATATCGGGTGACGTGCAGTTTCGTGGTCACTGGAAAGAGAAGACAAAAACAAAAGCTTAGCGTGTTCAGCAGAGCGGGACAGTATTTCATGCCGGCACACCATCTGCAACTTTACAAGGCGCAGGTTCGGCCGCACATTGAATACTGTTCCCACCTTCGGGCTGTGGCTCCCCAGTACCAGCTCCTTCCACTTGAGCGCATCCAGCACATAGCGGCTCGTATCGTCGACGACCGAGTGCTTTCCAATCGGCTCGATTCACTGGCGCTGCGAAGAGATGTTGCATCTCTTTGCGTATTTTATCGCATCTATCACGGGGAGTGCTCTGAGGAATTGTTCAGATTAATCTCAGCCGCCAAATTTCATGAACGCACTAAGCGGCAAACCTTCCGATACCATCCACACCATCTGGATGCTTGGCGGACAACCACTGTACGTTTCACTAGGAGTTTTCTTTCGCGTACGAGCTCTCTCTGTACTACCGGCGATTTTCCGGACCGATACGACCTGGGGACCTTCAAGAAAAGAGCTTACTCCTTTCTAAAGGGCCGGCAACGCACCTGCAATTCCCTTGGTTTTGCGGTTGGTCATGGGCTGCGGCAGTCACTTAACATCAGGTGAACCGTATGCTCGATTGCCCCCTCTTCTATAAAAAAAAGAGTTGTGAGAGTCGCTTACATTTTATGAACAATGTACGATATTTCACAAGACAAGTCGCCATGGCTGATATCGTTCAGTAACATATCGCCATTGTAGTAGTACATGAGCGTTTAATAAATACTGTTATTAATAATTGATACTGTATTAAACTATGTAATTATGAGATAATCTTATCCTGTAAGTTGAATTTGATATATTATTCATCCATCTATGATAACAAAACCAAACAATCAAAATGGGTGCCTTAGTGTATGTGGTAAACGCCTGACTTAAATTTTAATTACTAGTGCCGACAGCAATGAAATTGCGATGAATATTAAATTCTGATTTAGCCTTTGATTAGCGATGGAGGAAATGAGTTAAAAAATCCCGCATAGCGGAGAATTAATATCGAATTAATATATATATATATATATATATATATATATATATATATATATATATATATATATATAGATATAGATATATATATAGTTGGTCCCACCAATACCAACTCTGTTACACTATTGTACAGTTAATTGTGTTGTCTATCTTGTTGAGTTTCTTCCCAGGACAGAGGTATTTTCCGAACCGTGACAAATTAATGACTTTCAATAGATAAGTTTTATTTATAATCCGTATTAAAATTAAAATAATCTATTTCTAAGATTGTCAAAAGTAGTATATAGCCTGTATATTGCAATAAGATGTTTGTAAGCTCTTGGAATTTTTAAAGGTATATTGTTACATTTATTTGCAGCAACATTGCTGCAGAGTACTGCCAATTCGGTGCTCTTTTTTTGTTGCAAATGCAATCCAGTCAACTTTTTTTAAATTTATTCTTATAAAGAGTGTACATTATTTCATTTTAAATTTTTCCAAACTCTAAGCCACTTTGTCGGCAACGCGACATTTTTATCGCTTCACACTCCTTAATAACAATATCTGGTACTTATAAACACTTAAAATAATACAAAAATGATTAATGAAACATTCACCACTATGGACACAGCGACAGATAATGTTTCCTCAAGATGGATTTGAGCTGCGACTTAGTTACGCTTTCGTCGTATATATATCCGCTACCTCATTACACAAAGTTGGAGTTATCCATTGCCTTGTACGCCGTCTAAAGTAATTTTCAGCCCTAGGTATGAGATATTTCCCCCTTTGAGTAATTTGGCGCTTCGGCAATGTCCCAGGTTTCTTAAATATTACCATACCATGTTCTAATATGATGATGGATTTTACTTTCATGTCTATGGGAATAATTTTGCAAATTTTAAATAACATTTCATAATTTTTATATAGAGTACATTTCATAATTTTTATATAGAGTATTTTTCGTTTTAGTATCAACTTATATCTTTAAGAATCTTATCAGTATAGTCTTTATTTAGTTAAGATATGTTGGGAATGTGAGTCCATATGCACCTAAGTTATATCCGATCGTTGCGTCTGCTAGGGCATAATACAGCTCAAACATGATTCCTCGGTTCACAACATATTTTATATGATTCAGTTTACCTAATACTGCCCTAAGCCTTGTTACACACTACTTCAACATGCAAGTCCCATGAGAAACGATTATCTATAACCAACCCTAAATATTTATAGTTTGTTACACATTGTAGCTTTTCGCAGCCGCAGAGAGAGCTCGACTGGTTAGTATGCAGGTAATCGTAAGTGTGACCCATAAGAGTTATATTCCATAAATTTTGTTTTACTGATTACTTTTATGTTAATCCTTCATGAATTTCATGTCTGTGTATTATTTTGTAGATTTTTTTAATTCAAGTGAAGTGACAAACTAACTTACAGTACACCTGATGCTTTACAGCCTGTAACCACACTGGTAGTATGATATATAACCATAGACCATTATACTGTATAACTATAGACTATTAGACTATATAACTGTAGACTATTAGACTATATAACTATAGACTATTATACTATATAACTATATAACTATAAGCTATTATACTATATAACAATAGACTATTATACTATATAACTATAGACAGAATCCAACACTGAAAGAGTCTTGGTCTACCACTTAGAGGAGTTTCTTTCTACAAAGTTACAAATATAGTTTTTTTATTATGGTACTACCACTACTTCTACCTACTTCTATACTACTTCTAGCTTAATACCTTCAATGTCCGTGGCGTTTTTATTAGGTTTCATCTTGCAGTGTACCTTGCTACGGTACCGCTTGCCGTGCTCCATCTTCCCTCTCAACGAACGCTCCTTCGGTGCGTTTAGGTGAGAGTTAACTGCCTTCGAAAATGTTTTAAATACTTTTACGTTGTTCACAATAGACTAAACAAAGAATATTCTGCACGGTGAAGCGATGCTTTAGCTATATTATGTTTGTAGCACGAATGTCGGAAAGCACGGAAAGCCGTTGGTCTTGCGCCTGATCTCTCTCCGGTCGTGTCGGTTTACCGTCCCATCGGATTATGAGAGTGAGGGAATAGGGAGTGCACCTGTTAGTGCACCTGCAGCTGTACCTGCACCTAGCACCTGCCTACGCATACACTTGGGCACTATAATCCTGTCCTGCGCCGATGGCTAGCCTCCGTTAAGGCAGGCCGCCGTGACCGAAATTCGGTCTGGAGGACATTATTATTATTACAATCATAACCGGAAATAAAAGGTTGCGGTTGCCAACCCGCCTGAAAAGCGTGGCAACTATGGCAATTATCCCTATATGAGGTAATCTACAAGAAGGTCTATATGTAGTAGACTGTTCCGCATGGATCAATTAGATGCAACGAGAAAATGGGCAACGAAATGCTTACAAAGAAAAATTCAACTCACCTTTTTCTTGTACAAATTGGGCACATTTTTAAATGCAAATTTATGTATGAATTTGTCCAAGAAACCATTGTACGCTCGAGTTGAAGTAAGTTCCGGCGGTACAGTTAGCTCCAAGGCTCGCAAATCTTTGACAATATCGTAGCATTTTCCTTGACTGTCATCTGTGGTGTTTTTCTTTGTGATATTTGTAATGTTTTGACATTGCGATGCGATTGTTTGGTTATAGCAAGACTCTGCAGTTGCTGTGCAGTCCACTTTTGTGTCTGTTGTTTTTTCCGGTACTCTAAAATGTAAATATCTACATATTATTAAACAAAGTTGTATTAAGCCATCTGCACGCTTAGATCTTTTAAACTACGCAACGGATTCCATTGGACAGGAAGTTTCCATTGGATCCCATCCATCCATCACAGCATATAAAAAGTCCACTGTTGAACATAGGCCTCCCCCATATATAGCCTCATAGGGAGGATTTTGCCATAGTTGCCAAGCTTGGCGGGGGGGGGGGTTATTATTTTGAGTTGTTGTTATCAGGAAGACGCTGCTGCCCAATTCTTTCAATTTTCCTCTGTCGCCTCTTACGACATCTACAGAATGATATGGGGTAGTATATATTGTTACACGGCTCACTACAAGGTTCATATATGTATATATATATATATATATATATATAATATATATATATATATATATATAATTCTTCTGTCCGTGTTTATGTGACTGATCTCTTAAACGGCAGGACCGATTTCGATAAAATTTTGTGTGTGATTAAGTTGATACGATAATTTATTAGATTCACAGTTGAGCCCTGTAAGTGGTGTTGTTGTCGAGATCCAGAAATCACCCGTGTGAAACCGGGACTGATCGCTAGTTACTAATAAACGAATTCGTTATTGTTACTAATTTCATTCTTGATAAAAGAAACGTATTCAAATAGTTTAGGAAATTCTGCTATAAAGACTTTATATATAATTGATATTGAGGGAAATGATGTGTGGAAGATCGTGGTAGTGGCGATATAAAAATTTCCACTCACCCATTTTCAGTACAGTATAGAATGTGTACAAAAAACTTTTAATCCGTACTTGCAACGGCCCGTAGCTATTGATATATTGTTACAATTGACATTTCTAAAATATTATTATACATTGGTCATTTAAAAGTGTAATAGGATATTGAAAAAATCATAGACTCCAGTTTCTTGCCGGAAGGTCTTATTTTCCGTAGCGATGTAGATTATGACGTTCATAAGAGCTTTAAACAAAACTTAAGTGTATGATAGGGCAATAACTTTTGTTTTAATTAAAGTTAATAACTTTTGTTTTAATTAAGTTAAAGTTCAAATTACAGCCTACATACATCTCATAGCTGGGCATAGGGTACCTGCATGTCTATTTGTCAGACATGCAAGTTTCCTAACGATATTTTCTTTCACCGCCGAGAACGTGGTAAATCAGCACTTAAAATTACAATAAACAATTTCATTGGTACCAGCGGGGATCGAACCCAGGTTGCTCACGTACTGTGAAATTTACTGCGAGTGGTTAACCACTGAGCTACTCTGCTGCTTAGATGAGCTAAAATTCTACAATATATAGCCATAACACCACTAGCGCACTAGATACTCACATACTATTAACGTCCGAATGCAGTTGGAATATTATCTGACCAACGTCATCCATATCGTTTTTAGAATCTTCTACTTCTGTTTTTCGCTTTTCAATTCTTGTCCACTCATCATTTAGTTTATTTGTTTCAAAATCGAGTATTGATAGAAGAAGTTCCTTATTTTTGTTGCTTTCCTTGACTGATTCTAGTAAGTTGCTATTAAGATCCAAATCATCTTTTAACTGTTCGTTGTTAGTCATATTATTATCCCTTATATTTATGGCATCACCATGTATATCGCGGTCAACAGCAACATCATCTTTATTAACTTTAGATGATTTCAAATCACGTTTTCTATTGAGAAATAGGTTTGAAATTAAACGGTTATTACTTTTAGATTTCTTTCCATACACATAAATCGGAGTAGTTGTCTTTTCATCTATTATAAAATTTTTAGTACCATCTAATTTGTCTAAAAATTTTAGAGTAGCTTCTTTTAATCTATTTAAGTAATTCCTACGCGTTACATTTTCTTTATTTCTCGTAGTCTCAGTGTTGATAGCTGTCGGCTGAAATAACATTGATGTACTTACTGTTGTTGTTGTTGTTGTAGTTGTTGTAGATGGAGTGACTTTTTGTGTAAACTTTTGAAAACTTTTATTAAATATTTTCCTTTTCCGGTGCTTTTGTATCTCTGACCTAGAAAGGAGACGATCTTCGAAAGATGTTTTATCATTATTTTGAATAGATACATCAGGGAAAGTAGTTTCTTCAAACGACCCAAAATCGTCAGGATCAAGAAGCTCAAGCAATTCCTTTATTCGATGTCTTATTGATTTGGATCGGTTTACATCAATTATTTCGTTTGATGTAGTAGTGAGTCTTGACATTTTTTGTTTGGTTTTTGTAGTTTGCATGTTCTGTGTTGTGAACTGTGAAACATTATTATTGATCATAAAATTTGTAAAGAAGTTAGTAGACTCAGTAAGATCATTTGGATTTAAATCATTAACACTGGAATTTTCGTAGCTTGAGTATTGATAGTCAGTACAGTTCTCAGTTTTAGTAATCTTATCATTATTTTCTTTTAAGTCATAGTTGCTTTGAAAATTGTAACTGTTATCTCTGTTATTCTGTTCTTCTACGTATTGATTTTTGTTTTTATTGCCGTTAATATAATCAAACCAAAACAAACCACCGGTTTCTGTGATCAATGGCGATTCAATTTGATTATTATTTACTTGTCTCTTTTTTAATATCATGTTATTTGAGCTTAGTCTACTCTCTGATGGTGTTACGTAATATGTAAATAAATGATTTTTGTTCTTTCTTTTTTTCTTCATATTACTCTTTCTTGATAAAAAGGATTTAATTCCTTTTTTCTGCTTTTCTTCATTTTTAAATTCATCCATGTCGTAATAAAAGATACTGGGAGATTCAGTCAAATACGTTGACGTCAGTGTTGAAAGATAGATGTTGTTTTGAGTTTTGTCCATTTGACTATCTGACTTACATATGATGTTAACATTAACATTGTCTAGAGAATAAACATTCCTTAAACGGTTTCTGTTACCGATGCTTTCGTCGGCTCTTTTATTAAATGGTTTTAAATGCATACATTTTGTAATAACGTCAAGGCATTTTATGCCAGTTTTAGCAAGGGTGTCATCGCCTATATTAAATTCAGCAGCTTGTTCCAAGTCATCTGCTATCTTTTCTATGTCACGTATCAATGGTTCACCGATGTAGTCTACTCTTTTATCAAAGTTAACAAAGTCTCGTTTGTCCATATATGTAAATGTTTTACAGGGACGACCCTTGCATTTTCCTTTTACTCTTTTGTAGTAATTGTACAATGTTTTGTCTATTCTTTGTACTGCTTCTCTTAGCTTCCTACCGCCACTGGGGTTCATCCAGAAATATGTTTGAATTTCAGTACAATGGTCATTCATGTACTGTGCTAAATTGTCTAACTCGAATATCAATTCAGAAATGACAGCATCGCTTGCAGCACAAGCTCTGCACATAGTTCGATTAGGCTTACAATGGCAATTGCAAACTCTATCGTGGCCAAAATATTTTTTAATAGTATCCCAATTTATGTGTCTCCGTGGTCTATGAACACTGTAAGTGCGATGCTTAGGTTTCAGAATTTTACGCAGATATATGTTTCTAGCTTTGATTTTATGATCTGGTGCAGAGGTCAAATTCAGGTATAATTGCTGCAAATGTTGATCTAAAGCTGCTATAAAATCTTTACTCAACGTAACCTTAGCTAAATTATTTGGCGGATCTACTGTTGTTGCTTTATGAGTAATGATTGACTTTGTAACTGCTTGTCTTATTTTACAATCAGATAAAAATCTTTTATCATATATAGGCCTTAGAATATATTTACCTTTAGGCATTAAATTGTTCATGTTTTCTTCCAATAAGTACATTCCTGGAGACAATGCATCCATTTTTGAAGATGTAGCACTTAATATGGCTGTGTTGTAACTTGTACTAGTATCGGGTTCAGATGATGATGGCTCTAACTCTTCCGCCGAATGTATTTGATATTCCATATCAACTGGTGTTGATAATTTAGCAGAAAATACTTTTCTTATTTTCACTGGATCATCTAAAGATCGTCTTTTTTCATTTGAAAGATTATATGGAATCGCAATGTGTACTTGAATGGAATTGCTGGCAATATCATTGGCTCTACTCGAAGCTTGACCGGAATCCGATAGTGTAGTCCCCGTGTTTTCGTTTATCGTATCGGCTAGTTCGTTTTCTTCGGAGTTTCGACTGTTTCGCATTAAATCTACTATTACTTCAATAGCAGCTACATCTTTTGCTGTGAAAGTATTTTGAGACTTTATGTCTCGTTTATCGTGTTTAACTGCAGAATCATTTTTAATTTTCGTGGTATTTTCAATTTTTACAACTTTACTTTCATTCAAGTTATATTCGAGATCACCTGTATGGTAATCCTGTAAAAATAAATAAAGAAGTTAAAAATATATGGAATTTTCGTATATATATGTGTACAATTTGTCGAGAAAGTACTGAGAAAAGATAAATAACGCCATAAAAAACATAACTTGTAAAAAAACCCAAGTCTCGTAACTCAGTTCTCTACCGTAATACGTTGTGAGATCCATGTAATCCATCGCAAGAAAACAGAATGTATCTCACAAGTAATACATATTTTTATTATTTTTTTTTAATTAGATTACTTAGTGCGATTGCCAAGTCAATCTATGTATTTAAAACATATAAGATTATTAACATTTATATGGTCACTATAAAATGATGTTAGGTTGGCTAATTACGTAATACCTTAAAACAGAAGTACCCTTAAATAGGGACTGAATAAATTAACCGACTTGGTATTACATGGATCTCAAAACTTTTTACGGTAGAAGAACTGAGTTGTGAGACTTGATTTTTTACACGTTATGTTTTTGATGGCATCTCATTTCTTTTTGTAGATAAGATAGTCCTACTGTTTTTCCTTTCCGGTACCTTCTAATTCTTGAATACCAACAACGTAGCTATCTACACCTATTATACATAATATACAAGTACACTGATTCATCCACTGCAAATGCAACTTTGTAATTCTATATATTTATATGGGATTACAAAGTTATTTATGCAGTAAGTGTATCTAGAAAACTGGATCGAAATTAAAAAATGTTTTAGTTTTTCCTTGATTTATACATTAAACAACAATTGTATTCTAAATTTGAAGCTTCTATATCTGCTAGAAGTGCCTTAGAGTTTTAATGATCAGTCAATCAGTGAGTGACAAAATTGAGGGATCTATCAGACAGAAGCCGTTCAGGCGTTCAAGCGTTCCGCGTTCGCGTTCTGCGTCCGTTGTGTTGTATTACGTTACATAGACATACTCAGACGGCAGGCATTCTGACCGCGTCTGTCAACCAGAACGTAGGCGTTCGTGATTGGTGAGCAACAGAACGCTCGAACGCAAAACGCGAACGCGGAACGCTTGAACGCGTGACCACTTCCTGTCTGATAGAACCCTACTTTTAAGTTACATTTCTTAAAGTATAGAAAAGTTGTAATTCTTAAACTACTCGTTCAAATTGAATGAAATTTGAAATATATCATGTTTATACATTGTCTACTCGGTTACTGAAACTTCAAACTCAGACTTCTAGTTTTATCCACTACGAAGTTATAGAGGGTCGAAAATGGCCTGAATTGCTTCGAGGAAAGTATGGTATGCCGTGCCGCTTTTTTGCTCGACTTGGCGGGGGCACTGCCGTGCCCCCAGATACACAAAATGTAAGTTATTCATGCAAGTTTATTTTATCACCTTCAAAATATGCTCCTTCAGAAATGATACACATCTCCAAAAAAAAAATCCAATCATCAAAACATTTTTAAACGCTTTTTCTAGAATTGAGTTCAGTTCTCGCTGCTAATACCGAATGGTAACGTGTGCCACGAAGTGATAATTTGACGAGTTTAGGAAAATGATAGAAATCGGCTGGAACCATATCTGGTGAATAAGGTGGTTGCACGATGGTGTGTGTTGTGTGTGAGGTTTTGGTCAAAAATTCGTTCACAATGATGGCCTTGTGTGAAAGCGCATTATCGTAGTACAAAAACAATTTTTTTCACAAATCTAGCTTTTTTCATCTAATTTGCTCTATTAAACGCCGTTAAATATTATTCTTTATGTACCGTTTAACCTCACGGTAAGAATTCCGAGTGCACAACATCGCAATAGTCAAAGAAAACAGATAACATGACTTTCACTTTTATTCGACTTTGGTGTTTTCGGTTCAGTTGGAAGACGCCACTTCGAAGATTGTTGACTAGTTTGCATGTCAAACTGATAAACCCACGTCTCGTCACCAGTAACAAGGCATCTAATGAATGTTGATTCGGAATTGAGTCGTTCTAGCATTTAAAATTATGACCCTTATGCGATTGAGCTTTTAGAAAAAGTTCAGGTCTTTTGGGACAAGCCGAGCGGCAACATGTTTCATACCCAAGTGATTATTTAGAAGGTAGGGATGAACTCGTGAGATCAAACTTGAATGAGGATTTTCAGTCACTATTTTTTTCACTTTTGTTAGAACGAGGCAAATCTTCCATCACATCTCGACCGCTTTTTAACGCTTTATACCACTTATGACCACGTGTTTTTGATAAAGTTGAAATTAACCGAAAGCCTTCTGTAACATTTTCAGTGACTGCAAACACGAAATTCAATTGGCGATGCAAAATTTAAGACAAACTCTTTGTTCGATGTTTTTATCTATTGTAAAATTCGCAATACACACTAGATACGATTAACTAAAAACATCACTGTATTTAATCTAAATAACATGTAACTCAAACTCTGCGCCAAAATGGAAAACTGTCGTGTCCATCTAACAACAAAAAATATTGAATTTGGGACCATAAACAAATCATCAATTCCCGATACTTTTTTGACTGAATGTATACAAATTTTAATTTCTTATTTAAAAAGCGATCTAGGTGCGACCCGAAAGGTCCACGCGACTAACTTCCCAGTGGAAAGAATAAAAAAATATCATATGTTTTAATATTATATACAATTTTTCATTAGGCACAAAAAACGAATTGACCGATTTTGCTCAAAATTTAATGAGGTCTAAGTTACATAATGCGTTAAATGAAACTGGTCCCATGTCAATATCACTCTTTGTTCTCTCACTCTTTGAGTATGTGTGTATGTGTGTGTATGTGCGTGTGCGTGTGCGTGTGCGTGCGTGCGTGTGTGCGTGCGTACGTGCGTGTGTGTGTGTGTGTGTGTGTGTGTGTGTGTGTGTGTGTGTGTGTGTGTGTGTATGTATGTATGTATGTATGTAAACATGTAAACATCTTATAACGTTGTAACGGAGTGTCCAATGGAAAAGCAGTTTTCGGCATCTGAACGAGCCTTGCTGAACTTACACTTGTGAATTTAGACCGAATCATCACGCTTGATTCTGAGAAAACCTCAAAAATTCGAGTATTTTTAATTTTCAGAAAGTAGTTTTCTTGGAATTACTTCGACACCCTTGTTTTGATCAATTCTATAATCTAATCAACTCTTTTACTTAAAAAACGAAATCTCGAAAAAGTGTTTTTCAAAATAACTTGAAAACTTTCCGTGAAATCAATTTTATTGTAATAGGCTTTTTTGTTTAGCTAAAAAAATACGTCGACTGCCATAAATTACATCAATATCGGTTCGTGAAATATTCAATTTTGAAAAAAATAAAAAAGCGTGATTTTCCAAAATTATGACTTTTTAAAAATAAAATAAAATAAAAACATAATAAGTGGAATTTGGATCGCTTTGATATAGGAATTAGCGGGAAGTTCCAGGCATGGCCTGCAGGGTCAACAAATTTTTTATTTATGTTTAACTCCGAGTAAACTAGGTTACTCAGGTACTTATATTTAATAAGGTAGTTGATAAATTATCAACTATTTTATATTATGCTCACTGTTGTTTAACCTTTATTAAATAATAAATTTAATTAAATCAGCAGTAAAATTTTAACTGTGGCGAGAAAATACTGATCAAGTTGACATCCTTAAAGTGTCCTGCATCTTTCAAAGGAGGGACTTGTTCGAATCGCTGGCGTAGCTTTCTTTACTTACAAATATTGCCTTGTAAGGGCCAATTTTCAATCAAAATATTTGAACCGTGACTTTGAATGGTTAGGTTCGGTCACGGCGACCAGTCTCAACGGAGACTAGCCCATTTGCGCAGGACAGGATTATAGTGACCGAGTTTATGCGCAAGCACAAGTGCACTCTTTAGTCTTTCACTCACATATTCCGATGGGACGATAATCCAACACAACCGAAGAGAAATCAAGTGCAGGACCAACGAATTTACGTGCTCTCCGAAGCACGTGGGCGTAATACTGCGCTACTACTAAGTATTTCTTGCCAGCAAAATTAAATAATTGATTAAAACTTGACCCGGGACCACAAGATAATTCGCGTTTACGGTCACTAGACCAAAAAGATAGTCAAATAATAAAATAAGATTAAATTAAATGTCTTACGTAGTAGTTGTTGCTCGTGACATAAAAACTATCTTCATCAGCCGGTGCCTTTAAATCTAATTCATTTTGACTGAACATTGTCCCAATTTCAGGCACAAATGATACCGCAGTATTTTCTTTAGTGGTTGAAATAGCATTTTGAGTAGATGTTGTCTTAGCTGTAGTATATTTCTCTTTGGTTATTTCTGTTTTTTCATCATTGGGTTCAGATGTTACTTTCGCAATTATAGATGTCACTTCCGCTTTTGTTGGCAAAATTTTTGTATTGGGGAAAACAAATTCATAATCGGATAATTGTTGTTTTTTTTCGGAATAAATCTTCGTTATTATCGCCAACTGTAATCAAGTGAGTAAAACCGTTACCGTTACTTTCTTTTAAAGTCAGCTGCTGAACATAGGCCTCCAACAAAGATTGCCTCACAGGGGGATATTTGCCATAGTTGCCAAGCTTGGCAAGCGGGTTGGCAACCGCAGTTTTTTATTTTTAGCCGTTATTAGGAAGACGCTGCTGCAAACAAACAGCAAGTAAACCAATAATAGGTAATCAAAAAAAATACGCCACACTGGGATTTTCTCCTGTATCGTAGAGGACATAGCAAAATTGAACAATAATATTCATCCGAATAAATTATGCCATACTAACACTGATAGCGTCATAGGAGGATCCTTCAATCATTTTTTGTGCCTTGAGTTCGGTAGTGGATTTTCATCATCATCATCATCACAGCCCTTCACAAGTCCACTGCTGAACATAGGCCTACCCCAAGTAATGCCACAAAGCACGGTCCTGAGCCACCTGCATCCATCGACTTCCTGCATATCTTACCAGGTCGTCACTCCATCTAGTGGGGGGTCGCCCTACACTACGCCTACCGGTACGAGGCTGCCACTCGAGAACCTTTCTTCCCCATCGGTTATCGGTTCTTCGAGCTATATGGCCGGCCCATTGCCACTTCAGCTTACTAATCCGTTGTGCTATGTCGGTCACTCTGGTTCTACTGCGGATATCCTCATTTCTGAGTCTATCACGCAGAGAAACTCCGAGCATAGCCCTCTCCATAGCTCGCTGAGCGACCTTGAGCGTCCTCATACGGCCAGCAGTGAAGGACCACGTCTCTGATCCGTAAGTCATCACTGGCAACACGCACTGGTTGTATACTTTAGTTTTCAGAGATTGAGGTACACCTCAGTGGATTTTGATATGCTATAATTAATAAATGAATGCATGAATACAAATATTTGTAACGTGCACGGTTCGAATACGCTCTTTTCAGTGCTTTAGTAGGTGAACACAAGATTCTGCTTAGATTTCGAGTATATATATATATATATATATATATATATATATATAATAAAAAAATCGTGACATTCGGAGGATCTTCTCGTGAGCCTTCGAATCCTGTTTTTCCGTAGAGACTTAGAATAAGTTAATGGTAAATTAATAATATATTATTTCTTTAATGCAACACTTACATTTCGATGTTTTTTAGTCTTGAAATCCTTCACGTTGGCTTTCCTGTGTGTCGTAACTTCACTTTTTGACGTTTCTTTCTCATCCCCATTTGAAACGGTGTTTGTCGTGTGATCTTTGGCTTTAAGACTTTTGGAACATTTGATTTTTGGTGTTAAAGTCACTTTTACTTTCAAGTCATCCTTTACCGGTAGCGTTCGTTCACCGGCATTTGTTTTCTTTAATAGAATAAGGTTTTTAAAGTTAATAATCTGTGAAATGTACTAATTTGATGTCATTTTTTGAAGACTGCCCACAAGAATGAAGATGCCACACAAGAAGACAAGATTCAGAGCCACTCTCGTGATAAGCTGGGAGAGAGGTAAGGGTCAGCTCGAAGAGCGATCCCGCTTTAACATAAATAGCAGGTTAAATGAAGATCACGCTTTCACGTTGTAGAGCCATGCTACAGCTACTTTATGGTTGTAGCACGATTGGGTCAGCAAGGCCGGGGAAGGACTATGCACTCACAGAATACTAGCATAAAATAGCAGCTTAATACTGCTGTGTACGACCATAATATAATTGCAGCGTGGCTCTACCATGTATAAAAGTGAGTGTAGAGAACCGGAGACACATTTTACTAAAAATTAGGCATTCCATCTTAGTCCTCCAGAGTAATAACGCATCTGTATTTTGATTCTTAATCCAGGATAGATATAGATGACTAAGGGTCACAGTATCCACTTACCATCAGATAGATTGTGGTCATTAACAATCACGAAATACATTAGCATAATGCTGTCGTATTCCATGATTGTTAATGTGTTTTGTATAGTTAGAGAATCGGCGATGCTTTATAGCTCTATAGTGATAACGAGGCATTCCAAGGCCCTAGTGGTGCCAAAGCATCAGCATTTTTATTTTTAAACAAGTATAGATTCAGATGTCTCTGCGCCATGAGTTGGTTTATTTATCAAACTTACATAAATTTATAAAAATAAATAAATCTTCCTGCATCTCTTACAACATCTCGATCTACACTTAACTTACGTGCACGAGGCTACCACTCGCGTAACCTTTCTTCCCCATCGGTTATCGGTTATTCAAGTTATGTGATCGGCCTATTGTCGATTGATGCAGACTCAGGACTGTGCTTTGTGCCATCCTTTGGGGGAGTCCTGTATTCAGCAGTGGACTTGTAAAGAGTTGAAAATGATAAAATTAAAATCACTTACATGTTTTTCTTGAGGACTGAAACTTTTTCTCACACTTTCGTTAGTATTATTTACATCCTTATTTTGTTTTAAGTTTTCGTGTGGATTCTTTCCATTGTTGTTTCCTGATATTTTGTTAACGGTACGATTGTTTTTGGTTGTTGTTGATGAGTTCTCTGCATTAAGAAAATTATTATGACTTTTTATTTACATTGTAAATATGGACCATATTTAAAAGGTGAATAGTTGTAATTCTAGGTATATCATTTGACTGTGTCTCTGGCTGCATGGAAACACTTCATATACATTTCCTCTCGTTAAGGAGTTCTTTATTGAGCACCCCAAAAAACAAAATAAGAGAGAAAAAAATACAATATGTTAAAGTTTTATTATTAGGCGGTCTTATCGGTAAAAGCGATTTCTTCCAGACCTCTGTTGTTTCTTCCTTTGGTAAAGAGTGTCGATGTTGCTAATTCACAACAATTTTCATCCGTGTGTTTGTACTAGGTCGTCATCATTCTTCTCGGACTTCTCCCGTAGTAGAGAGAAGAAGTTTTTATTGTCACACTAGGCAGGTGGATTAATGATAGCAGTAACAGACGTTTTGCACCTTTAATGCTGTCTCCCATAGTCTCTACCGGTTTTTTAGTAGAATATGCGTGTGTGACAAACGAGCACGCATTCCACTTGAAAGTAAGTGTATACTGGGGCCCATGTAGATCTACATTTGTCTTCGGTTAGTCATCAAAATGCAAATGCGTTGCCACACTTGAGGACTAAGATGGAATGCCTCGTTTCCAGTAAAAAGGGTCTCCGGTTCTCTACACTCACCATACGAAAGACATCAGCATTGAGCTGCTATTTTACGCCGGTATTCAAATACACGGTAAGAATCGTATATATATCTGTAAGATTTGCCTGGCATTTCCCATAAAATTGGTGTGATACATTCTCTTACACCATCACCATATGACAAGGCAAATTACAATAAAAATCCAGATCACTACAAGAAATTAGTACCGGTTTGGTTTTTTGTCGGTGGTTTGACGCTCGATTTTGATGTTGGTGGCCTCTTAGTTTCAGTTAGTCTCGTTTGTATCTGTTTTTGAAGTAGTGATAAGACTGAGGTGCCTAAAATTATACAGATTATTGAAATTAAACGAATAAAGAAAACACGAAATCATTCTTAATAGATTCAGACGTTACTTTAGGGTTGCTAAGTCTAGCGTCCGCTAAGACTATAACGCAAATTTTACCAACTATAACGAAATCATCAGTCAAGCAAGAAAGGATGACTTAAAAAATCGCAATAACATCGGTAAGAATTGATCGGAATATTAAGGATTATTTAGGCGTAAAAGAGTAGAAACGCTGCAGTAAAGTAAATTGAATCAGTTTTGCATGTCCTTGCGACGCCCGTACCTATTGCGGCTTATAATGAACTTAGTATGACCAAATAATTAACCCCCCATAAACAACCATTTACTAAGTGCTCGGCGGTGAAGGAAAACATCGTGAGAAAACTTGCATGTCTGAGAAATAAAAACAAAATTTCAAAGATATGTGTAGTCCGCCAGCACGCATTCGGGCAGCGCGGTGAAAACATTCTTGCCAATAAACCCTCTCACAAGTGAAAGGACGTGTAGTAGTAACGCATCATCCCGTGGATATCGTAAGAGACACTGAGAACAACTGAAGTATGAGATGGGTAGCAGTATCTTCCTCACAGAAAATAATAACGAGCTGCAGTTGCTAATCCGCCCGACAAGAATGGCTACTATGGCAAAATAACCTTACGAGGCAGTCTATGACTGTGACTATGTTCAGATTGAGTTCACATTTCCTGGATTCTAATTCCTGGTAGGGGCAAAAACAGGATATAAAAAAAAAAAAAAAATTTTTTGATATTCTAAGTAGCAGCACATGAGTAAAGAAACCGCATCTGTACAGAGACAAAGCTTCATAGGACCGCGCTATGATAGTTACACTACTACTACAAACTTGAGTTGTGTGCGTGAGCACTGGCAGCTCGTCACGTACAGATAGAAAAAGAGAATACCGGTTGGGCCAGTGCCCAAACTCATGGTGATGGAAAGAATAATAAGTTTTAAATTTTGTTTTTTAAAGAATTATTTGTATCAAACGAAATATAAAAAAGTGTCAATATGTTTTACTGTGCCGTTGTATGAACAATAAGAGAACAAATAAAACTATATAATTTTTTTAATTATCGCAAACACTCTGCCACTAGGTAAGTAGTAAGTTCATCATAATTTGTTATTTTTTATGTGGTAGATAGACACATCATCCATATATCTCAACATTGAAAGAAAATGTAGTACCTACCAACCTATAAGTGATTGAAGATCTATGTTTATAATAATTAAATTATTACGTTTATACATAAAATATGCAGGTTCGTGTTTTTTGTATTATTATTTTCGACGACAATTGTGGTTAAAAGTCGGACGAGAAAATCTCCTTTCAAAACATGTTGATTATAAAAAAAGGCAAAAATATATAATCTGTGATGATCAAAAGAAAACTACGTTAAATTTAGAATTTACCATTAAATTAAACAACAAATTTGTTGAGTTTGTTTACAACAAATTGTTGAAGAACAAAAATTATCAAAATAAAATATTTAAAATAAGTAAAGAAAGATTATATCCTAAGTGTATAAGAAAAGCTGATAAACGTTTTGCGTAATATATTTTAAACTCCAGTGCCAACCCTTCCAAAATATGTAAAAATTTTGAAAGCTCCTCAGAAGCTTTGCCTCTGTACGGTTTCTTTACTGATGTGGTAGCAGCCTGCTAACCTATTTGCGCACACACTCGTGCACTATAATCCTCTCCTGTACACATGGCTAGTCTCCGTTGAGACTCGCCGCGTTTTCTAGAGTGTAAGTACATTTAAAAAATATAACAAATAAATCTATTATTATATTACTAAGCATACCGTGTAAGCTTTTGAAAGGTCCCCGGCGTTGTTTGGTTTCTTTGTTATTACCTCGGTCCATTTGCTTCAAATCGTAAATGAGCGTTCCACGTCTTAAAGGTTCCAAAGTAGTATTTCTTAATGATCTAGACGTACTGTTATTATCTGTATAAGAAAGCATTTTCTTAAAACCATATAATTCCTTAGATATTTTCCCTTCATAATCCAAATTACCTATTACGCGTAAAAAAGCAGCAAAGTCGCTTCGTATGGTGAGTAACAGAAATAGAAGACATTTTGTACTGGTCAAACTCAAAATATCACTTTTGTTTTACTTCACTTTTATTGTTAGAAGAAGCGGTAAGATACTGACACAAATTATTTTTCTCCTACCAATTACAACCTTAAAAATTATGGATGATGAATGAATGAAGAGCGACAGAACTCGAAACTCCATTTTCATCATCTCGATGGCTGGTGGTCCACTACTGTGTGATTTAGGTGAAATTTTCTGCCTTGCACGACCAAACTGCGGAATTTACTGTCGCCAGCGGTTTTTCCGGATGGATTGCGAATAAGAGCCTACCTAATTCTTTCTAAAAGGCAACGCAACTGTAATTCTCCTGGTGTTTCGGATTTCATGGGCGACGACGATCATTAACCATTGGGTGAGTTGCATGCCCGTTTACTTCCTCTTCCATAAAGAAAAACGTAAGATACCCAGATCGGTGACAACAGTCTGACGCTGGCAAATTTTCCCACACCGGTAGATGTTCCCGTCTAGCAGTGGACTTTTACGAGTCGATCAAGGAGAGCGTTCTTATCTACCGAATGAGATCTAGGAATCGAAAACGGACGGGGAAGAAAGGTTTCCGAGTGGCAGCCTTGTAGCGGTAGACAAAGCATAGGATGTGGCCCCATTGGATGGAGTGACGACCTGGTAAGACATGCAGGAAGTCGACGGATGCTGCCTCAGGTCCGTGCTTTGTGACATTCCTTGGAGGAGGCTTATGTTCATCAGTGGAGTTGTGAAAGGCTGTAATGATGATGATGATGATCTTAGCGGTTAATTAATGCAGTAGAACGGAGAATAAGAATTAAATTTATACTTATAGTCCGGGTGACAGTTATCTTTGGAGGTTTCTTAAATTAAGCCGCTTTGAGTTTACTTTCTAATTTCTTTTAATGTTTTTTATGTGTTCTTTGTATGCTGTAGCTTTTGTTTTCTTTATTTACATTTACAGAAATTGGAAATACTAAGATTTTTTTCGCATCATATAAAAGCTTTCATTAATTTCACATCATAAAAGAACCAAATTATTAAATGCATTAGATATTAGGTTCCAACCCAAGACCAGCTGTACCGCTGCTCAACACTTAGACCCGTATACTCGTACATAGAAATTTTCGTGTTTGAACTTAGTTAAAACTTAACACGTCAAAATGTGTGAAAATCGTTAACGCTTAGTTACAGTGTGGAATAAGTGTAAGGATATTGTTTTATAAAGAACTAATTGAGACCTGCGACTTCGTCCGCGTTCTTAAAACTTTAATAAAATGAAGATATCGCAATATTTCATTTAGATAAGGGCCAAGTGTCTAAGAAACAAAACTTAGAAACCTTAACTGAAATTTATCCAGTAGTTTTTCCGTGATGTGCGAACTACTGCAAACCCCAATTATTTTATTTATATAGACAAGCGCGACGAACTAGCACACAGTTTACTTCATGCTAAGAGGACGCAGAGGCCTATGCACATCTACATTTATTTATTGAAACAAAATCTACAGCTTGTATGTACATTTACCAATATATATAAACAAGTTTTGAACATATTGTGCATTTATCCCCGATTTAGAATCAAAATGCATATTTTTACCTCTGAGGACTAAGATGGAATACCTTGTTTCCAGGAAAAAGGGTCTTCGGTTCTCTACACTCACCATACGAAACACTGCAGCATTAAGCTGCTATTTTACTCTGGTTTTCTGTGAAAGCGTGGTCCCGTCCCAGTTGAGCCGACTCTTTCGTGCTACAACTATAATATATCTGCATCGAGTCTTTATCAAGTATCTATTACCTCATAGTGTTGTGTAAATGAAATGACAACAGGGGGGGGGACTGGAAGAGCAGATGGGCAGCAGTATTCCTGCCAACCATTTAAAGTTATAAAACAATGCCAAAATTGTCAAGCGTGGCAACTATCGCCAAAATATCCCTTATAAATCAATATATGGAAACGGTCTAACTTCTATAATGGATTTTTAATAGGCTGCAATGCTATAGCCTGAACTCAAATTTTGATATTATGGGTTTTGAGCTTAAACTTAAAATTCTGGACTATCGAGTTACGAACTCTATCATTTGTATAAACGAACACTTACCTTTTTGGGAACGTTGAACTCTTCTGGCGCCATTGACAAACGTCAAGTCCATTGCAAGGCGCGGTTCAGCAGCTCCACTAAAAACTCCACAAGCATTAACATTGTCATCCATGCCATCCGTAAGAGTCGTTTCAACTGTTTTCAGAATTCCAAATTTGGTGAGTAACTCTATCAGAGCTATTCCCGATACGTATTTCAAGATGTAATCGTTCCAGATAGACTTTGGTGGACTTTGTATCGGAGTGAGTTCTGTTTGGTCGGTATTAGGAAGATAATAAGTCGGCAGATCTATACGAATAACAACGTTCGGTCGAGTATAGTTCTCAACGGCTTCTACCACCTTTACCAGTTGTATTATTTTTTCATTTCTGTCGGAATTTCAAGTTCTGACTTTACGGATGGCTTGGACAAAGCTGTATAATTAAATAACTTCTAAAAATAAAGAATAATGTAACCTGCCTTTAATATTTAATAATTGGTAAAGAGATACATACTTACAAGAAAGGTAATATTTTGACATACTGTACAGTTAAAGACGTTAAAAATTGATTGTAGCTTTTTTATTTTTAATCTGCTTAAATTTAAAAATCTTTTATATTGTTTCAATTTTAATTTGAAAATCCCAATTTCATTTGAAAATTCCAATTTCAAATTAAGATTGAAACGGTTTTATTCCAACCAATGTCGTTTTATGACCATGTGTGGTGTATGACCATGAAAGAAGAGCCATTTTAAAAATTCTCTAAGCCTAACTAAAACTTTGGTTTTTACCCATTACATGATACAAGCGGCCTATTTTAATTTAAAATTAAAATTTATATTAAATACTAATTTGCATTAATTTACGAATCGAAAAATCCTAAAAAGTAAAAAGAGTAAATTACTAATGTAAGAAATATTAAAAAAGTAAGCATAAAATTATAACTTACTCACTGTCATTGGCCGATCCATTCACTTTCATTGAATAAAAACCATGTTGTCCAAACACTTGTAAGCGTGGGGTAGTTATATCTATAATATAAAAAATGACATATAAAAAAAACGACGTTTGATGGAAGAAAGATACTTCGGTTCAGATTGCCGTCAATTTTAGGCTGATGTTATAATATAGCAAAATATAAACTATAACGCCTGTCCCATAGGGTTCCTCTTCTTTGTAAGTGTTAAGGAGTAAGATGAGATCGCTCACACTGCCTCAGGTCGTAAATGTGTAAGAAACAGTAATTTAAATTTATATTTAAATTTATTCTTTATTATTATTCTAAAGAAAAAAATCGGTAATTAATGTACATTCTCACCTTTATTATTAACATTATGTTTGTCAGAGAAATCATCTTCATATATAATATCATATTTATATGAATTGCTTGTTATTTGTATTCTTTTCGGATTTGAACTTTTCTCTACGCGGATATTTGGATCAGCTAATTTCGAATCTCGTGACATTTTAATTGGACCTTTGTAGTTATGATGACTGTCGTTTGTTAAAATATAAGGAACGTTGCCGTAAGGTTTTTTAATTATTTGTGTTTTACCGTCACCATACACATAATTAAACAACAAATTATTATGCATGGGATGGTTTCCATGTGGTTTTGCCTTTCCTGGTATTTTATGTGTCACATTAGTTTTTAACTGTTTCTTAGATTCAGCTGACCCTTTTTTGGTAGAATTAGTTTTATGATCAAACTGATTTATTGTAACGTTTTTATGCAAGGGCTTTTTTTCGTTTTTTTGAAGAGATTTTTTAAATTGTTCACCTTTTGTTGTACTCTCACCTTTGATATTTGATTGTTCGTTTGCTTTTGTATTTTCAAACTGAGGATCTTCCGAATTATCATAATCAATTACAGTACCTTCAAGTTCATCTAAGATATTTGATGTACTGTGCTCAGTTTCTTTTGTTTCTTCATCCTTTCTCTCAACATTTTTAAAGTGGTCTTTTAATTTACTATATTTGCTATAAGTTCCATAATCAAGAAACCCAGCTATAGGTTTTTCTGGTTGAGAAGGTTTAAAAGATGCTCTTTTTCTTCTTTTTTCATCATAATCTCTGTTAATGTTGCTTTTGTACTTATTCACAAAAGTGTTTTTTGGTTCAAGTTTCGATCCCACATTATACTTCTTACTCAAATTTTGTATAGAAATGGAATCAAAGTTCCAGTCTTTAGTGTTTTCGCTCATGTTTTTAAATTCTAAGTACTTAGACATTTTTAAACTTTGTTTTAACTTATTGTACTGTTCAGGTAAGTTTTTGAAATTAATAAGTGATGTAGAATCATACTGCGGTTGCCGATCATTTTTGGTTGTTTTTCTTGATGAGTGATGAAGTGGACTGGTAACAGATATAACATCTAAGTAATTTTCTTTTAGAAATTTATCAAAATCTTTATTTTCCATAGGGATCGGTGTGGCAAAATATTGCTCGGGGACCTTGTGGAATCTTGTTACCGAATTGACCTGAAACAGTATATATATTTATATTATATCAAATAATATTACTCCCATTAATAAAAGTAAAGTACAAAAGTAAAGTTGCAACCTATGTACGCCCCACTTCTGGGCACAGGCCTTATATCCAAGAGGGTTTTCAAAGCATGGAAGTATCCACCACTATGCCTTAATACGTGTTAGTAGACTTCACATGTCTTCGAGATTTTTTATTAATTTCTTAGATATGTAAGTTTCCTTACAATGTTTAGCTTCACCGACGAACAAGTGGTGCTCAAAAGTTAAGCGCTCGCTACATGAGCAACCCAGTGCTGCTGGCACAATGAAAATAATAAATGTAATTTTAGGTGCTGTTTTACCCCTGCCCGCCGAAGAAAGAAAATACTCGAGGAAACCTACACTATTAAAATATCTTCCAATATTTCGAAGATTATGGATTTCAAACTTCATTTTGTATTACAGAATAATATTAATGCTTGCAATAATTTTCTTTACCATTCCCATCATCACCATCAAGCACTACCCAGTCTTCTGCCTTATGTTTTTTATAATAATATAGGTAACAAACAGCACACAGTCCTCGCAATTGTAAATGGATGCTGTGGCCAATAACATCCACATCGATCTTCAATTAAGAATCAAAATTCAGATAAACTTTGTCATCTTTGAGGAAAATTAAGGAATGCCCTTTTTCTAATAGCAATATAGCTTCTTTACACTTACCATACGAAACAGAGGAGTATAAAGCAGCTATTTTACGATGGTATTTCTGGTATTATGTGAGAGCGTGGTCCTACCCTGGTTGAACTGACCCATAGGTTCTACAACCATAATATAGTTGGTTGCAGCGTGGCTTTACCACGTATATAGAATTTAATTACTACCCGCCACTTCACGCGGAACGTTGCCCACTCTAGTCACGGGGAGTCACACAGCTTTGCTCATCATTCAGCAGCCTGTAAAGTCTACTGTATCGACTTCTCCCGTTAGAGCTTTTTGCTTTAATCGTAAGGTTACGTGAAATTGACGTTCTGCTGTCCGTCGCTCATCTTAGTATTTTACGTTTGGTTTTATATTTTACGAATATCCCAACCAAAAATTTATAGAACGGTGGCAAGTAATTATCTAAGTTACTTGAAATATTATCTTTAATGCTCGGCGGTGTAGGAAAACATTGCGACGAAACCTGCATGCCTGAGAAAAAGAAACTATTTCTACTATATCAAATGTCCGCCAACATGCACTGGATCAGTGCAGCGGACTAAATTCTCCATATCCGTGTATATTTTTTATACGTGGTAAAGTCACGCTGCAGCTACATCATGGTTGTAGCACGAGTGGGTCGATTCGACCGGAAAAGGACCACGCCCTCACAGAATACCAGCGTAAAATAGCAGCGTTATGCTGCTGTGTTTCGTATGGTGAGTGTAGAGGACCGGAGACACTTTTTTACTGGAAACGAGGCTCTTCATCTTAGTCCTCATCGCATCACAACGCATCTGCGTTTTGATTCTTAATAGAGGATAAATGTCTATGGGCCACAGCATCCACTTACCATTAGATGGACTGTGTGCTCGTTTGTAACCATTATTCTATAAAAATATATCAAGCCGGTTTAGGCTGAAACAATATTTAACATAATATATATATATATATATATATATATATAAATATATATATATATATATATATATATATGTATATATATGTATGTATGTATGTATTCGCTTTTCGAGTTGGGATTCGATTAGGGAGTTATTTACATGCCATTAAAACATGAATTTAACAAATTTCGTGTGCCTATCTTTCCGTTGGGGTTAATTTTGAAATGGCTGCACCGATTGTAACGAATCTTTACTTAAAGAGAAAACTTAGACATCAGAAATTAAAAAACAAAACTAAAAATAAATGTTTTTTTGATTATTTTAAAGCCAAATAACGTCATATTAATTGATCATACCCAGGTGAAGCCGGGGCGGGTCCAAATATGTCCGAATTTTCCCAATGAACCTCTATCCACTCTGTTTAAAGTGGCGGGAAAATTTAAGAATATATACTTTGTACTTACAGCATCTACGACATGCATGCCGAGTGAAGATTGAAGCGTTGGTTCATCTGTAATTAATAAAAGTAAAGAATAAATTGTATAACTAGCAAATTCAAAAAAGTTAAAGCTTTCAAAACATTTCATTGCATTGATGTTATTGAGAACATAGTGAGGTCTAAATAATTTCATACTAAATAAAATATTAATAATAATAATGTCCTCCAGACCGAATTTCGGCCACAGCGGCCAGCCTCAACGGAGTAGCCATCTGCGCAGAACAGGTAGTGCCCGTATGAATGCGCAACACAGGTGCACTCTCTATTCCTTTGCTCTGATGGGAGGGTAAACCGACATGACTGGAAAGAAATCAGGCGCAGGACCAACAGCTTTACTTTCATGCAGTTTCTGAGAATTTCGTGATGGAAAGGAAGGAGGAAATTAAAATTTCGATTTAACGATTTCTTTACATTTTCTAAAATTAAGAAGAATGTTCGTGGTCAAAGGTTGCATTCCGATGAAGAAACAATCCACGCTTAAAAGCACCAAAATTGAACAACCCCACTTTGAAGTGGAAATGTTTTAATAACTGGTTCGAGCGAATGAAAAGTGTATTTAACTACGTGAGGAATTCTTTGAAAAACAATAAAAAGTTCTAGTCGTATTTTTTTGGTCAAACGACAAAACTTAAATGGCATGTCTCGTAAGTATAGTCAGTGGAGCCAGTTCAGCTACCAGCGAGGCTGCACGCTCGGAGTTGCATTTAAAGGTTTTAAATCAACCACGGTCCAGGTAACAACTCAAAAAGAAAAAATATTTTACTTGAACACGTACCTACTATAGATTACCTCATAGAGGGATATTTGCCACAGTTGCCACCCTTGACAAACGAGAAAGTAGGCGGCCGCAATTTCCTTTATTCAGCAGTTATCAGGATGAATTTCTTTTAATTTTTATTTAATATTGCAGAACTTACCGATTGCTTCGGTGACCTCTTCAGTTATAAAATTAGGTCCGTCATCGTAAGCCAGCAGAGAAGTGTCTATAAAATACGTGGTTTCAGGAGTATTATCAGTGTTTTTCGGAGTTGTTGTACCTTGAAAACAATTTATTAAGTTTATAAAGACGGCCGTATAGTAGCAATGTCAATCGTGTTGTAGCGGTGCAAATATATAACCTACATGTAGTTGTCGCAAGTGGCGATAGGGGAAAACAAGCCAGGAGATGGGACGGTAGTGTCACCCTAAGAACAACGAGAAATTAAAAATCTGTGATTGCCAACAGCTTGTAGTTGTATTTGTTGCTTGGAATGTTACATATGAATCAAAATGAATATACGTTGTCACCTCTGAGGACTGAGATAAAATGCCTCATTATCAGTAAAACTAGTCTCCGGATCACATTATTCACCATGCAAACATCAGCAGCAATCTGCTATTTTACGTTCATATCCTGTAAGAGAAATCCCAGGCTGCCTATATCGGTACGATCCAGCGCTCTAGGCGTAGAGTCGTAATATTACGAGTCCCCGTTATGAAGGAAGTTATTAACTTACTGATGACAAATCAAACGAATCACCAACTCGTGGTTTAACTGATTATATTAGTCTACCTGATGGTAAGTGGACGCTGTGACTCATAGACATCTGCCTTTATCCTCAATTAAGAATCAAAATATCACTTCTGAGGACTAAAATGGAACGCCTCTGTCTTTGCCATTATGCTCGTATTCTTCGTGTTACTACCATAAAATAGCCGCAGAATGACTTTACCACGTAAAAATCTTAATATACTTTTAACTCATAATAAACGTGCTGAATCAATACGGATTTAAATATTTTTTACAAAATTGGATATTGACTTTACGTTTGCCGGATGAGTCGACTGGTATGGGATATACCAGAAGAATCTTATGGGTTCCTATAGATGGCGGTAAAACCATCTCTTATTTAACGTATCTAGTAAATTTAAATTAGTTATATGGAAATTAACTTCTTTGATTGAATTATTTGTTATTTTATTGCAATTCTTTTTTCATAAATTACAACCTATTAAATGTCCTTACACATTAATTGGGATATTCTTTTCCAAACGAGGGATAAATGCCATAGTTGCCACACTTGGCAGCGAGTTGGAACCGCAAATTTTCATTATTATTGCTGGCCATCTCCTGTTTTATTTCTCTCTTTCGCCTCTTACGAGCCTCACGGGAGCAATTGACGTAAGAGTGTGTAAGAGAGCTTAAGCGAAGGGTTGATATTCACGCGCTTTGATGTGTGTCAAAAAACCGAAACAGTTCAGAATTATTACGAATGCAGTATAAACTTTGGAACACAAGAAAAAGAAAATCATGAAAAGTTTTTGCATTATTGTGTACAAGATATAGAAATACAATCGAATTACCTTTACTTGCTTTGTCTGTTTTACTGGAATCCTCAATTTGAACATTATGCGAAAAAGGATGAATCAATTTGTGATATTCCTCATTCATAATTCGGCTAAGATTCTTCGGTTGACTATTCGTTATTGAGTAATTCTGATGAGTGTCAAATTTTCCTTCGTTGCTATTATGATAAATACTAAAATTACTGTTTGTTCCACCTTCTCTTTTCACTAGATTTTTATTTTTTAACGAACTGTTTCTCAATGCGGCCTTAGCAGTTTTCCTTTTCATTATGTTTGTTACTGCTTTAGTTGTCAACATTTGTTTCTTAATACCTTTTAACATATCTCTATTATTATCGTCTTCTATATTCTCATCATGATTAATGTTCAGAAATTCATGCATTCTACTCAGTTCCTTCTTTAGGAACGTCACATTCGGAGCATTGTATTTATTGGAGTAATTTATATCATCAAGTATACTTTGCCAAGTCGTAAATTTTTCAGAATGCAGCAAATCATTGTGCCATCTTTCGAAATCTTTGAAATAATCAGGAATTGTGTGATATCTGTGTCTTAAACTAGTAAGTTTTCGTTTCTCTGTGTTTTGTGAAGTTATATTATGTGGTTTCTCGGATAACTTAACCTGTCTCTTTATATTCCCTATTACTGCTTCTGTTTCTTGGTAATTTTCTTCATCAATCGCTACGTCGTCTGTATTATAAGGCGAAAAATATTCATGGTTAATTTCAAGATTAGGGAGAGAATTTAATTCATTAAATGGATATTCAGAGATTATTATTTTACCGCTTTCTCTATGAATGGGTGCTTCATTGACTGATGATAATTTTCGTGTCGGTTCCATTGTATTACCAAAACCAGTTATTGTTACAAATGGAGCTTCAACACTATCGTACATATCATAAGTGATATGTTTTTTGGGTGTTTTTACAGTTGTTACTTTTATGTTAATTAAATCAGAAGAAGTAAATTTCACTTTACCTTTTGAACTGCTACTTTTTTTGGGAATCACTTGTGGTTTTTGCGGGCTGTATTTAGTGGAAATTAATATTTCACTGGGATCTGCAATAAATTTGATTAATGTTTCGTTAGTTTATAGAATGAATTCTAATATATTTTAATTTTTTCAGTTAAACTAAACCTCAAGTAAGATTTTTACGAATATACCTATTATTGCGTTTAATTTTAAGATTAGAAACATTTATTTTATTAGTTTCTTAAGCTTACAAGGAAATATTTACAACTAACCATCAATGTAATTATATTTGTCACTTGCATTCATAAAATTATATTTCATGGGATTGTGTTGAAAATTTTTCTTGGCTAGGTAAGAGTTTTTCAAAACAGGTGCGTTGTATGAAATATCGTTTCCTACAGTTTTGGTTTTATACAAAACATCTTCAGTCACGTTTGGTATTTCTACGTCATTATCTTCTAAATATGATGTCTTATCATGTCTAAAAGGTTTAAAAGATGATACATGTGTATCAATAATATCATAGTCAAAACCTTTACTACGCGTATCTGGTTTTCCGTCTATTCGTACATTGAACATCTTCTTTAATTTCTTTAAAGGATTCGATCTTTGAACGCGATTCATTGATTCACGTTTATGTATTTTGGACTTTTTAATCTCTTTATCTTTTTTCTTATGAAAGTGAAAGCCTAGATGTTTGAAAAATTTCTTAAACTTGCTTTCTTTTTTAGCCTCGCGCAGTTTAACTACTGCTGTTGGTCTTGTTATTACATTAACATCGACGTATCCATAATTTTTATATGTAGTTGGTGACGAGAGGTCAGAACTTAACTTAGACTTTATTTCTTCTTGTGGCAAGTAACTATGGTAAAGCTGGTATTCATTATTAGTATCTCGAGCATAAGAGTTCCTTTTTGATCTTTTTAATGAATTGTCTAGTAACAAGTCTATGTCTGCTTCAGTAACCATATTTCTTTTTTCCGTGTTTCTATATTCTAGCTCGGACAAAGGTTTAGCATTTCGTAGCTTCTTTCCGCCAAAAAGTTTTTCAATCATATCTTTAAATTTTACACTCACATCAGCAGTTCCGTAATTCGTCACTACTGCTGATGTTGTATGGTAACCATTTGATATATCTGAGAATAAATATGTTTAATTAGATATCACTTCCTTGAATTATAAAGATAAAGTAAAGGGCTGATTACGCTTAGCATATTTTTAACTATTATGAAACAGTGTTTGTCAACTATTAAACCTAATGGTAATTGGTGATACAGTCGAAGATAGTGAAGCGCACTAACTTAGCTTAACAAAAGCCTATTCACTCCTGCCTTGAAAATATCCATATCATAATCGGATGGAGTTCCTCATTATGAACAACTAATTAAGCCGTTTAGTTCGAATGTGTGATGTTCTGACAACATAGGGGTGGACACGAGCTAAGCTTCTGGTGGTTCGATGATGGAATGGAGAGAGAGGAATGGAGTTATGCAATTCTTGCGCACAATCACCGAAATGTATCTGCTATAGTACCCAAAGTTTGGCTGATTGCGCCTGTACTCGAGACTGGTAACATTATTTCCAAATGTATCGGTGTCATCAACAAGTCTCTTAGCGCGCTTGTGCATTGAGTCCAAAACTGCTAGGTAGCTTTATGTAGTACGAGCCCATTTACATATATCAGAATACTCTATGCACGACTGAACTTGTGCAATATATTTTGTAAGCAACTGTCCCGGCGTGGAGTATCGCCTCACCTTTGTGATGACACCTAAATTCCTTACAGCTGCTTTGGCCCTGGATTAAACAAACAACCTAAATTTCAGGTTTCAGCAAACTTGACCCCCAGCATTTGAAGACGGTTGGTTAAAATCAATGATACATTTCGGAAAGCAGGAGCCAAGGTTAGCTGACTTCTGTGCAGTGAAGAGCTATGCTTGCGTTTTAGTGGCGTTGAATTTTATAAGATTGGTATCGCTCCATTCGGATACCGCCTGCAGTATCGATTCAGTGTTAGTGGGTTTTATTTTAGTTCTTTTACTGAGAAGTAGTGCGGAATAAGAATATTCACAGTCAGAGGGAAATTAAAACAAGAGATGAGGAGCAGCAACTTCCTAATGATAACTCAAATAATAAAATAACTTCGGTTGCCAACCTACGTACCCAACGTGTCAACTATGGCAAAATCCCTCCAATGAGACAAGCTATGTACGCTATATGTTTAGCAGCGGACCTTTATAGGCTGTAACGGAATCACAGCTTCTTACGGACTAAATTTGATCTCAACTATTCCGAGCAGTTAGGTAATATTTTTCTACAACTGTGATAACGTAGATAGGAAGCATAAGCATTTTTTAATCAAAATAATGTTAAATTTTTAAATGTAAAATATTTTTTTAATAATTAACAAAATTTCAAATACGCACTTATGACTGACATTGATTGCTTTTTTTGAATTTAATCTAGGATTTTTAATTTCCTATAAGGCCATGTTTGACTACGATCCCACCTGATGGGACATGGTTAGCTCTAAATGGCAAACCACACTTAGTATATTAAAACTTCAATCTTGTCTTAATATCGCAGTAAAAAATAGATACTGGAAGTTATTTGCTTAACAGTTTGTTTCAAATTTATTATCATTAAAATTATTTATTTTTACTTAATACTGTATAATGCATATAAAAAGCAGTAAATTAGCTGCTGGGCACATGTATTCTACAACAGTGGTGGAGATAGAAACAGTACACTCCGTCACGTGGGGCGTTGGGGCTGGTTCTAACTCTGCACACCAGAGATGCAGCTCTTTTACGCAAAGTTGCGTAAAAACAATCTACATGAGCTTGAGAAAACATTGCTGAGGCGTTACAGCGACGGAACTGCCCCAACAGCACCCGGAACGTGTTGTTACACTGGATCTGAAGGGCTTCATGCACGGTGCGTGTAGTCCTTCCGTAGGCTGCACTTGTAAAGAGGTATGAGAGTGACGATTGCACGTACTTGAACTTTGCACGAACATGCGAGCAATCATATTTGCTCGAACCGACAGAGCCCTACGTTCCCTTTCCATATCAGTACTATATGACCCAAATATTTAAAATAGTCTACCCTAGTTAATAGTGTACCATTTAATTTAATGGGAGGCACATTACTCGGTACGGTCCCGTCCGGCCCCAAAGATCATATACTGATTATTTTGTACATTGTATTTTAAAAAAAATTCTTAATCCACATACAGATGCACTCAGCAGCACCATGCCATCTGCATAACTCAAGTTGCTAAGCGCCTTAATAAGTCCATTTACATAAAGAGCCGTGGTAGCTCAGATGGTTAACGCTCGCCGTAAATGTAACAGAACGCGAGTAACCCGGGTTCGATCCCTGCCGGCACCAATGAAATTGTTAATTGCAATTTTAAGTGCTGATTTACCACGTGCTCGGCGGTGAAGGAAAACATCGTGAAGAAACCTGCATGTCTGAAGAATAAGAGAAAAAAATATTTCGTAGACATGTGAAGTTCGCCAACACGCATTGGGGCAGCGCGGCGGACACTTCCTTGCCCTAAAACTCTCTCAGAAATGAGGGGAGGCCTGTGCCCAGCAGTGGGACGTATATAGGTTGTAACTTTACTTTACTTTACTTTACTTTACATAAAGATTAACGCACTCTAACCGGTATGGTTCAGACAAAACGTTTGCTCATCTAACGCAATTTTTTGGGAGAGTATATATATAACCCCTCCCGTCACTATACATTTATGTAAATAAAAAATAAAAAAATATATGTATAAAAATATTTAATAAATTACCTAAAGAATTTAAATTATTAAGCGAAAGATTAAGAAATATTTGTTTAATTGGTTAAAAATCGAATGTTATTATGATGTAAAAGATTTTTTAGATTGTAATTATTTAGTATTGTTAATTCTGTATTTGCATGCTTACCATTGTTAGCGAAACACGAGTGCACTAGATAAATTGTAACATCTTTTTATACCGTGATTCTTGCAAATAAAAATTTATGATTTATAATTTATTTTTGATCACCAGACGAGCGACCGCGACGGAAACCGTAATGGCGGTCACTAATCATCTAGTGATCCTCAAAGTACCGTATGAGCTGGCTGTTAATAATGGATTCCATTATTTTAGAGAATAAGGAGGTGATGTCGATGGGCCTATAGTTGGACGGATCAGAGCGGTTACTTTTTTAGGGATCGGGTGCATGAAGGTTGTCTTCCATGATTTCGGGAATAAGCCTAGGGAGTAGGAATACCGGAAAAGGCGCGATAAAACCGGTGCCAACTCCGGAGCACACGTCTCCAGCACAATAGGAGGGACGCCATCTGGCCCACTTGATTTGTTGACGTCCAGGGAGAGAGTGATCTGCGGCTCTACGCATCGAGCGTTGGGTAAACAGCACATCCTGCATGGAGCACTCACACCGCGGGATGGTCAGCGGTGTGTTCCCCCCGTAATCAAGAGTCGAGTTGGACGTAAAGAGAGAGCCCAGTAGATTGGCTTTGTCCTTTGCGGTATGCGCCAGTGAGTTAACCTCCCTGTGCAGAGATGGAAGAGATAGTTGGCAGAAGTTCCCTTGGATAACTTTGGCGAGAGACCAGAATGCACGTGTTCCCGAAGGAAAATGAACAAGTTTCACGCCAATTCTACCGATGTGCTCTGACTTTGCCTTGACAATGACACTTTTGAAGGACCTGGAGGCAGAATTATACTCCTTTTTAAAAGCGCTGGTATTTACAACTCAAGACATCGATGGGCGAACCCATGCCTGGTAGCACTCTTGCTTATGACGTAATGCAATTTTGCAGGAGCGATCAAACCATGGCTGGGTTTTGCCTCCGATAGGTATCACAGATGATGGAATAAAAAGTTCCATTCCCTGTAGCATCACATCAGCGAAAGAATCAGCAACAACACTGGGCTCATCCGGCGAGAAGCAAACCCACCTCCAAGGGTAGGATGCAAAAAAAACGACGGGTTTCACTCCGGGAGTGCCGGCAGAAGTGAAAACTTGAATATTAACGTTGTGCATTTTTGTTATTTTGGAATGGTTAGGGAATAATTTTGCAAGAATTGCTTTAATTATCAGTATAAAAGTACTATTATTTATGAGGTAGAATACAATATTTATTTATTGCGCTATCGTACACAAACATAACAATTTATATTACATTCGCGCAAGCGCCCTACGCCGCCTAAACGAAACAACATGCCGCCGCGCAGTAGAAAGAGAGAGGGATACTTCCCCTCCTACGCCGTCCGTCTTACGCATTTTCGATCAGGGTCACGTGTCCTGACGCGAGTTTAACAATTTTTACCCATTACAGAAAAAGTGTCCAGCGCCGCTAAAGAAGTTTTCAAAAGATCGCATCCCGCCCCAATCGGCTGACCTAAAATACCAAACACGGCGGCCACCTGCAGAACGCAAACGCGATGGGAGTATGAGTGGCACCGTACTCACACAATGGCCCGAGGAGCCAAGAAGGGCATCGACGGAGACCTGATATCCGTCCGGATGAGAGGTCAACAGAAGGTCCAACAGGGAAGGCACATGATCTTCTAAATCTGGGATCCGCATAGGGGAGGTAACCAATTGTGCCAGACCATATGCCAAAGCAAAAGTCGTAAACAGATCTACCCGCATGATCGGTTAAACGGGAACCTATCCATTCAGCGTGGTGGGCATTAAAATCATGAATGTCAAAATCAAGCATTACGATCTCTGCGGATAGGACCTGTTAAAGCATGGAATCTGCAGCCATCTGGACGTGGTCGATGAGTCGGTCTGTGTCGGCATTACCGCTATGGGACTTATAGGGGCACCCGTAGATGCGGGGATGGTCGTTGCTGTCTAAGTGCAGCCATAAAATGGACAGATCCGTACCTTCAAGGCTGCCGAGGTGTCGAAAACATGTCCTCTGTGACGTTCACGTAAACTCCAGCCTGGAGCACAAAGGAGTGCTCTAATTTGTACCCCGGGTAGAAGAGATACGAAGTATCGGCCGCAGAGAACATCTCGACTTTGACTTTTTATCTCGAGCGGAATTTTGCCCCCCCCCCCCCCCCAGAATACGCGGGGCAGTTAGAGCACCCACGTTCAGGAGTGGACAGATTCTCCAGGGGTGCTGGTACCCTCCTGGGGTAGTCTTGCATTTAATTCCGCTATCATGTCGATAGGCCACCTGCACTCACCAGACATAACGCAGAAGCAAAGCCTCTACTTCACGCCGGTCTTCTGTGAGGTCGTGGTACCACCCCGGTTTGAGCCGGCCCATACGTGCAACAGCAAAGGCTGCTACGTGGCTCTACCACTGTTAAGCCTGTCCTCCATACCAATATTTTAAAATGTTATAACAAAGGTGTTGAGATCTTCTTAAGGTCTGGTTTTTAAAGGGAAGTTGTAATAAATTTTACATCGTCTGTTCTCCTATGTGTATCATGTAGGGGCTGGCTACTCTGTTCCAAAATAACAAGATTAGTTTTAATCAAATGAAAGTCCAAATCAATCCGTTCGCAGCACCAGCCTAAACATGGTAGCATTATTTAATACACGATGGGACCTTTAGCTCTTTGAACAGAATTTGTAACCTATCATGACATTAGGTAACACTGTTTCTTCAAAACAACCCAACTACGGCTGGCTCGGCCCTATAAAGTATAAACAGACCGAAGTTAAAAATGTAGAAATTGTCAACCCGTAACGATTTAAAGTTATTCAAAACGCACGCTTGAAAGTAGGTACCAATGTGAACGGGCTCTTTTGAGATTATTTTTACCTTCATTTAGATATAATACAAACGGGTTTACAAGTAATAAAACCTATTGAAGTGATATGGAAAAGTGGCATATTATGATGTCCTTCTACCGAATTCCGGTTTCAAAGGCATAAGCCATTATGCAGGATAAGCCAGTACGAATTGGGCTCAAACACATGTGCACTTTCCCTTCCCTCGCTCTCATTTGATGGGACGTCAATCCGACACGACCGGAGACAGATCAGGCGCAGCACTAACGGCTTTAGGAGCATTCCAAGGCACGGAGACGAAACACTGCTGACTTCCTAGCTACGGGTTGCTATTGAGACTTTCTTCATAGAAAATCTAATAACTGGTTTTTATTGCAACCCGGGATTCAAACTAAACCTTTCAACCAAAAGGATTTGCATATTTTGTTGCATTAGTCATTATATAAATGTATCGTTATAAAATGATAATTAAACAATAACCTAAAATCACGGAAAAGATTTATATTAATAGAAATAAAGGACTTACAACGCTGATGTGTAGTTGTAGATGGAGTGGGATGATTTTTGTATTTTTCAAGAACATTTGACAGCCGATCTAAGTCAGTCTCCTCAATTTTCTTTTGGATTTGCCTTGCCTTCATTGTAGATGGTTTTTTGATTGAATTTTCTGTTGACAAATGTCGCACTTTGTCTGTTTCAGCAACTGAAGGTCTCAATGATACCGTTTCAGATGAGTGGAATTTTTTCGGCTGTCCTGAATCGATGAATAAATAAAAGTGTTTTTTGAACCACGATTCCTCGTTTTTGGTCGATATGTCTAGATCCTCCGTCGTCTCAGATTCGTCATAAAAGGCTCGTTTGTGTCGTTCAGGCACCTGCGGTAATTTGTTCAATATGAACTTTCCTATATCATCTACACTGTGATGCCTATGAGCTTGATAACGAACTAAATTGGAATAGTTTTGGGCACCCTGTTCTTTTTGAAACTTTAAATAGTGCTTGTAACCGTTGACATAGTCATTATAGGATAGTTTATCAGCTAAATCTTTAAATGTAGTGGTTTTTCCATATGGCTTTTTATTTTTCTGCGGAGTAGGTCCAAACTTTTTTGTAGGTTTTTCATTTTGTATGTTTTCATATTCATCATATTCATCCATTGGATCAACGACCTTATAAGGAATACCTATATCCTTCTCTTTATCCTCAAAGTAACTAAAAATGTTTTGGTTCCTATTATATATAACATGATTTTCTACTGCATTCCGTTTCTTAATGCTCTCGGTTGTTGGCATGGTTATAAGATTATTTTGATGTGGCTTGCTTAGTAATTTTTCGTATAAGGAAAGCATGGGATAGTCATTGTCTTTAAGAGGTATTGTATACGTAGAATTACCTGCTATTTGTTTACTTTTTCCTTGCTTTAGATTCGATTTTCTGTCGCGGTTTTGATTACTCCCAAGATCATCGTAATCTTCATACCCAAACAATTGTGATGCTGAATTTTTTTTAGTCTTACAATTTATTGTATGTTTATCTGTGAATTTATTTGCCCAATACTTAGTTTCATTTTTTAAAGCAGTTTGACTTTCTTTGATTTCATTAGATAATTGATTTTTAAAATTGTTGTACATTTTTCTCAGTACTTTCCCGTTAGTAACAACTTCTCGTTTTACATTTGTTTTTTGTTTTGGAGATTTATATATATTTCTAGCCATAATAGTTTTTACTGTTGGTGGTAACTTAGTAACATCGTATGTATTTATGGGTATATAATTGCCTGTTGAAAATGTACGACCGAGGGAAAATATATCCTTAAAAGAAGGAACTGTCTCAAATACAGTTTCAGTACCAAAACTTGATACAATGTCTGTGACGAGAGGAGTTTTGTTTGCTATAATCTGAATCGCCCTCATTTTCATAACGTTCAATAAATCTTCAATTTCATCCGTATCGCTAAAATCCTTATCAAAGTCATCAATTTTTAATAAAGTTGTAGACGTTGTGGAACTTTTATATTTATTTAAATTATAAGCGTTAAATGAATTGGCAAGAAAAGGCATATATTTAGTAAAATTTTGCGGTCTCGGTCCAGTACTGTATTTTTCTTTCAAATAATCTATTTTTGTTGTCATCTCTGACAAACTTAGTTCATTGTCTTGTTTAATAACCGGTTGATAGGATATTGAAGTTAATCGGTAGTTATTTTCCCAAGTATCATTATCGTTTGACGACTTCTTCTTATCTTTTTCAAAATCTGCACTTATTTGTTTAAAGTTCTGAAAGAAATCCTCATCGTAAATAACGGATTGTATTTTATTTGTAGCAGGATTATTGTACCTTTTTGATAAAATTTTACGCCTATATTTTCTGTTTTTATGCGATCGTTTTGGACGCGTGTAACTGTTGTCGTTGACTATAGCAGTAGTTTTGTTATTGACATAAAGGTTTTTCTGAGCGGCAATATTCCATGAAGTTGTTTTTACTTGTTCGATCTCCCCGTTTGTTACCAAATGTTTATTCTTTCTTCGCCTAATTTTATCCATTAACCTTCGTAAAAATCCTTTTCGGCGGCTTTTTGATACCTGTACTTCATCCGTATGCTCTGATACTTGGATGTTAAAATTTGGGTCATAATTTGGGAGCGATTCGGTTATTCGATCGGTTATTGATTCTGTTTGTTGGTTTTTCATAGGTTCTGCACGAAAAGCAAGCCTGTGATGATATCGGTTTTGTTTAATATCATGTTCCTTATCGTCTTCTAAGTCATGTACACTGTCGATTACGTTGATAACTTCATCATTTTTGACGATACTTTTAGATATAGTGTGGCTGTTTGTAAGCACCATCAGATAAAACCACCTGCAATGATAAAAGTTTGGGCTGAATATTATAAGAATTAAGAAAATGATTCAATATATCTGTAAGCAGTGGCGGGTTATCGGTAGACTTGGCTTAAGGTTATAAAGGGGCACTCGGAAATTTTTATATAAAAATAATAGTATATACCTACATAAAATCATACTTTCTAAAATGTAGAGCCTTCGAAGCGCGCTCCTTCTTGATTACTCCTATATCGCCCTCACACATCATATTTTTCAATCAAGCCCACTTGTTAAGTGTACATGTACACGTGTCCTGACACACCCAATTATTTTGCAAATAAACTACTCTTCAATCCCTAAGCGGTCGCATGCGACCACCACCACATTCTGTCAAATTCCGAGCGGTCGCATGCGACACACCCACGGCACTTTAAACCATAAAAACTTATATTTACAGATTACTTTTTATGAAGAAGTTTGGCAGTATAGAATACGAAATTTTATATCCTGTAGTCCAAAAAAGGTCAATTACACTGTGTATTTTGATTTTTATTTTACTGTCAATTTGGGCCACGTTATTTTTTTGCTTTTTTGTTTATTTTTGTATTTTTCTTTCCTTTGTTAGGTCTGTTTTTAAGCGGTTTTATTATAAATATCCCAAGATATTTTGCACAATTTTTTACATTTTTAGGTAGCTTAGATCCTTGTTTATTGTTATTTATTTGATTTTTTAATTCGTTCATGAAATGAAGCCCACAAAATAGTTCGCAAGCTTTAATCATGCATAAGAACCATATTGTTTTGATAAAAACATTAGATTTGTTATCAAGCTGAAAATATGTTTATCAATTAGTAAATTTTCGTTTACAGAATGATAAAATATGATCTGGTTGCAGAGTGAATGCATTTTTTGTATATGATAGTATTAGCGACGCCATTTTGCCAACGGCACGGGTAATGTCAATCGTTTTAGCTGAGGATTAATAATGATTAAGTGGTTTGAATTTATTATACTATATGATAGCTGCCTACGGCGCTGTCGACATTTAATTCAACCCTGTCTGTAGGTATTAAAAATATAAAATTGTGCTTTATTATTTATTACATCATAGATTAATATATCCTAAAGTTGTGTTGCTTAAGAGAGAAATTAAAACATTTTGTTTTAATTTCTCTCTTAAGCACACAGAAACATGTGAAAAAAAATAACATATTATACTAGCGTTTCATCAAAAAACATTTCATTAAAATCGGTCGAGTCGTTTTAGCGGGACAAACGAACAGCAATTGAATTTTATATATAGAAAGAAAGAAGTTAGGAGATAAATAACCTTAAATTTTAGAAAATCAGAGTATAATTTTTGTATAAAATAAGGGTGACAATCGAGCACACAGTCCACCTGATGGTAAGTGTGTAGTAGTATATTCTACCCTCGATTAAGAACCAAAATGCAGACGTCTTGTCACCTCTGAGAACAAAGATGGAATGCCTTATGGTTTCCAGAAAAAAGGGTATTCGTTTCTCTACACTCTACACCACATGGAGCACAGAAGCATTAAGCTGCTATTTCGGACTGGTATTCTGTGGGAGTGTACATACAGGCTACATACAGGGTATTTTTCAGAGTAGCCAAATTTTAAACTTAAGTTCAAATATATATATAATGATATAACGTTATTGCAGTTTTCGAAAATTCGAGTAAATAAAGCATCTACTTTTATTTGTAACTATCCCAACTTAAATGTGATTTATGGGCAACAACGTTTTGCCTGCCGATCGACCCTTGCGAATGTCGTGCGTGCGCAACATTTTAAATTTAAAAGAATAAAAGGACAGAATGTGTGAGATTCTTTTTAATAATTTTTATTCACCATTTGCCTATATTACTTATTCTTAACCTTCTCTTGAAATTTGGTTGGTTATTGCAAAATGACCCTGCTTATCTGCAACAATACAGCTTTCAACGCAGTAAGGGTGTAGAAAATGTGAGAATGATAAATAATTTTATTGCATAATAAATTTAATACGTGGTAGAGCCACGCTGCAGCTATATAATGGTTGTAGCACGAATGGGTCGGCTCGACCGGGGAAGGACCACGCTCTCACAGAATACGAGCGTAAAATAGCAGCTTCATACTGCTGTGTTTCGTACGGTTAGTGTAGAGATCCGGAGACCCTTTTTACTAGAAACGAGGCACTCCAACTTAGTCCTCAGGGGTGAAAACGCATCTGCGTTTTGATTCTTAATCGAGGATAAATATAGATGTCTATAAGCCACAGCATCCACTTACCATCTGGTAGACTGTGTGCTCGTTTGTCACCCTTTTTCTATAAAAAATCTTTCGATTCTCTACCAGAGATGAAAATAAAATAAAGAAATAACTAGAGGCGCGTTTCATCATGACAGGTACCACTAGAAATTGTCATTTAACATTTTAAATAATACTAGTTTTTAGGGATTTTATCGGGTATATTAACTTTTTATATTCCCGACGTTTCGAGCACTTTACAGCACCCATGGCCACGGGGGAGATTGAGATGTTCAACGTCTAGATGTCATAGTTAACCGCGGTTACCATAGATTAAATTTATCAATCAAATTATGTCGGATATATAAAAAAGGTTAATATACGCGATAAAATCCGTAAAACCTAGTAATATTTTAATGTGTAGTGTTCGTGTAAATATAAGAAATCATTATGTCATTTAACAAGTTTTAAACAAAAATTGCTATTTGGCTGTGATTCATTGCATCATAATCGATAAGATCTATTAAACCAAATTATTAAAATAACATAGGCCCCCAAGGAATGCCATAGTTCAGCTTGGACTTCTTCACACACTTTCAGTTTGGACTTGTGAAGAGCTGTAATGATGATGATTATGATTAAAAACTGTTTTTTAATTAAAGACATTTTTCATAATCATCTTTAATATGATTTTATATGAAAATTACCGCATAATGGAGGTATAAGTATATCCCCACCCCATATCGTGCCTTAGGAGTCTTAAGAGGCGACAAAGGGACAATAAAACAGGAAATAGATAGCGTCATGCTGACAACAACGCGAAATAATAAAAAATGCGGTTAGCAACCCACCAGTCATAGGCATAGGGCCACGCTTGACTGGCGTGTTGCATATATGCCACAGTTGGCAAATTCCCCCTACGAGGCAATCTATGTTGGAGGCCTATGTTCAGCTGTGGGCTTTGAAAGGCTGTAATGGATGGATAGATGAATGGATGAAAATTCTTGAGTGTATAGAACACAAACTATGTTACACACTATGTGACGCCAGGCCAGCGTGGGCTGGTAGCTGGTACAGTAAATTTGCCACGCAAGGTGGCGGTTGCATTTTCATTTACGTCAGTTACTGTTGTAGGTACAAAATAAAATTACGTGCTTATCTAAAATAAATTTTCAAGTCACGTTGACGAAATGCGCACATGAATAATGACAGAAATTTTCTTAGTCACAAACATGTCAATCATTGTTGAGTTGTCGAAAACAATGTTCGCGGTATCTTGGGTAGTTCGCGAACGACCTAGGTGGGAAGAGCGCTCTTTTAAATGAACTATGCGAACTAGTTCGTCGGCAATCTCGCTCCCAGTTTTTTTTACAAAATAAGGGTGACAAACGAGCACACAGTACACCTGATGGTAAATGGATGCTGTGGCTCATAGACATCTACTTTTATCCTACTTTTTAATAAAATAAACAGAATTTGCAATAATCATAAATATACATCTTGTTTTTAATTAGATTTATTGAAAAGTTAAAAAAATCTAATGACCAAAATGAGCGAACTAATAAAGCGAAGCGAGCGAAATAAACTAAACAAAGCGCTCCCAATGGCGACCGACTTATCCCAAGTCTGGCTCGCGGCCTTCTCGCCCGCTCGCAGATCGCAGTCCACTAAGGAGTTACGGAGAATTGCATAGTGCGCTATGTACTAATGCCGCGGAGTCTTTCTAGTATCGAAGATATTGTATATAAAAATATCTTTGAGTAGTATACATAGAAGTCTTTGCATCTGTGTATGATGAACTAATTGAATGGAATATAGAATCAATGCGCTCTATGATTTTTAACTGTGAAATTGTACTTACCATAAAAAATTGAATAATAACATTTGTTACGTAGTAATAAATCCAAACCACGCATGATACCATAAAATAAACCTAAACATAACAAAATAAATGGAAATAAACCAATATGAATATTTTTATAACACTTTCGTTCTAAATTGCAGTTTGACAATTGTTCTGCATTTGTTTCGCGTGTCAATCAGTTTGAATTATTTCTTTATGTCACTTTGGTATTTTCTTCTGTGAATAGTTTTTATTCGTTCGTGATTATTTATTTTTAATAACATGAGAGTTGAAAAACAAGTCACATTGCGTGCGGCAGTGGACAAGAGGATCCATTTCCTCATTTATAAAGCGTAATGTTAATATACCCTTTTCGTACCGTGACGTTTGTGTCGAGAGGCAACTAAAGAGAAATGTCTGAAGTACCTCATTGCTTTCGATATATGGCGGTATAACCATCACTTTCATGACAGACGTGAAATATTCAGATAGGAGACAGGGATCAGCGTCGTAAGTGCAAGAAGTCTGGTACTGATTTTTACATGGTAGAGCCACGCTGCAGCTATATAATTTGACGGCTCCATGACACAGTGGTTTAGCAATGAGTTGCAGTGCATTGCTAGACCACTGGACGCCGCGGCCGCGGGTTTGAATTACAGAAAGGCCGAACATTCGTTTAATATTCGGCTATTCGGCAGCTTTAGTGAATATTCGTATTCGGCTGAATATTCGGCTAAATCACCGAACATTCGTTAAAGTGGTACTCAAAGTGTCCACTGTATTGAAATGTACGAATTGAGTAATGCCATGTCATTCGTAGTTTTACTGTTGAAAGTATATTGTATTTATGGGTTAAATCTACTTGTATAGTGTTATGTTTTAGAGGCACTGTAGATTTATTTCTAATTATAACAAGTAGAAAGCTTGATAA